CTAAAAATTTATTCGCTAAAGTTAAATCGAGTGCAGAACGTGATGTATGATCACTGAAGGCAGATCTGAATCTTTTAATATTATTCCAAACGACTGATGAATTAACTTCTGGACAGATAGAAGAACAAAATCTTCTCCAGCCTTCTAATTTCTTTTTTTTCAGTAGTTTTCGAGTAGAACGTGAAACTGCGGTGTAAATTTCAAAATTTTCTGGTGTCATGTAATTATTATAATTTTTTTCAGCCTCTTTACGATTTTTAATTGCTTCCGTACAATCTTTGTCCCACCAAGGTGGCGAGGGAATTTTCCCTGAAGCACTATTTTTAACAGGAAATAATAAATCAGCAACCTCCTTCATATTTATCATCAAGTCATTACAACATTGATGTTCATTTCCATGGTAAACAATAGGTAACTCCGATATTTTATTATCTAAATATTGTTTGTAAATATTCCAGTCTACATTTGATAAATTATATTTAAGCCGAGGACCACTCTTTCGACTTGAGGGAATGGAAATTGGAAAAGAAAGAATGAGGGGAAAGTGATCGCTTCCGAAAGTAGAGGAATGAGGATACCACGACAGTGAAGAAGCTAAATCAGAAGAACATATTGAAATGTCAGGAGCACTAAACCCTTCATTCGGTGCAGTTCTACGTGTTGGTACATCTGAGTTAATAATACATAAGTTGTAAGTGTCAATTATCGTCAGGAGTTTTCCACCATAAAAATTAGAAGTAGAACTGCCCCACGATTGGTGTTGAGCATTAAAATCGCCCATTACGAGAAAAGGTTTAGGTAAAATTGAAAATAATTGTTCTAGTTGTGAATATATTTGGCATGTAGGATCAGGAATATATAAAGTAACAAAACAGATACCATTTATAATTATAGCAGCTGCATTAATGCCGCTATATACAGGAAGCGAAAAAGAAGAAAAAGGAAGGGAGTTTTTGACCAATATGGCAACACCGCCATATCCGTCAGCTCTATCATCACGGAGACTTGTAAAGCCTGAAATCCTAAAAGGATATCCTGGCTTTAACCAAGTCTCTTGGAGAGCTATTATAAAAGGATTATATTTATTAATCAAATAAAATAAGTCTGATTTCTTGTTTGTTATGCTACGACAGTTCCACTGAATTATTAGGACTTTGTAATCCATTGTGAGAAGTTAATAATTGAGAAAATACATTGTAAATGGCATCGTTGGACGGTGGTAAAGTTGTTTGTATCATCTTCGATTGCGATAACACTTTAATAAGCATGAGAATAATATCAAATATGGATTGATTATTGTCAATATTATTTGATGATAATGCACAACCATTAGAGGGAGCAGGAATATTATATTCCTTAACTATGGCTTCATGGGCAGAACGATCATATCCTTGTTGTGCTTTTTGAGGAGAGCGTGGTTTAAGTGTAACTGTTTTTTTATGTGATGATTGAATATGTGGTAATGATGATTTCTCTTTGAGGAAAGAAGATTGAAAATGAGATTTATTGGACGGAGATGATGATGTTAATACATCTGAATATAGTTTAGAAGTGGGAGGATGAAATTTTGATGCTTCAGCATAAGAAACACAACTGTGGGCCATTGTTTCTTTAATGGCTTTCTGACGTGCATATTCAGGACATTTCTTACTAATTGCTGAATGAGAACCATTACACAAGATACAAGAAACATTTTCCTCATCTACTTCACATTTATCACCTGTATGATTTTGCCTGCATTTATAACACCGAGGATTTGAACGACACTGCATCTTGACATGTCCGAACCTACAGCAGTTATAGCATTGGATAGTGGGGTAAATGTACAAATCTACAGTTAATGATGTGTAAAACATAAATACTCTTTTTGGTAATATTTGTCCATCAAAAGTAATAACAATGGTTTCAGTATTAATAAAACTTGGTTGTCCTTCATTAATGGTCTTTTTCTTAATTCTTCTGGTTTTTAGAATTCTCCCACAACCTATAGGTACTGATATATTTTGGATTACTTCCTCTTCTGTCCAATCTTTAGGAATACCCCTCACAATTCCCATACGGGTTACATGGAAAGAAGGTATAAATGCCTTAAAATTATGTGTTTCTAAGTGACTATTATTTAAAAATGCATTTGCATTTTCAAAATTTGAGAAAGAAAGCGATAAACGGTTTCTTCCTATTCTTTTGAGGCTACCATTCACTATATTATTTATCTTATTAGTGTGTAAAAAGCGACCAAATGCAATAGGATGTAATGTAGTGTTATCATTAGGATGTGTTTCATTTTTTTGTACATGAACGACATAAGGAGCTACATCCTCGGCATTGTACAAAGTTCTGCTTAAAGTACTGGGTGGAGAAGCAGGTTTAACAGACTCGGTATTATTTACAACTGGTATTGATACTAGAGTTTGATTCTCATCCTCAATACATTGACAATCACTATCTTTAATTTTAGATTCGAGACCTTTGGTGTGCCTCCTTCGTTTTTTATTGCAATGTTTGCAAATGCGACGTTCGCCACGTACTCGCTTACGTTTAGAACTTGCAACGCTAGAACCATCTGTGTCCATACTAGATTCACCCAATATATCAAAACTATTATTAAATGGGATAGTTATATTTGCAGACACCTGGGGGTTGTCCCCCCAGGGTCTATAGGTGGATCCATAATGTCTAATTAATATAGGTAATTTACTTACCAATATTTACAGCAACAAACACTATTACTACAAAATATACAATTATATATACAATCTAATACACAATATATAAATAAAACTAATCCTTATATAATTAAAAATAAAATTAATTTAAAGAAGATCAAAAAACACTCCCGCTTTTTTAAACGTTTCCCGCGCTTTTTCAAAATTCAATTCAATACATCAATACGTCATTCAATACGTCATTAATGTGACAGATGTCAAACAAAAGGAGATTATACACGTTATGATTCTATATCTAAGTCTATAGAAAATTTATATAATTTTCTGTTATTTTATAATAACTGTAGGGGAAATATTGGAATTATTTATATGAGAAATTTTACTTAAATGATATGATAATTATTTAAAGACCTAATTTCTTAGGGATTTAATCATAATGATTTAAACACTAAAACACTTGTTTATCTGAGAAATCCTCTTAGTAAATAGGTTTACTAAGACACTAAAAGGAAGTAGATATAGTATAACTATAGTACAGCTACAATAATTGTATGGGACTTACTGTCCTTTCTATACAAATATATATTTAATCTATATTTTTCACATTATAATTATGCAATATATTGCCTCTACTACTACAACATACACAAATAGGACTTATTGTCCTTCTATATATACCTATATATAATAATTGACCTGGCACTTTAATGTGTAATTTATCAGTACTTATGACAACAACCAATTAGGACTTATAGTCCTCTCTATAAAGCTACATAATTATTTAATCTGATTATTTCACAATGTGAGTAATCAAACCTCTACAAATATTACAAAAGATCTCTATTACTCTCAACTCAATAATAGCTTGTTGGACTTAGTGTCCTCAAACTTATAGAAAACCCAACTGGTTATTTCACGAGACGTTGTTAACTTGTGATTAATCAGTGTCTTTTAAAGGACTTATAGTTCCTTTAGATATATCTCTCTGAATAAATAATTGGTTAATTCACAATGTGGTTAATCAACAATAATATTATATATAATTGACTGGACTTATAGTTCATTCAATAGCACTCATTACTTTTAGTAGCTCTCGACCTATGGGTTGGACTACTCATTCTTAGGCTCCGGCCTAATCAACAGATTTAACTTGAACCTTGAGTATTCTTGGTATTGAGTGAATAATATTAAATTGACAATGCTATGTTATGATATAGCAATTATCAACATTATATGGCTTGGCCAATTCCAGGGTGTGGAAGGTATCCCCTATCACACAAATCTTCATCTCTATCGGACTGTCTTCACAGGTGATCTCTAATGTCACATTATAGGGCCGAAGGGTTATGTCCCAACAAAGTAAGTTCTGGTGTCTGGGTGATCTCGCTTCTTGGTCTGATCTCTTGTGGAGCCGAAGGGAAACCCCCATTGAGTAAGCTCGTAACAGGGTGACGCTGGGAAACAGTTTCGTACTGTTAGTGGGTGATCTCTATGTCGCCATATAGGACTGAAAGGGTCATCGCCCATGAGTAAGCTCTCGTGTCAGAGTGATCCTGGGATTTCAGTTCCGATCCTTTTGCCTCTGGCAAACACCAATTTATACTGGAAGCATCGTGGGGCTGGTGGAGCCACTGTAATGTTGAAGTAAATGTACTTATGTTTGGTTTGGAACTGAGAATACTCATGCCCTTATTACCATCAGAGTGCATTAATAAATAGTAATACCCTTCCCTACCTTTCAGGAGGAAGAGTTATAGATAGTTGGAAAGTCTTCCACTGGTCCGGGCGTGTGAGGGGCCCGACCGCTCCCCCATTTTTTTATTACAATTATTCTGTAATTTAATATTAAATTAACAACTTCCTAGTTGCACGAATAATGAGTATAATTCATTAATTATTCTTAATCCTTAAAGCTTTATCAATTATCTTTATTATTTAACTCCTATCATATACCAATTAAAGAACCTTTTGGTTATTACACACACAACGGTTCCTACATTACTAGACGATCACACATTTATTTATCTGGCCAAATGATCAAGTGTTCTACTATAAGATCTGTTCAATATTAAGTGTTTATTGTAAGGATTTATATGATCCATAGGATGTTTGGGGTGTATAAGACAATATAGGTATGGGTTATATTGAGGGTGTTAGGCCATTCTTTAGGGTAGGTTTTCATTAGATTTTCATAGATTTCATTAGGTAAAGCCTTCGTAGGCTTTTCTTAGGCTTTGTAGGTTTTCCATGTGTAGCTTAGTTTAGAGGGTAGTTATTATATAAGGGGTTCACATAAGGGGGGGACCATCACAGCATTAATGACGTGAAAATTACCTGACATCCAGCTACAAGCAGCAATATGTTCAGTATCACAGCCATTCCTAAGATACTAAAGAGTACCGTTGAAGTCACCACCTCTAAAGATGAGCCATTAGTTATAGTAGACTTCCGTAGTTCAGTTGTAACAAACAGACAGGCTGTCGCGAACAGTGTTAGAAGCTGAAAATGTAGTAGAAAAAATAAACATTGTTATTCCACTTTGAAGTAATTATCAATATTACTGACAACGGACCTTATTAAGTTGAACTCCCTACGGACTTCCATAAAAGTCCTCGTGGTTACCTAATTGTTAATAACTTCATTACGATGTGCCAACTGACTTCGTTTATTCTCGCCTATTATCCCTTACATACAGTTCGCTAACATATACCAATACAGTTACTATTATTTCATCCATAATACTCACAGGTAGTAGAACAGTGTAAAAATCAGTTAATAAGCAAATAAAGTACCTAAAAATAGTAACAATCTAGGACAATTATACATACTACATGTGCAATTAGTACACTCCTCAATATACGAATAGGTATACTTACCTATTTAAATATTTCTTATTTACTAGTAATATGATATGCTGCTTTTAAGAACTTACGATATTTATACATCCAAATATTATAATTCCTTTTCTCAGCGGCAAACAAAAGCAGCATCTTTTCACTTCAGGTAATTTCATGTGCATCCTAATTTGTATGAATTAAACCTTAATTTAACAATTATTAGGTATTTTAATACACACGAGATGTCTCAATCCTCCTGTACATCAGAATAAACAATGACGCTTGCATCTACTTAGCAGTACTTGCAGTCTAACTTTTATCATATGTATATAAATGAATATATAAAGATGATAGTGAGTTTGTTTATGTTTTATAAAAAGATATGAATTTATTCTCAAAGTTATTAAAATTTATTCTTTCTACTGCCTAGGTAATGTGATATTTTTTTTCTTTTATATATGTGGTATCTAACAATAATTATTTATGCAGTGTTTCTAATATACCTATAGAGGGGGAAAGGAATTGTTAGTAATGGAGACTGAGAATCCCATTGCTAGCAATATATCCAACCAGGTCGACCTCCTCGCGATTCTCCCTGGAAACTATCATGGGTAATTCCTGATGAATTCATCATGATGAGCTAACTGGCCTGTTTTCATTCTCATCTATCACCCTTCACTGGTGCTCCGCCAGCGTATCCGTTAGCGCAGGCGGGGTTACCATATCATTTACACCCATAAAAAAAATATACCTATATCACCTTACCAAAATATCTCTGTGACTATTGTTGATAAACCTAAATAGATAAATAGTATTATATTATTTAATGATTGAAGTATGGGCAGTAGCGTCCTTCTTAAAACGTCACCAAAAACTTACTGGGTTGCTAAACTTGGCGGTTACTACCAAAACCCTCCAATAGGTAGAGACCTATATACAGCAGTAAGTATATATTTAACGGCTGATATTATCTGTGCCACTGACAACTGGGATCATACATAATAAGAATCGCCTATAGACAATATCGACTTATGTTACGATGGCAGATAATGTTCACAAGTATATCGTATTTTTGCTATGGCAGTCCACATATTTACTTTTATCAATACACCGACTTTCTGGTCCTTTTCATCCAAACATAATAAAGTACACTTTGCTGTTTGCGATTATAATAAAAATACTTTTTGATTACTGGATCCAAGTGGTACCCGCCCATACAGATGAATCAAACAGAACTCTACTACATTAAGTAGTAAGTTATCTGCAAAAATAATACTACCCCAAATAATATCAGACTGGAAAGATAATCATGAATCATTACAAAATAATTAGAGAAAAAAGTAAATATGCTGCCATCTTCTTTTATATACACAACATACTTATCTTATTAATATAATGATATTATAACTAGACGATGTCTGCTCATGGAAGATATTTAAGAAAATTTACATGAGAGGTCATAAAAGTAAAATATCATCATGACATAAAAGTAACAGAAACCAAAACATTCTGCATAAATTTTGTATGTCTCTCTATCTGTCTGTCTGTTTGTCTATATGTTTGCACCGATATCAAGCAAAAACTATTGCACCGATTTGGATGTGATTTTCACAGACATATACGTATTTCTAAGACGTATTTCTTAAAATCTGATATATGTTTTATCTTATGGCAATAAATTATTTCAAAAGTGTCCTATAATTATATTGTTATGTTTCATATATTGTGAATACTAAGGGAACGAATTAGGAAACTGTCAAGCTCCCTTCGTTGGTAAATATAATAAATCAATAATAAATAAATCTTGATACACCATCTAGAAGCAGTACATTTAATTAGTTTATCCACTTTTGAAATCCACGCGAACGAAGTAACATGCAAAAAGCTATTGTTTAAATAAAACCAAACTGAATTGCTAGTTTATTAAGTACGAGTATATAAACAGAATAAATCATTATTGAAAAAATATTCAGATAACATATTGTGCAGTGGTTCACTGACACGTTTGGTAAACAATAATTTCAATGTTATGTAGTGCATTGACACTGAATGTAATGACAAATTTAATAAATATGACCATTCGTATATTCTATATTCGGTGTATTATTTGCACGCTATTCAATTGTATGTAATTAGGCACCTACCTATTATAAAGTAACGATAAATATTACCATAATCCATTTCATTTTAATATATCATTATAATTGAATTTGCAAACAGAAGACACGCAGTAATGTGTGTAAACAATTTAGTATTGAAGTCTATAGGTATATATCGGTTTCTGAAATAAAACTCTTATAATATAATAAAAAAAAGCACATTAGACTCATTTTATTATAGGATTCCTCAACTGTTTTTAAAGTTTTAATCATTAGAAACTTCTATATTCAAAAACTAAGTTTTTTTTTTTATACTTAGATTAGCAAACAAGCTGACGATGTGATACCTGGTAAAAAGCGATAATCGTCAGCTATAGACATGAACATCACAGTATTCTGTAATGCCCATGGTACACCTCATGTGTGACATTCCTGGGGACTAAGGTGTTATGCCTCTGGAACCTATAATTTCACTGTCATATCCCACACTTCACACGAAAACATAGTCAGGCAAGCACAACTGCTTTACGATAGTTATACAAGTGGGATGGAAAATTCCCATACAGAGCAATCTGCACAAATTCTCTCTCTGGTAATACAAAGTAAGACATAATTGCAAACATTTAATGAATATTGACATATTTATAATTATTTCCCCGGAGGTGGGGGACATACACAGTAAAAGAGATAAAAGAATGAAAAAAAAAAGAAAAGTAACAAAAAAAAAACAAAAGCAAAATATATAAATTAACAATTTCCATCTTTCATGCGTATGCCATAATAACACAAAATGGTCACAACTCAGTTTATTGCTTTGCTCTCAAAAGAGCAAAACACTGATAGTCTGATGTGCCCGAGAGCCAGTCGCGAAATTCCTTAATAAATTTCTAAAAAAAAAATTCTAATAGAACTATTACCTGATTTATTTATTATTCAAATTTTTATTGAGCAAATTCTCTGACAAACAGCAATCTTGACTACAATATGTGCAGGCGCTAGCAAGTGGTTTGGGCAGAAGGAACAACAATTTCTGAAAATTATAAAACTTAAATTCTCTTATGGGGAAGGCTTATGTTCAGCAGTGGACAGGTCACAGCTGATACGATATGGTGGAACAAAATATGTTAATATTTTAAAACTGAAATCTATTTGTTCCTACTCAAAGCGCTTTAAAATCCACCGCACAGATTTCATTTATGATTTTAAATAAATATATTAATAATATATCTGCCAACTCATAACAAGAGTTACATAGGTACTTATTTTTGGAATTACAGTATTCATTTATGTATGAAATTACTTTTCAATCTTTCTTTCTTCTTAGGTTCTTAATTTGATTGTAATTTCTTTTTATGTTCGATACGTCATGACTCCATCAGTTCTATGTCAATTTGAAAAATTATTTTCTTTATCTCAAAGAAGATTCTTACAGATTGTTCCCATAAAAATGTTATCAAAATCAATCGGTCCAGTAGATTAATTTATGATTAAAATAACCGATTTTTTTTTTGTGGGACACAATCTTTAATTATCTGCAAACCAATACCTGTTAATGGTGAAAATAGAATGGTAGCCCCTATAGGTCTGTGCTATACCAGCATTTAATGGGTTGATTGATAACAAAAAATACAAGATCCAAATTAAAAAATATGAACGTTGAACCAAAATTAGTAATCAGTTCACTACGTTTATTTTATGCAACTTAGTTTAAACATAGTCGCCCATTATAATGCATTGCCAATCCTGAGCACGAGTATGTACACTTCGTATACTTTTTCAATTGTTTAACTTTATCAAACGATTATTCAATGAAATAACATTACCTACCTCTCAACTGCAAGTCTAGTTTACGAGTTAATGATTCGTTTATTGGCAGTTATTACATAATTGAGCCACACAGTGCGACCCTCGGCAGACTCATAGCGATTATCCCCCTCATTGTTTGTTTATTTTTCATCCAATTACCATCTGTTTCCCGCTAACATAAACCAGTTAAGTACTTTTGTTGATGATTTAACTAATAGATGAGAGCAGAATTAGCCTAGGGAGATTTGTGGATTATACCTATATGCACCTACACAGTAGATAAAGTCACTTTTACTCATTTATTGGAAATCGTACAAACTATCGGGTAAGGTTGTGATTATTGGATTAGTACTTACACTACTCGTAGTGATCTGATTAGATAATTTCCGATACAAGTCACTTTATAAATAGACAAACATTAAACCGCTAACTCTATAATCAGCCTTTATGCCCCCTGTGTTATCACCAGCTTCCTAGTCTAAAGGGGCTGGTGATAAATACAATAGCTGCAAACAAATCAATCGATAAATACGTTATCGCTACCATAGCATGATGATCGTCATGTCGTGTACATATAATAAACATTCAAAAATAAGCGTCTCCATACAATGGATTTCTCATTATACCGTGAAGCATAATTAAGAAAAACAAAAAAAAAAATAACATTTAATTCGTGTTGTTTCCAATTTCATATCTTGAGCGTTTAGGTAATTTTGATTTCTCAATTTTTTTTATAGATATTTTTTACGAAAAGAGACGAAACAAAAACAAAATTAGTAACACAAAAAAATAATAAAAATATTAATTCAATTCGATGCTAATGTATAAGACCAATTTTATCACAACTCGTTTATTCACTCCAACATTATATATAATATACACAGCATAGGTCAAGTATTATTTCGATTTATCAGACAGATTATTAATTATCTTACTTAATTTAGTTTAAGATAAGACTTTGCTTCTCTTTGTAACTTAAAGTCTGTATAACGGATTGTGTTCTGGGGAACTTTTTGATGTATTTCTTACTTAATATTTCAATTTAATATCACAGCGACCGAATTTTTTATTTTAAAGACTAATATGAAATAAATTTCTAATTATAATCATTATCATAACAACCGTTAATTGTACATCGAAAATAAGCCTCTCCATAGACCGCCATGAAGAACAGTCCGAGCCACCTGCATCTATTAACTTCTCGGAATATTTTTCATGCATGTAATCAATTTAAAAAAAAATATTATGAATTTATTTTATGATGGCCTATAAAACGGTAATTTCTGAAAACTATCCACGTAAAATATTAGGTTAAGAAGTACCTTAGAGAAATGGAGCCTCAGAATCGACTCCAATATTAAACAACTGAAACGTCAAATAGTTAAACGTCAGATTTAATTTTTTAGTCTATAGCGTTCTAAAGAGCATTCTTTCGCCTTTTAGATTTTTCCAGTCATCTAAAATTATACAAAAATTTTATTTACTGTTAATTTATTAAATTTTTTGTGTTTCTTAAATAATTATAATTGCAGTTTTAAAACGTGTTAAGGTAAATTCAACTTTGTAATACCCTAATATTTAGTCTGGTACTCATTTCCCTATTTTTTGAGGTTAGTTTTGAAGGATTTCGGTATTAACATTTATTCATCTTTTTTGTAATATTTTAAACAATCAAGCATTCATTTTAGGAGATTTTATAGTCTTTCAAAATGTCACATCACAACTTATCTAAGTGATATTAAGACATCACTGATACTTTATTACACCAAAATTATGTAAAATTGCTTCACCGTAATGTATGTGATCGATTAATTTTGATTTAATTTAGTCCTCTTCCACAGCAATGAAATACAATAATATAGTCTAAATAATGTCAACCTAGTCAATTTCATTTAATACCTTGAAACCTGGCTGGAGATGATTGTCAATGAGTAGCAGTTTCATTGGTAGAAGTATACCATGCTGCCGATATTGTAAATAATCATTATCTCTGGCTAAATTGATCTGGTTGTTGATTACGGTTACCTCTGATTAAGTTGATCTTATATTTGGTAGCCAACTCTGTTATAATGTAATGCATTGGTCTTGTGATAATTATTTATGTACAAACAAATTTTGCAAACTAATAATTGGATATCCCTTATTTCCAGAAATGGCTGCACAACTTTTCAACCGCATTGGTCAGCTTGGCCTTGGTGTAGCACTTGTTGGTGGAGTTGTAAATTCTGCTCTATACAATGGTAATTAATTTTATAAATTATGTGGGTATACCAATAACATGGTTTGGCCTTGTAAAAAAATTTAAAACTTGTTAAATTTCAGCATTGAAACTTTAAAAGTTAAAATTAAATAAACAAAATTAAATATTAATAAACTATGAAACCTAAAAATAAAAACAAAATATGACAATTTGTATTGTCACCAAATTAAATTATTAACCAAATGTATAGGGATTATACCAAATGTCTATTTAACACCTATATATCATGATAGACCAAATGTTACCAGGAGAAGTCAAGTCTCTGGTACCAGTATGTGTGCTTTAGACAAATAACAGAGACCTTTCATTTTTCTTTGGCTATCCTAAAAATAATCTATTGCTTCTATGGTGGAAGCCATATTTTTTAAAAGAAGAAGAAGAAAAATAATCTGCCATGACAAAAAAAATCTCCTTTTACTTCTTCTCAGATACATTTAAAAACATATTTTCTGCTATAATTAGAGCTAATTACATACACACATTATCTATGGTCATATCACATGGTCAATTATATATAACTTGTTTTAATTTAAATTTTATTTATATTTTCAGTTGACGGTGGTCACAGAGCTGTCATATTTGACAGATTTGCTGGTGTCAAAAATATGGTAGTTGGTGAAGGCACCCACTTCTTTGTCCCTTGGGTGCAGAAACCTATAATTTTTGATATCAGATCTAGACCAAGAAATGTTCCAACTGTGACAGGCAGTAAAGGTAAACTTTACTTTAACTTTTTTTTAGTAACTCATCATTATTTCATATATTGATTAATATAACAGAACATAGCATGTTTTTCAACTTCATCCATTGAAACTCAAATAAAGTGCATAACTACCCATGCTGTCCATAGGATTCATAGATCATAAAGCTTGGCATCTCCTACCTTTATTGAACCATCAAAGTTATTGAAGTATAACTCAGATTCCTTCAAAAGAGGCATAAAAAAGTGTTTATATAAGCTGTATAGTGTGGGCCGCAAATTAGATGCAATATTGTTTTCGACCTGCTGCTTACACAAATAACTTTCATTATCACTTACTATCATTTGGCTATGGAGTCATTGTGTCATGCCAGTATAAGAAAATGGAAATTATTCATATATTTGATGACATTAGTAGTCTAGTAGATACACTGCCTACCTTCTGATGATTGTAAGTTCAATATTCACACAATACAAACATATTCATAGCTATTTATTACTGTAATACATAAATGTTTATTATATACATATTTACAAAAAAGTATGTTTATCATTTATCTAGTACATATAGTTGTACTCTGCTTAACTTGATACTAAGTAGCACTGTGATACTTATTTATCTTATTTTGAAGCCAATCTCGATTTACACTAAGTCAAATTTCAATTTTGCTTTTCTTCATTTCTCTATGAATTAAATGTATAAAAACTGCTTTGTAAATTTTTCTCTTGACATAGAACAATATTCTAAGTTAGAACCAACATGTTAGACTTGTTAATGCATTTAAATTTGTTATTAAATAATATGTGTAAGTTCTAATTATTATTTTTCACTCCACTTTCCAGATCTACAAAATGTGAACATCACCCTTCGTATCCTGTTCAGACCTGTTCCTGACCAGTTACCAAAGATTTACACTATTCTAGGTGTAGACTATGATGAAAGAGTACTACCATCAATCACATCTGAAGTCCTCAAAGCAGTTGTTGCTCAATTTGATGCTGGAGAACTTATTACACAAAGAGAGGTAACTATATTTCAAGTTATTTCTATACATAATTATCACTTTTATATATTCTATTAACTTTTTTTCTTAACTAATGGTATAATTTTTATAAGAAGCTATTCATTTGACTTTTAACCGACTTCATTAAATGCTTTGAGGATTTTAAGACATTTAATGATTATTATTCTTATGAATTATAGTTGTGGGCACTTAGATTTAAAACAAACTGTTGTAAATTGACTATATTATTCATGCTGACCTTATTATTTTGAAATGAAAGTATAAATACCATCTATATACAAGAAATTCTTACATGGTGACTATTCACACCATGTAACAATTTTCTTTTGCATATAGGTTAAATATAAGATAATCACTATCTTCAAGTTAATGTAGGATTAATTTCATTTTTACCTGACTTTTATACCACTCACAGGTATCATTATAAAATTTCACTTGCAGGTTGTATCACAAAAAGTCAATGAAAGCTTAACTGAAAGAGCAGGACAGTTTGGTTTGATCCTTGATGACATTTCTATTACACATCTAACATTCGGCAAGGAATTCACGCAGGCTGTTGAACTCAAACAAGTGGCGCAACAGGAAGCTGAAAAGGCAAGATTCCTTGTAGAAAAGGCGGAGCAGCAAAAGAAGGCTGCTGTCATTGCGGCAGAGGGTGACGCGCAAGCTGCCATTCTTCTAGCAAAATCTTTCGGTAGCGCCGGCGAGGGCCTTGTAGAACTCCGACGTATTGAGGCTGCAGAAGATATCGCATATCAACTATCGAAATCACGTAATGTCACTTATTTACCTCAGGGGCAAAATGTACTGTTAAATCTTCCTACGCAAAATTAAACGGCTGATTATTTATAATGTATATTAAGATTTATTGTGGTGGACTCTATATAATTGCATTTGTATTTACACAATGTTTAATATGAAATAGTGTAATAAATTTATAAAGACTCCACCTATAAAGAACATAGTGTTGAATTAGTTGTATGTTAAAAATATGGTACCTACATTAAAATTTTGTTGGAAATATATGGTATTTCTCTTGTATCCATACAAATTCAACCAATTCAGTGTAGGTGTATTTTGTACTCTATAACTGTTAAAAAGAAGTCAATTCTATGAAGTTTTCAAAGGATATAAAAAATAAGTCATAAAATTTTACTAATTTGTATGAATTGAATAAATAAATCATTCACATTGGCACAAATTAATTTGTAAAAAAATCGGAATCCATCTGAGGCCACATGTGGTTTAATCAATAAACCACTTATTTTCTTGTAGAGGATGAATATCCCGCGACCCTCGACTAATGAAATTACCAAGTTTCTATATCATTAAACATCTTGTTTAACAAATGTTAAAACATATTTAACAGTTTTATTAAAAGACAGAATTTTTTATCAATGATATTACTATATCACTGATATAAAATGATACTGAAGACAATGCCCTTTCATATAATTCACCCTCCTCTTTTATAATAAATGTGACTACTAAATCTGGCCAACATTTAACACTGTACACGACTGTTTTGAAAGTTCAACGCTCTAGTTCCTATTGATTGATATAAATGCCTACAGTTTCACTTGTATTCAACAAAATATAGCTTACCATACAAAAAATCTTGAAAGTATCAAATATTAAGGACTGAACCAAATAAATACATCATAACTAGAATTTCTGCATGTATACCTTTTTTTTTAATATTATAAGCAAGGATGAACTTATGGTATCTCTATAGGATAAAGTTAATCCAACATAGGAAGTCTTGAGTAGGCATCAGTAATGTGTAAAAGAGTATTGAAGCATATTTAAATACTATTACATACGTACAAAATATAAATATACTTCAATCTACACTAATATTATAAAGAGGAAAACTTTGTTTGGTTGTAATGAATAGGCTCAAAAACTACTGGACCGATTTTAAAAATTCTTTCACCATTCGAAAGCTACATTATCCACGAGTAACATAGGCTATATTTTATTTTGGAAAAAAATAGGGTTCCGTAAGATATTTGGATTTATCGGACACAAGGTGTAAAAAATCACCCAGAAAAGTTACTTATTTTGCGTATGCTGCCTAAACTATAAAAGATAGAACCATAAAATGTTCTAATTAATTGTAGATCTTATAAATATCTACAAAAAAGTCCACGACACACTACTACTACTATTACAGTGTGTCGTGGACTTTACTAGTGTGTCTACGTCGAGTAAGGCACAACAACCATTTTTTTATTTAAAAATCTTAATTTTTTTAGACTACATTTAAACGCATTTATTTTAGTAATGCTATTAATCCTTATCAAAATAAATTATTTCATCACTAAGTACAGTTTATGTATATAATATTTGGTCTTTGAATGATTAAAATTGGACGTTTTGTTTTGAAGTTATGTCGAAATTAAAATATTACGATTTCTGCAACAAATCGGAAGAAAAATTGTATAAAATTCGCTTATCTTTCGCGAACTGACTAAATAGTTGCTTATAATGAAAAACAATGATCTACGGTTTTAAAGTACTCATTGACAAATAAGTCTACGATAGCATATGTCTAACTATTATGATTAGGTCACAATAATCATTTTTCTTTCTCAAATTACGAATAACCACGCTGGTCGCCGTCTGGGTGGTATTTTCATACTCCAGTATTAATCCTTATCCAAATAAATCTATCGAGTTATTTTTTTAAAAATTGCATATTGCGATAACCAAGATCCACGCGGGCGAAAGCTAGTAATAATATACAAATATATAATAAACAAATCTAAAAATAATACATACATAAATATTAAATATATACAAATTTAATATATGTAAATGTAATGCAATTGCATTTTTTACTATAATGAATATGCAAAATATAAATAATCTTCATTCAAATAGACTTATTTACAAGCTTTAAATCAAATTTGTTTTATGATTCTACTACTGGGTTTGAAATGTTGCTATTTACTGAGAATAACCTTAAGAAACTCAACACATACTCTTTCCAATTTTTTTATGTACTACATAATTTAACATTTGTATGGGTATGGTAACTATAATTATCACAAACTTTAAAAAACTTTCATGTTCTTCTACTTTCTCTTACATCTTATACTGAATGGGTATCATCAGTGAGAAGAGATTCATTATCTTTATCTAAAGCATAATTATCCTTATCAAAACCTCGTGATTCACTTTTATTTATTTTATTGAAAAATAAATTCTCTCTTATGCAAGCTTCTTTTATATATGCACTTTCTGTACTATTCAATCCTTCAGGCAAAGTCAGTTTACTCAAATTATCATTTTCTTTAAAATTCTTAATTAATGTATCTACCTCATGTTTGAACTCATCACTAATTAAAAGCATATGAGGACTGGAACTTTTAGTCATAATTAATTTATTTTGATTACAAATATTTCTAGTTTTTGTCAATAACATCATTTCATTTCTCATATCTTCATTATCTGGGTGTAACTTCATAGCTCTCTTTAACCTTTTTTCAGCATAATCAAACTGTCCTATCATTCTTAATGCTTTTGCATTCTGAAACAGAGCTTTTTCATTATTCCAAAGGCTATTCAACCTATTTAATTCATTACATGATATACATGCCCTTAATGGTTGCTTAGTTTTATTGTAGCAAATAGCTAGATTAATATATAGTTTTATTAGCATTTTCTCTTGAATAGATTCCTCAGTTTCATCAGCTAATCTACATTTGTGTAACATTTCAACTGATTTTTTAAATAACTGTATGGCTGCAGAGAAATTATTGGTTTTATATAATGTGAGTCCAGAGCTATATAACATTGTAACTTCTTTATATATTCTTTGAAACATATTTGGTTCTGAAAAGTCTATTGGTCTGAAAGATTTAAACAGTACAGTTAATAATAATAAAAAGGTAAGTAACTGGAAAATCTATATGAGTAGATATTATTAAAGACAATTAAGGCAGGATCTAAAAAATAACATTATAACTTACAGATAGATATATCTACCATAATTAATTCCACAACTATACTATCTATATTCATTGGTGGTATCCTAAATTCATAAAAAAAAATGTCTTACCCTTCTTTTGGTGTTAGAATGCTTTTCACAAGTTTTATATAAAAAACACATTTTGCTTTAGGTTTTATTCTCGGAGGGATGCCCATTTCCCCATACATCACTTGATATGCGAATAAAAAGACTGACTTTTCTCCAACTAACATTGATTTGATAGCTATCTCAAGACCAGGCAGTAAACCATTATCTTTAAGATTCACAATCTGAAAGAAAATATAAAAATATGAATAAATTTAAATCCAATATTTAATTATTCATATTTGTTATAAACTTTTTTATATATACTGTCATTATATTATAATTAATTTAATAAATAAATAAAGTTTAAAACACATAATTTACATACCATAGGTTTTTGAATAGTTTTTACGTCAAAGGGCACAGATTCATTCTCCCAGTAACCTGAAAATGCTACTGAAACTGTATATTCTTTATTTGGCAACTGTCCACCGCCTTCCTCAAGGACCTTTTTTTTCACATACCCAATTTTATCTATGGGTATCAAAATTTTCTCAAATTCTTCAAAATTTTTCATTGGGGCACCTAAGAAATCAACAGGGTTATTATCGTTACGCTCTAATTCTTCATTCTCTGTGTCATTATGATCCTGATTAATGTGCAGTAAGGATCCAGTAGTTAGGACTTGTCTGTAAGAGAGATAATATGTATATTACATTGTTATTATTGAAATAAGCTAAAGAAAATAAAAAAAATATACAGTTCTGATAACCAGGCATAAACATACCTCAGATCTAACCCATTTTCTAAAACAATTGGCGATGATTTAGATTCCATTTGATAGTGAACGAAAGTACAGATTTAAAAAATATATATTGATATTAATGCATCAAAAGTAATAATAATGGAATAAAAACAATTTTTAATTGGTATCTAAATACTAGCTGATATTTATTTTTTATTTATGACATGTAACTAAAAGTATGATCTGATAAATACGACATCAGCTTGGTGTAATTTGAACATAATGATAGTATTGCAGATAAGATTAATTAATTAAGATTTCCTATATATACAAAGTACTCTGTGGATAAGAACGTAGTTCTCCAAGTAGTCTGTGATAATGATATCGTAGTCATGCAGTCAAATCCTTATGATTTGACAGTAGCATAGATTAAGCATAGTACGTATAGTATTATATAATCTGTAAGACAGTAAAATCCTAATCACAGATTAAAGAGATTATGTCTAAAGATCCCAATTATCCGAATTGCCTTTATTAATTTTTTTTTTCTTAAACCTTTTCATACATGTATGTACCAACCACGCAAATTACGCGGCTCACTTTAACGCTGTTTGACGCATTATGCATCGCATAATGGAATGATAACAATAGGAGTAGGGGGGAAAGGGATCGTTAGTAATGGCACAGATAATGTAATACTATTGGTAATGGAGACTGAGAATCCCATTGCTAGCAATATACCCAACCAGGTCGACCTCCTCGCGGTTCTCCCTGGAAACTATCATGGTTAATTCCTGATGAATTCATTATGATGGGCTAACTGGCCTGTTTTCATTCTCATCTATCACCCTTCATTGATGCTCCGCAAGCGTATACCGTTAGCGCAGACGGGGTTACCATACTATTTTCATCCATAAAAAAACCATAGGAGTAGCGGGTTTGGGGGGGGGTGGTTTAATAATGCGAACTACCAGTCCCATTGCTTTGATTTTATTGCATTATATATACTTGTCATGACCTCTACGTTATCTCCCTTAGAAACTATCGTGCTGATTTCCAAGAGTATTCATCACTATGGGCTAACTGACCTGCCTTTTTGGGGGAAAGAGATTGTTAGTAATGGGAATTTACCAGTTCCATTACTGCCAATATACTTTATCAGGTCAAGCTCCTTGCGGTTCCCCCTGGAAACTATTGTGGTAAATTCTTGTGGAATTTATTATAATAGGTTAACTAAAAACCTCTAAAAACAAACTTACTTAAACTTGCGGTCCAGTTTTTAAACACAAAATTTAAAGAATTATGGCTTTAAACTGATACATTAATTATAAGACCTACCTACTTATTTGTAATACACTGACAATATTTTATTCACTATGAAGTTAACACATACAAACATTTATGGATTTAAATAGAGTACGCGACCTACTTTGCAAAAAAAAACTATATAATCATGACATCAATTTTGAAAAAAAATTACACCATTATATTAATGGTGTCTTTACATAAGTATAACGGGAATTTTATGAACTTTGTCATTTTCGACATAACTTTAAGATGAGACGAAACACTGTTACGCACAGGGCCGTTTGTTGGAGTTTTAATACTGGCTGTTGACACTGAGTTTTTTTAGAAATATGCTCTAAAACTAAATAGTCTTACTTATCTCAATTTGGTGTACATGTTTTGAAAAGGTAAATACTACCTTCTATAGAGAAAAGCATTACGAGTATACTAATTAAAATATAATAAACTAACTGTACTTTCTTTATTTGGTTTTAATAATTAGGAACAATGAGACATCAAAAGTTAAATTAAATTACAATAATACATACTTATTACTAGGTATTGAAATTACTTATTCATAAGTCATCAATGTAAACATAATTAAAAAATATTTTATATTTAATTAATTAGGTAAGTATATTCACTTTTCGTAAATATGTACAAATCACAGTGCTTCTCTTAATGTGGTTCGGGAATTTTGTGCTAAAGATTGCCGCAATATAGCAATGTATGACGATATCAAATCATCCATTTTGTATCCCAGGGAAGTTTCGCATAGTATCTTCGTTCCTCGAAGAAAATTGCCCATGGTCATGTGGAAGAATGTGTTACCAGATGACCAATTAGATATTTGGGAGAACGGATGGGTTACCAATACATCCTGAAAACCAACAAAAACGTATTATAATATATCTTTTGTGCCTCTACAACTTTCTACCTGATAGAAGTGGTAACTGTAAAGTTAGTGCGGCGCACATGGTGTTCTTTATATGTAAAATATATGTGTATAATATGTATGTATAATATAGATACATGTATTTTATAAAATAAACTTATATCTACCTAACTTATTTTTATTTATTTCGAGAACGTAAGAATGAACGAAATACTGAAATCTTTATCCCACTACCTATTATCTAAAGGAAAAAAATATTAGCGGAAACTAATAGCTACGTTGCTAGCATATCAGCTCTATTTCCATGTGGTATTTCTTAGGAATACCGCGGTTATTTTTTGGTGAATTCGTCACGATGGACCGACTGATCTACTTTTATCATCACCTGTCACCTCACTTGTGCACCGACAGCATATACCAATAACGTAATTAAGTTACCATTTCATTATTACCCAATACAAAAAAATTAAGTAAATACTTACCCGACTTTGAGGATGAATAACATTGACTCCATTTTTATTTATTCCAATAATAACCAATTCGGGATACGATGGATCTGATGTTTGTTTAACTTCAAAGAATGCTGTACCAAATGTTGGTAACTGGTAAATTTTCTGAAGAAATGCTTCCTTGGCTTCGTTTTCTGCCATGAAATTGATCGATTGATAGGCATTGCTGATTGATGTTTTCCATGCAGATTTAGACTGTATCCTGACCATGTCTGGTGGTATAAATTCTTCCAAAAGATCGCCAATTTGAGATAAGAGAGATGTGTCATTACCAAATCTCGCTTTATAAACAAGAGCTGCCAACTCGACAAGATCCTGTTTAGATGTTTTATGATAACCTCGTAAGTACTTGGGCAACTCTTGTGGGAAGTAGAATATTTGATCTGCATTTTTATCTTTACCAGGAACAGTATTAATCCACAGTTTTTTCATAAAAAATATCTGGTAATTCATCTGAACTAGTGTACCTACAAATTGAAATAGTAATTAAAAGATATAATATAAGATATAATCAGTAACAAATAAATTAGACGAAAAAAAAAAATAATATACTAACTTCCTCGAATAGGACGTGTCTGCTTCATCCATTCTACTAGTTCATAGACAAAATCAAAGAAATAGTAATTTTCGGGAACAGAAAATACTTTATCGGCAATTTTTACGAACAAACTAAATCCGTCGCTATTCTTCAGGCTTAACCTTCCAGTTATTTGCTCACAAAGATCCTTAGCTTTAGTGGCAGAATCTACTTCGAAAGCTTCATCTGTATCATCTGGAAAATATACTTTATGATATATCTGCAAACTTCTATGTTGAATAGCTTCAACCTCTACAACATATGGAGCATACATTCTTGGTCCACTCTTTTGAATCCTAAAAACACGTTTTAAGCATTCTTTAGCAATAGGATGCGGTCGAGTTTTAAGAAATTCCACTAACTCTTTTAGTAGAGTTGGTCCACATGCAAAAACACCAGTAGCCAGCCACATCAGCTCCCAGCCTCGTTCTTCACTGAGTTGTATCTTATTATTAGTAAGTTGCTTCATTATTTGGCAGTATATTTCATCTCTAAGTGCGGATTCTGTAATTGCTGATTTAAATATTTCATCTGTATATTCCGTAACCGCCCTTGCTTTTGGAGCAGGCATGTCTCCCATATACTTTAGAATTCCGATGTAAGCGATAACCGCGTGTTTTGAAAGCTGGTCATTTTCTAATAGTTTTTTTAATAAAGGTTTACGAATTGGTTCTCGGCTGTGGACCCATAGGTCAGGTAATATCCCCTTCTTAGCCGTAGTTAATGTTGAATGCCCACTAATGTGTGTATTGCTTTCTTTATTCTCTCTAAAATTTTCTTTAGCAAAGTTTTCTAGAGTGTACATTCTCTTCCTCTGTGCTGTGTTATACAACGATTTTAGTTTTTTGTTAGCGTTTATATTACCTTTTTTAAATATACTTAAAACGTTGTCACTTGGAATGGTTAATGTTGGCAAAATGTATACTTGCTCCGTAGGGAAAAGTCCTTCTTGACCATTACAAGTGCCATGACCCCATGTAGAATTCATTAAGGTTTCACCATTGCAATCTTGTAAAAGTGTTATAAAATCTCCTTTTTTATATTGCAAAAAAGATGATGCATCACTATAGCCTTGAGCATCACTTTGGGCGATTACATATATAGATCTCCTTTTCAGTCCATCGATAAGATATATTATAAGAGAGCTCAATTCACTAGCATCAACACTTTGAAATTCAAATTCTTCTTGTTGTATTGTTCGAATTGTTATTCTACCTACATTATCATATTGTTCGTCTTCGTTGTACGCAACGTAAGTTATTTCGCAAAATGTAATTTCAAGAAGAATGGTCTCGGACTGATCTACAATATAGATCCCCGTCCAATTCACAGCTATTATAACAATATCTTTATTGATAGTGTCACCTTTAACTTTCATAGCTTCAAAAAATCTGGAGAAAAGCATAGGCCATTTAAGTTTTGCAAATATTACAATATCTTCTTTGCACCTTAATGGGTTTATTTTTGATTTTATACTCTGAGAGGACTCAAATGCTTTTGTAACTAAATGTTCCCACTTAGTTAACGCAGCATCATTAGATTGAATAAATTGATTTGGTATATAATTTACAATAACTTTGCGTAAAACATTTGGGTCTATCCGTGATCCATATTCAACATAATGTTGCTGAGCAGCAATCATAGCCAAATCGTTCTCTGAATCGCATCGATACTCTCCGAATTTGACACCCTTTGCTACTTGGTGATAAATTAAATTAGTAGCAACTGCATCTTCAACTGGGTTATGCCAAGGAGTAAATATTTCTTTTCGATAAAAAAGCCTCCACGGAGCATTTTTCTCAGGTGTGCCTTGTTCCTTAGCAAATTGCTCACATTGGGAAATTGCATCCATTATGTGTTCTCCTTCACTTCCTAAAGACAAAACCTTATCATACAAAGTTATATACAGGGAAAAACCAAATACATCAGTTAAGCCTATATTATCTGCAATTTGTTGACAGATTTCTTCCGCTGTAGTTGCTGAATCAGACTGAATAGTTTTTACTGACTCATCCATCAAGGTAACCGTTAAAAGTATTGGTCTCTTCGTTTTTGTTGCTTGTAATTCCAACCAACTGGGTGGTTGGGTTCTAGAGCCATTCTTAAATGTTCGTAAAAGTCTAGCTTCACAATATGGTGCATACCCAGGAGGACCTCCACGAATAAAGGATCGTAAATAATTTACAAATCTTTCCGAGGGCGAGAAGCAGCCGACACATAGTGACAGCAATATCCAACCACGAGCATGTGATGCTTTCGATGGATTATTAGTCAGTTGTTTGCATATTTGACAGAATATTTCGTCTCTAAAACAAATTAGATTAGTTACACATTTCTATTTCTTAATCGAACCTTAATAAATAATAATAAACACATAAATGTATCTAGGTAAACATTATTAGGAAAAATATTATAGCTCGACAAATGATAGCATATGTTCATTGCATGACGGACGTACAAATACTTAATAATATGTATCAATATAGTATATATTCTTCATAATGAGTACCTTAATTCTTTTCTAATAATTCCATGTCCAATTATAAAGTGAAGTTTTTCTAGATTGGAACTTCGTTTAGCATGTAACCAATTATTGTACATTTCAATAGTAATTTCGTCGTTTAATAAGCTTTTCATAAGCTCTTCATTTAACTTCGTCTGTCGCTTTAGTGTCTTATTTATCATTTTTTTATTATTTGTGTTGCTCTCCTGACCTAAAAGTTCCTGTAAAACATACAAAAATATGTATAACATAGTTGTAGAATAATAAATTATCAATTTAACAAATGATGGAACAAACAACATATGAAAACGGACTACCTAGTTGTAAAATTAAATATATCAATGCATATAAGATGTCTAACAACAAAAATTACAATTGGTGTAGACGTTTTAATATATTACTACGTGTTAAAACACAACAAACAGGGTGGTAAATATAAAGATACATAAAATATGGGTTAGAAAAAGTGTAATATATAAAATTTGTACGAGAATACGTTAATTTAATAAAGTACAAGTATTAAGTTATATTAGTTGTGGTTAACCTCAAATTCTTTGCTCTTTTGGAATGCACGTCCCACAGTATTTGAAAGCTTAGTCATAACAGGCATATTGTCAACTTTATCGTCTACATATCTTGGTTCTGGCAAGTCTCCCATAAATCTTAATATTGTGGTCCATAAAGCGAGTGCAGCTTCTTTATCTATTGGTGACGGCAATTCTAAAAGTGAGTGTTTCAGCTGTTTTCTGGAATATTGATAATTCGTGTTTCCTAAAAAGTATGTAGCGGCAAATTTCCTGAAGTTGTACTCATCAATAGGTTCTTCTTGAACTTCTTCTGGAATCGGTATTACTTGTCCTTCGGGTTGAGGAGTGGAAGTCTGAAAATTATAATTGAGTCTACGCAATAAAAACTGAAAACTTAATTGGTTATAATGAAAATAAGAATATATAGCCATGACTAACCACGCCAAATCCAGTACCACGTATTGTTCCACGTGGAGTACCAGTATCTTGGAGAAATCCAAAGACATCATCTACATATTTATCATCTATCATCGCCAAGTTTTGAGCGCTATTTTCTGTTGCATCTTCCTTTGTAATCCATATAGTTTTCATCAGATCGTTTATGTCTTTTTCGTAGTTATCTTCAGCAACATCGACACTAATTATACCTGTACGTAGTGCTTCATCTTTATTTTTTTTCAATTCGGCCAATTTTGCTCTAATAATTTCGCCCTTTTCTGTAATCATTTTTCTAACAAGGTAACCTTTGCAATGCGCTTGAAATTTTGTAATAAATTTTCGCAAGTTTACAAAAGTCTTTCTCAGTTCTCTAGATCTGATAGCTGCCTGCAAGCGTAAATATCCTCTTCTCATAATGAGGTATTTTTTTCTGTAGCCACGAGCACGGAAATGCTTTTGAATGGTGATAGCAGCATCTCGTAATCTGAGGAATCGTTTCCTAAGAACAAATCTTCTGGCATTTGCTTGCACTTTAATGACAGCTCTTATCAACACTTTATGCCTTAATTCCTCAAGCAAAACGTCGTGAGTGTCTTTAAGAAATACTTTTGTGTGTCCAAGACGAAAGTCGTCATCTTTCAATACTTGACTGCAAATTTTCTTGGCAGCAATTTTACAGTCTGTTTTCTCCGCTGGTGGTATATCAGGTACTATGAGACGATAACGATGCACAAACTCATAGTATGAATAGCGAATGGGATATCCAGCTTGTCGAATTTTTGCAGTTTCCATCAACCCAGCATATCTTAATTGTCGAACACATAGTGCTCGATCTAAAACCTGAAAAAAAGAATATTTATAGGTCCTAATAAGAGTCATAGGTATCTAATATATAACAATCATCTTTACTTCAAACTACGCATTCATATCTGTCACGAATTAGAACCGTTCTTATAAGACTAACATTAGCAATCCATTGACTATATTTTTAACTAATAACTACTTATAATTTATACATTATTACAGTGAATACTTGCTCCTTTAATTCCACAAAAATTGAAAACAAATAAAAATATTTACAATACCTGCTTACCTTTGGCTTTTTAAATTCATTAGGCTTAATACACCGAACAAAAAATGGATGGCATGCGTACAAAGTTTTCATCAAAGACTCTAAAGATGTTTTGAATTGGTGACTCAGTGAAATTGTCTTCCTACTGCCACTCTGTGTAGACACGGTATCAATACTGAACAAATTTTTGAGAAATGAATTGCCTGAATCTAATATCATTTCTTTTATATCAGCAGTTAACATGTCTCTGTTTTTATCCAAGAAACCTGAAAGTACATAATGTATTGTATTTTAAATACCTAGCTATATATTTCTTATGACAATAAGCACAATTTAAAGTATGCACACTCTTATTATTCTATGCATTTATATTGTTATCTCACCTTTTACTTCATATTGTACGTTTCCCGCAAAATGTTTAATACCAAATATGTGTTGATGTGTTGACTTAGGAGCTATATAACAAGCTTTATTACTGTGGTTGCTATGAAGTTTACTGAGCAATGTTAAATCAGTGCCTTTAGGAAATCTTGATTCCTCATCTATGAGTGAAAGCAAGTTCATCGGTTTTAATCCAATCAGATCTAGGTTTTCTTGGTTATCAACGTAATTAATATTAGTCCAAGTTATACCTTCCTTCTGGTACTGCTCTTGTTCAATTTTGAAAATATGCTTCACAAAAAATTGCTGTAAATTTTCGTTTGCATAGTTGATGCAAAGTTGCTCGAAACTGTTTGATTCAAAATTTTCAAATCCAAATATATCTAGAATACCAACTGAATTGCTTGATAACTGTTGATCTTTGTGTAGCGTTTTATTTATAACTGTGACTATATAGTCAAAAATATGTCCATAAATTGCCTTAACAAGTGCATCTCTACCGTCCAATGCTGCGGAAACGTTTACATTAGACACAACTTTTTCCCCATGTGCTACGAATGTCTTTCTTGTTAATGCTTCACAAAGAACCGATTTGTTTACTCCTAGAAGATTTGCAACTCTAGTTGCATTGACCATATCAGCAACTTCCGATGACTCAATATTATTTACACTAAAGCTTTTAAATTTCAAGTTCCCCAAATGCAATATGGCGGAAAGAAGGCAAAATATAGACCACACTTCATTGTCAGTAAAATTAAGAACTTTAAAAGCGGACCTTATGTCGGCAAACTCCAGACTATCGTTACGGCCTTGACATGTAACCATATTTCCAGAGTTCAAATAATTGTAATCGGTCGGACGACCTAAGTCTAATTTCTTTTTTTCTTCAGAAGACAATCCCTCGACAAGGGCGTAAAATATGTGGTAATTTCTTTCACCTTGATTTTGAAAGACAATACGCGATTTTTCTAAAAGGTATTGCTCTATATTGCCACCTTCGATTATACCCTGCTTGTTAAAATATATGTTAATATATTTTCCAAATCTGGACGAATTGTCGTTTTTTACTGTTTTAGCATTACCAAATGCCTCTAATACTGGATTTGTTTCTTGAATTTGTTGTTCAATCCATGAATGCTTTCCACTAGCCGCTGCCAGGTACTGCAGCAGCAATTTGGTACTCTCAGTTTTACCAGCGCCACTTTCTCCGCTGAAAATATTTTAAAATATTGTTAGTAAAACAATAGAAATAAAACACTTACTTATTCAGCTATTACTAAAAATTTTCTCATTTCGAACGGTTTTTTTAATATCTGTTATGCGATATCATTGTCAAATCTAAACCAATAATGATAGTTATTTTCACAATCAATAAGATTTACTTCCATGTTGCCGTTTTTGTGAACAGAATATATATGCAGTACTTTTGAAAATACTCAAACTATTATATTACATGTATATAGATAAATTTAAAAAAAAAGTAAACATTTTACCTAATTACTATGCACTGATTTACAGTACTCTCTTTTAACTCTCTGTATGAATTTTCTCCTATAGCAAATATATGTGGGGGCAATACATCGCCGTCTCTTATAGTCTGATAAAAATGTATCTGGTCCATTGTATATATAGGCAATATTTCGTATGGATTTATAGCTATTAACATAGAACCTGTGTATGTCTGAAAGAGTACACGGATCAAATTAAAAGAATAACGAACAACAAGAACAACCAACAAAATTATATACAAATACAGTAGAACAATTGAATAGTGCTCATAAAGGATAGAGATCGGCTAATCTAATTCAGCCTTATGGTTTTAAATATAGAAAGATATATCATATTAGATATAGTACTTTGTCATCCATTCTAATTAAAAATTCACAACTATGTAGATAATAATAGTGTATAACATATTCGCAAAATCACTTTTAGTAGGTACTTGTTACTAAAATTCGTTGATTATAAAAATATATTTCATTTAGGTAGATACCACCTTCTTACAATGTTGATAATTACTTATAGATTAATTAAATAGATAAAAATTTTAATTTGTATGTATTATATAGTTATCTAACATAAATTATAATTATCTACTTGATAATCAATATTCTATACATACGTATATTAGTTGCTGATTGTATCTTATGTGAAGATTACGTAGGATTGTATACTCTTGAAGTTCGCCGAGGGTGATCATATCCTCAACTCCTGTCCTCGAAGTGGCATGTAACGGTTTCAGGACATTATTAATCGACGTCGTATATACCTTACCATCATCGTCCCGTACTTCTATTATATCACCGCTCGTTTTAAGGACCTTTACCGCTACAGGAATATCGAATTCCGTATTACCCTGGGGCTTTATCCAAACCAGGTCCTGAAAAACAATTAAATCCATAGAGAACGTTATATGTAGCTTTGTAATTATACTCGATGCTAAAGTGGCAAATTCGAATCTAACACTAAGATAGGTGTATGTGTATTAAATGTATGTATATATATATATATATTAAAAAAAAGTTTTATCAGTGTATCAGATATTAAAGGCGTTAAACTTATGGCCATAGGGTTTTACCCCATGCATGTTATATGGCCTTTATGGTATTGACAATAAAAAAAGGTAGTTTATTTTAAAAACAATAGTTTTAGAAATAAACTACCTGTGTGAGATGGTATACGAAAAATTATATCTTGTTAATCTTGAAAAATTATATCTATAACTTTTCGTATACAACTCTACATATCTATATAACATTTTGTATACCTCCTTATTAAACATTCTATTATAAAGATGCTAAATAACTTCGTTCTAGCTAATAGTATGTTCCCTACTCGTACGTTTTCAATCCTTGTGACATAATGATCATGGAGTCATTATGCCCAGTGTATTTACCATCATATTTCTCCGTTCACCGGAAACCAACATGGAAACATTGTTTTTAGTCCATCATGGAAGTCTATTTTACCTAAGCAGAAGTTCTGTATAAGCATTATAATGTTAGATTCTACAGTCAAATTGAATATTAGGGTACTATTTATTTTTTATTATTGCCAAATAAGCTAACAATCCAACTAAATAAAGTAAAAATCATCATCAATAGGTGTCACAAAAATACCGTTACATATGGTAGGTATTTTCAAAATTGTACGGCATGGAAAAGAATCTGCTGAATTAAGAAAAGTCATAAAATTTTTATAATAATTAAATTAGACTTTGATTTAAATATAAATTCTAGTATAACTACCTATACTTTACTTATCTATTTATCGACCTATATTTTATCAACAAAATATGAGGTATGATTTCAGTATTATCTGTACGGACACTATGGACAACTGGTTATAAATTTTAATTAGCTTTTCGAAATTTCCATCTAATTTTTTACCTATATATAGACACGAAATTATAGTATGTAGAATTTTTGCGATTGTAAATATAATTATATATTCTCTGTACTAATTGTTAGTATCAATATATGCTGTGTTTGCCTATAAAAAAATATTACACTTAGTTCTAAGCTCCATGATTGTATAAATAGTTACACTATATTGTGGAAATAATTGTTGGTGAATCTAAATAAATAACAAAAATTAAATCAAAAATCTCACCGATAATTGAATCTGACCAGCCATCTTCGCACTTCTGAGATTCACTTCACGTAACAAAAAACATTGTCCGCTTTACATTCACACTCGATTACAACTGTCCCTCTTATCAAATATATTCCCTTATCACAATCAGCACGGGAAACGCACAGTCGAGGCTTATCAAAAATATTTAATAGATAATCTCTAATATAACCTACCCAAATACGTCACGTTACAGGTGAATTAGGTGTGAATTTACTGTAAGTAAATTCACCATGATAAAGAAAACAATAAATAGGTAGGTAGGTACGTACCTATAGGTACTTTTTTCAATGTATGAAAATGGAATGGTAACCCCGCCTATACTATCGGTACTACGTTGGTTGGGTTATCGGTATTGATGAAGATGAAGTCAGATCAGTCAGCCCATCATGGAGAATTCGATAAAAATTAACCTCGATGGTTTTCTAATAAGGTAATTACAAGCAATGGGGCTATTAGAATTCATTATCATCAAACCCTTTTCCATCTAACTTATAGCTACTTATCTAAAGCATTTTAAGTTAATGGTCTATTTCTGTATTTAAAAATATCCATTTAGATATATCTATGCTCGAATAACAAACATTTTTAAAAAGTTTCACATGAAAGTAGACCTGCTAGGCTTGTGTGCGTGGTAGTTTAATAGGCTAAAATAGGTAATACCCGTAGATTATATAGATAGAGCCTTGAGTTAAAAAACGGGCCGACTTTTGATAAGCTAATTTGACAATTACTCTCAACTCGTTTTTTTTAATCAGTATTCTATATACAAGGCTACACTAAAAATTTTTAGAACTGGCTACTTGAAAGCAATATAATAAAAAAATTGTTAAAATTTTGAAAATAGAACTCTACGAATGATACTGAGTATATAATTTATTCGTTTGATGGTTTGGCGGCAAATTGAAAATAGTCTGTGTAACGTTATCACTAACTTAACACGAGAAAATTTTCGTGTTAAGTTAATGATAACAATCTAAGTCAACAAGAAAGACTACGATTGGCCTTTCACGATGAAGCCTCTTCTCCTGCTACTTACAACTGGTTTAATGAGAGAATTTTTTTCTTTTATTCCACTTTTGACAGTTTGTTTTTTATTATTTTGTATATAGGTAGATGTTATGATTTTTTTCTTCAAAAGACCTAGTAAAAGAGGTATGGTAAACTGTTTAATCTTAATATATAAAAAAAAAATTAATTCTCAAAAGAATAAATGGACCTAGTAAATAGTGATGGAAGGCAAACAATATTTGTGAAGTAAACTAAACATTACATATAAAAACATCACAGTAATGGAACATCAAGGTCTCAAAATGACAACATGAGTCACATTAGTAAATATTTATTTAAAAATAATTCAGCATTATATTGACAACTTAAACTAAATCCTATGATTAAAAATTACTTTTTCTTTTCCTCTTTCTCTTTTTTCTCTGCTTTCACTTTCTCTTCTGTTTTTTTATCATCTTTGTCATCCTTTTTCTCTTTTTTATCTTTAGCTTCCTCTTTCTTTCCTTCTTCTGCATCTCTATTTGTTATCTTATTGTTAATAAGATTATGCAAAGCTATTATCGATCTTACAAGTGCAGCGAGATAGACAACAAGACTCTGATCATTTGTTTTAATATAAAGATTATCAATGAAATTATCATTAGCAATATCAGGTAAAAGATTAAATATATCCTGTAGTTGATAGATGATTTGATGATTCATTGGCAGTGATCCTTGACCAACTTGTATTAAATAATCCCTGATCTCATTCAGCTGTGAGTGAAGGCCTCGTAGTCCAAGCAACTGGTTTGTTATGCGTTGGGAGAGGCTGCCAACTGTTGTATCCTTGATATCTCTTAAAAGATGTTCTACACCAACTTCTTCTGCTTCTTCTGCACCAATTTCACTAGGTACATGCTCAAAAGTTCTTGTAGTCGGACTACCATCATCATGAACTTCTTCTACAGCCTGATAAGCTTCAGTGGGTAAACCTAGGTCTTTCGGTTTAGCATCAATAATAACAAGCACAGAATTTGGACAATAGCGCCTGATAAGTTCATTGATTGCTACATCATTCTGATGGAGTTTAGGACCTGTGTGGTACCAGCCCACAACTTTCTCACGAGCATTCACCTTCTTGAACATACCATACATATTCTCTAGGTAATCATGATCTAGGAACCATACAGATTTGTCTTTGTCATCTTCATCAAATGGAACTGAAAATAAAAATATATTAAAAATATTTACAATTCTAGACTTTAATCATGAAATTTTAAAAAATATTCTGTTTACATTTCCTTTAATAATCTTACATTCTTAATAATGTCCAGCAGTGCCAGGTAATTAAAAACAGAGATAATAAAAACACATAAATCTTTTTTTCTACATAATATAGCAACTTGATGTTTTTACATAGAAACAAAAGATGAACTCCCATGCAGCTGTCAGAGGATAACACACAATCCCTTAGTTTTGCTTTCAATTTTAAACAAATTCTATCATTCTTAATAGATGAAAATGGAATAATATCCCCACCTGCGCCTGGTATATAAGTGAGCATGAAGCAGATCCGCTGGTCATTGTGATGAATTCATCAAAAAATAATCACAATGGTTTCCAGAAAGAGAACAGGTGGAGATTAACTGTTAGGCTATATCAGTAGTAATTAATTCTTTAGAGTTTATTACCAAAAATCCCTGTTCCCTAGTCAAATCAGTCCTGAACTCAATTTAAAGTTCAGATTAATAATAGATATTCGTATGTTGTAATAATTATACAGAAAATTCATAGACGCTTGGTGAGGGGCACTGCCGTGCTCTCTAAAGGAATGGCAATATTTGAGGAGTGCCGTGGTTAGCATATTATATTGTGTTATTTAGATCCATCAGTACTAACCTGCAAAACTGTTGGATACATCAAGAACACCTTTAGCTCTCCAACAGCCCAACAGAACGCCGACAACCCGTTTCTGGTTTCCGATCTTGCCCATTCGATTGAAATGGTCCACGACACTCAACAAAACAAGTGGATGAACCACGACCTTCGTGGTAATAATTTCTTGACTAGGCATTGTTATTTATTTGTAAAGAAATTTAATTACACTACACGTATACAAAGAAATTAAATTAATTCAAATATGAAGCAATGAAAATTAATTTCGATTAATTGACAGTCATTCCATGACATCTGTCTATGGTTTATAGTAACTCCAAAACTCTGTCTATAGATTATAGAGAAGAATGATATTTGTGGTCATAGACTAAGGATATTGGTAAAAATAAAATTGTTTATAAGAATACACATTTAACACTTAAGTCAATTCTATAACGCCTATTTTCGAAATTACCAGTCTATAGATTATCATAAAGATAAATTATGATAATTTTGAATTAAATCTATTAGAAAATTAGTTCATATCGATCCTCACAATAAAGAGTTACAAAAAATACCCATTAACTCTTATATTTCTTTTTATATTACTTAAAACCGATTTGCAAGCGACAATTGATGCTACCTCTGTCAGCAATTTAAGAACTAAACACATTATATTTACAAGTTCTGTATTTTGCCATTTCATTGTAAATAATGTAGTCACGGAATATGCATTTAATCCATATAACAATAATAAAAAAAAAAGATTAAAAATAATATTTTACTGAAATTGTTATAAGTAAATTTCAGTAAAATATCAGGTAGCTGAGTAAAAGGGACGTGAGACAGCATCCTCACGTCCCTTTTACTCAGCTACCTGAGGGGCGCTTTTATGATTACGGTTGCACTTGTAGTTACTGTCTGAGAGTAAACTTTATAATGCCATATGAAATAATTTTATTTCGTTTTTGACGAAATTTAATGTAATATTTAAATCCTCCCATTTTAATATAATAATTTTTTTGACATGAAGCTCTTGTCTTAGCCGGGTGAAATTTTACAAATAATAAGTTCATATAGTAGACAAGTTTTTGAAATGGGTCTCTAAGTATTTTGTTATGTGATTTTGTGGAATTAAATTCCCCTAAAGAAATAGTAAGAAATCATCGAAATAAAAGTAATGTATTGTTTATTTTTTTTTTTTTTACTCAAAAACTTATCAGCCTAGATTAGAATTGTAGTGTCGTAGTGAAAGGCCTATTAGTTGTTCACATCTACAAAAATAATTAAGGTTTTGGTAATAATAGTTTAGGAGAAAATAAATAAAGAATGCAACATTTCGGGTACTAACGAAAAATTTATAAAAATGCAAATTTCTCGAAAACTATAAATGTTTGCAGAACATACATGGAGGTATTTAGAGAAGCCCTTGGACCCCTCTATCGATGGTTTTCGTTTAGACCACATGAAACCCGACACCCTGTATATTCGACACAGTTTATATAAAAAGTATGCAAGCAGGTTGTATTTGCATTTGGTGGGGTTATACAACCGTAGAATATTTTTTATACAGTAACCTGCTATGAATTGACAAAAATAGCAACAGATGACATAGATTACATAGAAATCAGCTCAGCTACAAAACAACAAACATGTTAATCAATTAAGTAATATATGCAAACTTTAATTATACTTCATTATATTAATTATGATTATTGTTTACTCGCCAATTGAAATCTATTGAAAATTAAATTAGTTTAATAAACGATGTTTTTAGAAACATCGTTTATTCTTTGTGCATATCACACTGAACTCAAATTTATTTATATTTATCACTACGTAAATTATTTAAACACATATTAGTTGTATTTTAATATTTAAACAAATGTACTTATTAATGAAGCGCTATTTTTGAAATCGCGCCATAACACTGACTGTCATAACGTCTATTCAAGATGACCATGATCCGCCATAATATATATTTTTTAAATCTATGGTAATACATTTATATAAAAAAAACGTCATTCAACAATAATGTTTCAATTATTGCAGGCATGAATATAGATTTAAGTAATTAAGGTTACATCACTAATGGAACGGCGCATCACTATTGTCGCGTCTTCTCTCAATATATATGTCGTCACCATTGTGCTAATAACGGTCTCTATAATTAAACCTTAAATATGTATTAAATAAGTCTTTGTCATTTATTACCAAGCCAATACAGTTTTTGTTTACATTGTCGATCTAGGTATATATTTTTAATCTAAATCCTCAAATTTAATAAAATAGATGCATAGAAACACAAAATAATTTAATCAAACGTATTCTGTCTCTATGTAGCACATAGATAAAGGACAGTATCAATCTGCGATACGCAGAATAAAAATCGATCCACAGTTTAATTTTTAAACAGTCTCTCTAATCCAAGTCTCTCAAAACCCTGCTCTAATCTTTAACAAACCTCTTATGAGATAAATAATACTGTTTTTCGAATAAATTAATTTTGTTTTCTTATATGTTTATTGAACATGCATAAATAACACTGCCAATTTAATTTATTGCGAATTGTTTAGAAAAATGACATCGAGAACATTAACCTTCGTTACGGGGAACGTAAAGAAATTAGAGGAGGTTAGAGCTATTCTCGGTAGTAATTTCCCCTTAGAAATTGTAAATCATAATCTAGACTTACCGGAATTACAAGGAGAGATTGATGAGGTATCGATTCGAAAGTGCCAGGAAGCGGCACGTCGCCTTAAGAAACCTGTAATTGTCGAAGATACTAGTCTTTGTTTTAATGCTTTAAAAGGACTTCCCGGACCATATATCAAGTGGTTTTTAGAGAAATTAGAGCCTGAAGGGCTTTATAAACTTTTAACAGGATGGGAAGATAAATCTGCAGAAGCAGTATGCACTTTTGCTTATTGCCCTGGGAATGAAGCCTGTAAAGATTTAGATGTTGTGATATTCCAAGGAAAAACCAAAGGAACTATAGTTCCTCCTAGAGGAACAAGAGATTTTGGCTGGGATTGTGTTTTTCAGCCTGAAGGTTATGATAAAACATATGCAGAGTTACCAAAGGAGGAGAAAAATAAAATATCTCATAGATATAAAGCTTTAGATAAAATGAAGACCTACTTTAAAGAGACTTTTACTAATTAAACATTTACTTGTTATTATTATTTATAATAAAAATAATAATAATATTTATTTTGATGTAGTTAATTATTTTACTTACTTATTTTTTAATTTAAATTATTATTATATAATATGTTGGTACTTACATATAAAAATAGACTCATGAAAGCAAAACTGCTTACCTTATTTTTTTTAAATTTAATATTCTTTAATAATAATGTTTTTAAACTTTAATAATAATAATCATAGTTGATTTTCTTATATTGGTATTGCATATAAGTACTATGTGTTACAACAGTGTCTCTTCAATTATCTGTCTAAAATTGACATATTTATACAACAATTTTGTCCATCAGAATGTGATCTGCATGACCTATGTTGTGTGAAGAATTTTTATTAAATACTTTTTGAAGATTCTCATACTTTAGACTCATAATTCATATTATGAGAATATTCATGTCATAATCACTACACTTGTCATAGTTGCTTGTAGTTAGCCTTGCCACACTAACCGTTTGTTCCTAGTATAGAATGGACCATCCCTTCTTTTTTATGGATGCTTTAAGAGGCAACAAGGATATTAATGGTCAAGGGATGGGTAGCAACATCCCTCTTAAAATTGCCTCTCACGAAAACCTAACTGTGGTTGCCAATTTGCCTGCCAAGTGTGGCATCAACTGGCAAAACCCGTCTTATTGCGAAGACTTAATCAAGAGTTAGTAGGTAATAGCTGATATGATAAGATGAATTACCACACTCTACTTATATATTATAAGCCAATAAATAGTCTTGAAATTTGGCAAATAAGAATATAGGAAATATTAGGAGGAAGAAGGACATGGGGCATTTTTTAGCACAGTAATGCAGACTTAAATAAAAATATTTTTTTGTATTTATCTATTCATGTACTATTCATTCATTTCATTAATTTATAATCAATAGCATTGTATGTTCTAAATTCTAAAATGCGAAAGTTTGGTAGAAAGTATATTTCTAAAAGGGGGAGGGATTGTTAATAATAGGGACTACCAGTCCCACTGATAGCAATATACCCTGCCAGGTCGACCTACCCGTGGTCCTCCCTGAAAACCATCGTGCTGAATACCAAGTGTATTCATCACGATGGGCTAACTGACCTGCATTTTCATTCTCACCTATCCTCTATCACTGATGCTCCGCCAGGGTATACCGTTAGCGCAGGCAGAGTTATTCCATTATCATCCACTAAAAAAAAATATATTTCTGTCTCTTTCTCACTAAAACTACTGAACAGAATGGATTTGAATGAAATTTAGTATATTGATAAGTTATTTCCTAACCTAACAGCATAGGGGGAAAGGGATTGTTAGTAATGGAGACTAAGGATCCCATTGCTAGCAATATACCCAACCAAGTTGACCTGCTCGCGGTTCTCCCTGGTAACTATCATTATTAATTCCTGATGAATTCATCATGATGGGCTAACTGGCCTGTTTTCATTCTCATCTATCACCCTTCACTGGTGCTCCGCCAACTCCATTAGCGCAGGCGGGGTTATCATACCATTTTCCCCCATCAAAAAACCTAACAGCATATAATCACAGCGACATACTGATTTATAGTAATGAACCCGTGTCTACCATACTAGGTCTATAATTTATAGAGCGCATTATAAATGTAAGCACCATCTAGTGTGAAAATATTACAACTGTATTAATTGGTATTTTAATCTTTTGCTTAAATTTTAAGCTTATAACTCTAAAACTGTAGAATTAAATTATTTTTTTCATACCGTACTAAGAATTACTTTTCAGTTTTATTTCAAGTAATTTATAATCACAAACTATTCACACAATAAACTGTAACGCCCATTGAAACCGGCAAATAATCCTAAAAGACTAAGATGTTATGCCATGTCTTCAAATCGAAACTGCCGTGCAAGTATAGCGGCAGGTAGGAGGAATTTTGTATGAAATTTAAATGGTCAGATAACAATTAGTTTATAATACGCATATATAATATAATTTATATAGTAAGGATGGTCATATCTACTTACATTGTCGGAAAATATCTGTTTTCCAACAATTCAAATAATAAAATACATATATGTATGTGCTTAGGTATTTTATTGTAGTAACTATGCGTATCTTCGTACATATTAACATTATAGGTACTTATTTTAAATACTAGTACCAATATTTTTAGAATATAGTGTAGTTGCCAATTACACGTCTTATATGGATATAAGTACTTATTATGATTTGATTTGTGTTTATATTTATACCGTTAAGAATTATAGTTGAAACATATTATTGCTAGCTATAACAATCTGAATTCCAACGATAATATTTAAAAAATATAGATTTCACACAACAAGGATTCCGTTTTTTTGTAACAGACTTAATAACATCTTCGGTTATTCTGTTCAGGATGTTGTTCTTTCTTAAATTATTTTCACTATGGATGCGGATGTTTTAAATATTCCTATTACGAATATAAAAAAAAAAAAATGCGCATCTAACAACTTTTCCCTGACAACATAAGTGGAAATCCTGATTGTCCTTATCTTTACTTCCTCTAATAAGTAGGTACCTGTTATACCTAAATACATATGAGTTTATTACGTTTTGGCGCTTTAAACAGTTCAACTAATGACCATGAATATACCATTCATGCTGATTGGTTGAATTGTTTAAAAAAGAATCCAATATCACGGTCATGTTAATGAACTCCACTACCCATGTACGTAACAGATGATCAATTGATCAATTTGGTACGAAATATTTAAAAATAAATTTTTGTTTTGGTCTATTCTCCTTGGGGAAAAATGTACAATATAATGAATGCTATCGATGGATTTTAGATTGTCATGTCATATTTATATTAAATTATCAAGACACATTTTAATACATTTAATTACAGTATAACTATTTGAATTAGACAATATAATTTGTTTCAATTTGGTGCTTCACTTGTAATACTATACTAATATGCTTATTTCTGAAATTAGTGACTTACAAGATCTATTACTAAATAATACACCGTAATTAAAGATACAGATATGCTATTTAATAGTCTAATACTGTTTGATGTTTGTACAGCGGGTGCAATGTAGGGTGGTAAGTTTGTATTATTATAATTCTTATAGTACCAGTCTTTATCATCTACTTCTCTCGTTTTAGTATTTCCTGTACTGGTTACATCAGAAAATCGTGTTTTAGCCTCTCTATTTATAACTGGTGAATAATTACTATCTTGAAGATCAAATTGTGATACATGCGGCATGTTAACTTTTGTTATTGTAGCTGGACGCTTATAATTTGTAGTATAGTTCCTCTTTCCGGCATCTTCATTACTAGGCACCAGTATAGCAGACAAAGCCGTCGGCTGATCATGTTCCACATGTTTCTTTATTATTGGTTTCGAAGTCACAGGTTTAGTAGAGTATGTTTTGCTACTTGTCTCTAGCCACGCTTGAAGTGACATGTCATTCGTTGTGTCTGTAGTTATCAATAAACCTTCCTTTTCAGTAACTTGTGTTATAGTTAAGTTTGATTCCATCAAATTATATTTACTTAAATTATTAGGATCTATCTTTTGCGCTTCTATATTTTTGGTTCTGTTATAAGCCACATGAGTACTATTATCATTATCAAGAAATGCTTGAAGTTCATGAATCTCACTTTTTATTTTCTGATGACTTGTAGTGTTGTGGACTACGTTAATTGGTGGTTTGGTTGCCACTACTTCAATTGATTGTCCCATATTACCATTAGCGCTGTAATTATTGACCCCTTGGTCACTTGTAACTGTATGTGATACATTGACTACTGGATTGGGTATAGGCTTGAAACCGCCAGCTGTAGTCGGTAAAATCGGTGCAAATCCACCTGTTTCAAATTTTGGAGTTTCAGGAGTTTGATATTTGTTAACATGTTGTGAATTTCTATTCTCAGACCAGTCTACTTTACGTCCATTATTTAATAATTTACTCATATCAAGAGAAGGCAACGGCATTCCGAAAAATGTAAAACCGCTTGCAGGTTGTGATTGAACGTTTGGCTTTGTAGGATTCCTGTTTGTGGTATTTTTCATTTCTGCATAAAGGGTTGGTATACCCTGACTTTCATGAGATTTGTTACCTTGTACCTGGTTTATATCATTATTCAAACCCTCTATTAAAGTTTCATTATAAGGATAATCAACGTATTCATCATAAAAATATTCTGACTCTTCTGGAGATGGCCTGTTGTTTATTTTGTTAATATGATAATTATTCTTTATCTGAGTTGCGTAATCTTTTATTTTATCAAGAGATGAGAAAACTTGTGATGTCGCGAGATTTGGTAATAATGCTTCATTTTCATGGGTCAAGCACGATCTTAAATCTTCATTATGTACTCGAACGTTTGTACAGTCATCCCGCGAAAATGGCATCATTTTTACATGTGTACCATCAACACATTTTGGGCCAACCGATGAAGATTCAGATAACCACGATTTAAGCCAAATAATACCACAGTTACAAATCAATGGATTTCCTGAAAAAATAGTTATACATCGCATGTAAATAAGACAGTTTAAACGATACATAATAAAGCAACAATGAAAATATTAAAATTTTCATTGTTTCTTTATCATAATATTTCACATCAGGTAGGCGGCTGATTGAAAAACCAAAAGGCAAAACCTTTAGTAATATGGATAAAATCATGTTACGCCGACCCTAAATAATTGGCAGGAACATGATAATAATGTAGATTGTAGATATAAAAATATTAAATATTTTCATTTTATCACTAATGTAGCCTAATAAAAAGAAGAAAGATTTGGTTTTTTGTATGTCTGTTTGATTTTAAAAATTCTTTCACCTATAGAATGCTATGTAGCATTCTATATGTGATGTTAAGGTCGATTCTGAGGTGCCATTTCTCTAAACCTATATCTAAAATTAAAGTTATTGTTTGATATCACAGCGAAGTCTTTGTTCTAAAAATCCATCTTACCTCTATCCCATTCGTGTTTCTACCGCGAAGCAGTTGTGTTTGCGTGGCTGTGTTTCGGTTTGAAGGATGGGATATGGCAGTAAATTTAGAGTACAGGGGTCATTTACAGAGTACACTTGAGTCCTCAAGAACGCATGGGGGTTATCATGGGCGAAACTGTATACTCTGTTATGTCCATGGTACTGCTTGTCTATAAGCGACGGTTACCACTTTCCATCAGGTTGGTCGCCAGCTTATTTGCCATTCTAAGTTGCATAAAAAACTATTATAATAAAACTATAACTGGACGATGTCTGTAAAAGGAAGACATTAAAAAAAATATGTAAGTGATTTTAGTAACAAATGAAGTAAAAAAAATTTCTGTTTGTCTTCCTAGAGCTCTATCTTGAAAACTGATGTATGCTTTATTACGATACGCTATTTAGAAGTAGTATATTTCATTGTTCGAGGGATGGACGGCAACGTTTCTCTTAAAACATCACTAAATCCTAACTGTAGTTGCGAACCCGCCTGCCAAGCTTGACAACTACTGGCAAAACCCCCTCCTTATGAAGGAAACTTATATTTAGCAGTGGAGAGTTAATAGTTGGCATGATGATGATGATGAATATAAACTATATAATATTTAAAAAAATTATAGATCTCTACAAAAATTACAATAATGTAACCCCAGATATCGAAAATTTACCTATAAAAGGCTTTATTCACGTACGCTACGAAAACTGTTAATACATAACACATAGAACAAAAGATGATTATGTTCGTATCGTGATAGTAATATTTATTCAACTAAATAATTTCATAATCAAAGTGGATTATATACATATATTGTACATTTCTCTGCATATTATTTTAATTGGATCTTTAGTTTAGAAGTTATGATGAGGATAAAAATGTTAAAGATAAGAAATATGCCGCGATGTGAATTAACAATCTTAGCCTTACGCATAATTTTATTATCTCCTATTAATACAAGTAAAGTACTACCTAATTTAAAATACTAATTTATCTTTCTGTCTATTCATCCATGCGGAGTCGGGGCGCGTCGCTAGTTAGTGATAAATTGCAAATGGAAACTTTTTAATTGGAAAGCAACAAATATTTGTTCACGTTTTGTCATAATTTTCAAAAAGGGTATATTAAGTTTTCTTCAAAGTCGACAATGAGCACGATACACTCCTAGTATAGCAGGCGACCATAGAATAATATAACCGTTTACCATCAGACGAGCTGTATGTCTGTTTGTTTGTATAAAAAAATTACTTACCATCAATATCTAATATAGCAATATTGTTTCTCAATTTGCTGAATGTGGCTTCAGAGACAGAAGTCATTTTATTATGTCGCAAAGAAAGTACTTTTAATCTTGGCATAGAATCAAATGGCTGATCACTAATGTAACATATCAAGTTATTGTCCAAGTTTAGTTCAACAAGCCACTCCATATACTGAAACGAGGATCTAGTTAGTTTTGTTAATTTATTAAAGCTCAAATCCAGTACTTCCAAAGATGTCAGCAACCGTAGACCTGAATGATCAATGTTTGTTAACTGATTGTTACTTATATTCATGTACTGTACTAAAGGAATATTTTCAAATGCTCTCGGTGATATATACTGCAGTCTATTTCCTTGTAGTTCTATGACTTTTAGTTTTGGAAGATTAGAAAACACATTATCGGGTAATTCTAAAATGTGATTTCTACCTAGATATAAAGATACTAAATTAGGTAAATTTGCAATTGCCTTTGGATGTATAATTTCTATGTGATTTCCATCTAAATCTATTGTGGCCAAGTCCCTTAGATCTTTAAAACTACCTGTACGTAACTCATTTATTTTGTTGAAAGGCATTTTTATCTCCTTTAATGAATGAATATTATTTATAACATTGCCATCGAAATGTTTAATATGATTATAACTTGCATCCAATATTTTCAATTTTGGTAGAATATTTAATGTGATAGGTAATTCATTTAAGTTATTAGAGGATATATTCAAAATCTCGACATCCAATGCTCTGTTTACAATATTTGGACTGATACTTTTTAATTTGTTTTTGCTGAAATCTAATGTCGATAATGCAGCATTTTCTTGTATTGCTATGAAATCAAAATTATCGATAGTATTTCCATGTAAATTAACTTGTTTTAGACGAACAAGTTTACTGAAACTTTTTGGGTGAACCGAAATTATTTGATTGTCTCGCAAATCTAATATTTCCAATCGTTCTAAGTCACTAAATGTTGATGTTTCAATTTGTCTTAATCCATTGCGTTTCATATAGAGACGTCTTAAATTATGAAGACCTTTCATACTTCCGTGTGCTATTTTTTGAATTCCATTGTACGAAATGTCCAAAGTTCTTAACGAAGGTAAATCAAAATCTGGTGAAGGTGGAATTGGAAGATTCGTTATTTGGTTTCTTTGTAAATATAATTGTTCCAATCCTCTTGGTAAACCGGGTACAAATTCAATAAGTTTATTAGAGCTTGCATCTACTTCAAACAAGTTTACCAAATTTCTAAAGGTAGCAGGATGAATGGAAACTAAAGCATTCCCTGATATATTAATATACTCCAATAAAGGAGATTCAATAAATGTTATCGGATCTATGATTGTTAATAGGTTATTGCTAAAATTTATTCTTCTTAGTGCAGGGAGATTGTATAACATTTTAGGCTGTAACCGTTGAAAATAATTAAAAGATAAATCTAGTCCTTTTAAAGCAGGGAGATTCCAGAATGGGCCTTCATTCATATCACTTAAAGAGTTATTACTCAAATGCAACTCCCTTAATGCAGGCATCGCCACAAACGCATCTGCTTGAATGTATTTAATACTGTTTTTATTCAGATGTAAACGCTCAAGACTAGGATGACCTCTCAAAGCACCTCGAGGGATTTCCTGTAATAAATTATCACTCATGTCCAAAAACTTTAGTCGTGGTAAAGCGTCAAGTAAAGCCCTAAATTCGGAAATATGCATGATTTGATTACCGATTAGATTTAGTTCTTCCACACCGCTGGCTGATTGTTGTAAAAACGACTCAGGGTGTATCTGGCTTATTCTATTATAATTTAGATCCACTATTCTTAATTTTGGTACTCTATGAAATGCTCCATGATGTATAATATTTATATTATTGTTCGATAATAATAAATTTTCCAGCATAGGTTGATCAACAAAGGCACCTTCATTCAATTTATCTATAACATTGTAATTTAGATTTAAATAAGATAGAAGTGGTAAGTCTCTAATAGCTCTTCCAACCATTGTCGCATCAGATATTTTGTTGTTACTTAATGATAATTCATTTAATACTGGAAGCAGTGATAAAGCCCGCATATGTATCTGATTAATTCCACAATTTGTTATTTCCAATCTCCGCAATTTTGGTAAATTGTATAAAGCATTTTCTTTTAGTATGCTTAAATTTGGACTTCCTTGTATAAACAACCTTTCTAAACTTGGTAAATTTTCAAAAGTATGTTCGTTTACAGCGTTTAAAGATCTCGATTGGAAATTTATGTATCTTAATTTCGGCATATTTGACAGAGTAGGAATTCTTTTTAAATTATGAGATTGTAATGTGATGGCTTGTAGATTTTGCAGTTTCATTATACTTTCTGGGGGAAGATTTTTCAAATCATTTTCAACAATGAATACTTCTAAAAGATTCATCTCTTGGGACTCTAACCATGCTGCAGATAATCTTTCAACGCCATTATGGCGTAACATCAGTCGTAGTATTTTTACATTTTGAAATATTTTTCCAGGTAGAGATGGAAGATAATTATTTTCAATGATTAATTCATCAATAGGTTTTCTAATATAATCCCCTATTTTCTGAATGCCTTTTTGAACTTGCTGGAGATCGCTGTGTGTACACCTAAAACATAAATTATATTAGTAACTAAGACTAATGACCCCATTGCTAGTAATGTCGAGGTCAGGTCAGGTCGACCTCCACCTGTCTCCCCCCATGGAAACTATCATCGTTAATTTCTGGTTAATTTGTCATGATGGGCCAGCTAACCTAACTTTTTCGTTTACTATCATCCCTTACTGACATCTTACCAGTAAACAGGTATATATAAAAGTTTGTATGTCAGTTTATTACTTACCATATTTGTATATCTTCATGACGATTCGTGCATATACAAGGCAATATTGTCTCTGGAGCGGGACATGGCGTGGATTGTCCAAATGCAACACTAATTGTCACGATAATGTACCAGAGGATCGTCTTTTTTCCATTCGAATCCATTCCTTTGCTTCTTCAGTGTTCATTGTAGCATATCAACCCTTTATCGTCTTAAAAACCTAAAAATGAGAAAAAAATATATAAATACATAACTCACTGACCAAACTTTGTTTGGATCAATTAGATTATATAGCATTTTTTTATTGTGGTCACTGATAACTTTATTCTTAAGTACTTTATAGTACTTTAACATTTATGAAGTAGTATATAAGACTAGCTCTTGAACCTGAATGTTCAATAACGATATTTTGTAGAATTTTTAACTCAAATATCTCAGCACCGATATTGTTAAGCTATCGCTATAATAATTGTATCTTTAGAAGTAAGTTGGTTTTTGAAAATATATGTACTATTTCCATGTGTGGCCACAAAAGTTAAAAACAACGTCGACTGTGTACATACTTATATCTCTTTAAAATATCTTCTTGTACCAAATGCTGTCGAAAAGGTATCTAGTTGAGGAAGGCATTTGTCTACACTTAATTCTAGTATAATCCGGTGGCGTCAAGGACCGACGGTATTGAAAACAATGAAAATGGAAACAATAGACTAGGCAGAACGGTCCGGTGGTTAGACTGCACTTTCACTCATTCGACCATTGTTTCTATTGGCGATCTATGGCGTGCGTGCAATGTTTTCCTTGCGTCATTGTATCAGAGGTTACACAATCCCATTTAATTTGGAGGCTTAGGACGATGTTGATGTAGGTCATGAGCTTTTAGTTCATTGGTTGCGATTTGCGATTACCGCAATATTTCAGATAAGAATTGTCTTCTGTTTATTGATTTGAACCTTTTCATTGTTTCCTAACAATAGCATTACAGAGTTAATTAACGTCGCAAGTACGATTTATTAGTATATTTTGAAATTATTGTCATAGAAAATTATTTTTATTATATATAACTTTTTTCTTATAACTTTTCTTAAAAAAATATTAATTACTTATATATAACTATACTATTACTTTTATCTACCTATGTACTGAATATTTAATTTCCTTAAAATTTTACTTCACAATGATGCACTTGCGTTTTTTTATGCAACTTAGCATGAAAATAGTTTCGTCGTGTTTTACACTCCTCTCTGAGTTTAAGGTCAGGTTTTTTTAAATGCTTTTTCATCGCTTTTTATCATGGGGTATGTTCAGCGGTAATTCATGAGGAGTGAAACCGGCTATCTGACTTTTCTACGCACGACCATACTATGGACCAGTTACTTCCAGTAGCATTTCCAAATAGATACGACAGTGACACCTTTGAGAGCAGAGCGTGAAGCAGGAAAATTCTTCCTAAAAGACTACACGCCTGCATTTTGTTCGGTATTGCGGGTGCTTATAAAGAGTGGTAATAACTACTTCAATCAAGGACGCCAACTTCTAGAAAACCTCCTGAGTGTTCATAGTCTTTTAATGTTTACGTACATCATCATTATTGCAACTGAAAGAAGTGCATACACTGTTTGCTGGACAAGAAAGCGCGAACTAAACATCAGATAATGAGATAAGGATTATTTTAATTATATTATAATGTATAGTGTCATGAATGCTCCGTTCTCACTCTTTACCCCCCATGAGTGCTGAAGCTCCCGAGCACCCACGGAGTCGACGCCTCTAATAGTAACTTAGCATCTTTTAAGCCGCATATTCGTTTGCTCTCTATATCATAAAAACTTAACTCTGAAAAGCACATGATATCAACAGGGATACCTGATAACATGATAATGTTACATAGTAAATTATTAAATAGTATTTAATAGTAAAGTATTAGTTTAATAGGAATATTGCAAAGAAGAAATACTTGATATTTTATATGTTTATTTGGATAAACATACAAAAAATGGATATTTGTATATTAATAGATAAACTGAAAAACTACTGAATTAATTTTAAAAATTCTTTCACTTATAAAAATCTATATTATCAATGATTAATATAAGCTGTTGTTGGCTGGGCGAGCCACTAGTATTAAATAAATATGAGCAAATATTTTGTAGGCACGGAGGTAAGTATGTGGGACATAAGAAAGTAATGAGCTTAGAAACTATAAATAATTTATGCACATACTTAAATAAGTAGATACTATGTCATAATTCGAAGCACTTTCTTAACGTAATTACTTAATTGTATGTATATGGCGACGTAAATAATCAAGTACCTACCCAAATAATTTAGATTATAGAAAGAAAATTAATTAATGAAATTTGAAATATCAATTGACTATATTCTTTAATATTGAGATGAAATTCGAATTATAATAAATACTAAAGCTTATACTTACAAGAATGAAAATAACATGGAAAGTATTTCTGTAAGATTAGATAAGTAGTTTTAAGTTTTTGCTACTCCCTTAGGAGTCACAGTCAATCATCTATCATAGCATCCCTGAGAACGTTTTTGAAAGAACTTCGACTGACTTCAATGATAATGTACTAGTCTGATATAATATTATAAAATTGGGGGAAAGGGATTGTTAGTAATGGGGTCTATCAATACCATCGCTAGCAATGTACCCTATCAGGTCGACCTCCACGCGGTTCCCTCTGGAAACCATCATGGTTAATACACGTGAAATTCTTCACGATGGGCTGACTGACATGCTTTCATCCTCACTTATCACCTTCCACTGGTGCCCCGCCAACGTATACCGATTACGCAGGCGAGGATACTATTTCATTATCATCCATTAAAAAAAAAATTAATAGATATTTATTTCGATCTGAGTATCGAATCTCGTCTGTAATGTCGTACTTAAATTTGTATGCAGTATGGACTTATTAATAAAGATTTATTATTTTTTTGATACTGTTTTTAAATATAAAAAATGTTGCATAGGAACCACTGGTAATTTGATGCATGTCACATTTTAAACAACTAAAATTATTAACAATTCCTTATTAACATTATGAAAGATAGTATATTTTGTAAAGCTTCAATAATTTATAATAAATAACCTAAACATATACGATATTTGACTGAAACAAGTATTTTTAAAAAGAACCTTCATAATATGTTAATTCATAAATGTTACTATAGCTTAAATGAATATATTAATGATAAAAATAAATAATCATCATTACAAATTTTTTCGTAATTCCTTTATTTAATCTTACATTTTGATCTTGGTTACGAGTATTTATTAATACAAACAATATTAAGCATTTTCTCAAATATTCTGCTTTCCTATTTTTATTTCATTGTTGTTTCACTTATTAGTAATTATTTTGTTATTATTAGTATTGTAATTAATAAAACTATTAGTATTATTATTTTTTTATACCACTGAGGCGGCAAACAAGCATATGGCCCACCTGATGGTAAGTAGTTACCGTAGCCTATGAACGCTTGCAATACTAGAGTTATTACGCGCGCGTTGCCGATCCTGAAGAAACCTCTTTATCCCCCTTTTGAAGAACCCTATGCTGTAGTCTCTTGGGAAAACCTCGGTAGGGAGCTCATTCCATAACCTGAGTTTCGTGGGAGAAAACATCTCTGAAACCGCGTTGTACGCGACCATTTAGGCTGTAAGGTATGAGGGTGAACTCCCTGTCGATGGCGAGCTGTACGATGATTGAAAGTGGCCGTAGGCATCATATTAGTATTAATTTAGAATTGCTACTAGTATTACCCTTTTTTTATAAGGGCATCACAAAATTTGAATTATTTAAATAAAATAAGGTGCCAACATAGACAACATAATAATGTCTGCTTCAATCAATCATTCAATCATACTCTATGGTGTTCTACTGCTGAGCAAAGGTCTCTCTCAATTCCTTCCATTCATCCAATCGCATGGTCGCTGGTAAAGCCTTTGGAACCGGTCCAGATAATATCTGCATAGAGTACAAGCTCTTCCGCTACCTTTTTTGTTTTTCAAAAAGCCAAAATGTACGGATATTGTACCACCTATCGCTTGGTATGCGATGTACGAGAGCGCAGTACAGTAACGAAAATTATTGATTATTTTTATTGCCTGCTTACTTTTCTTTTTTCTGTAATATGTACAAGTATGTATTGCCGTAGACTGCCATATTATATTATTTATTTTCTTTAATAAGATAGTTGTTAGCAATTATTACATGTGCTAACTAAGCTAAAATTTTGTATTTTTTTCATTCAATTTGCTTTTCGTAGGATACAAAGAGGTTCACTGGCGTTTAAATAATAACACTGGTGGATAATGGTATAAGTGTTAAGACGGAAATGCTTACAATATTTAAGTATTCACTCTTCTAGAACAAACAAGAGTGAGTAGTAACAAGAATCAACACAAGCAGTCAACGGGACGAACAATCAGAGTACTGTTATCGCACTTGTCTCTAACTGTTGCTGATTGTCATCCCATGACGTTCTCGCACATGATTGTGGGCCAGATGGGTAGGTACTTGTTGACCTGGCAGGGTGACTACATTGTATACTTGCTGTTTGTAAAATGTGTTGCAATAGGATTATATAGAATGTACATAACGGCAATATAACAAACGCCTCTATTCCCTCTACCTTCTATTACATTAATCTACGTTATTTTTATTCAGAATCCATAGGATCTTGATATTTTAGACACTTTGCTTTGTCGGATGGTGTAATTTCCCCTGTATCTGAGTAGTTTTTCGTCCGATATCATTTATTATTATAATATATATGTTATTTTTAAATTATTGTTTTCATTTAATATTGTTCATTACATTGCCCAGTCCATTATATTTAATTATATGTTTTTCCTATCTACGGTCGACTGGTAGATAACCCTATGTGGTGTTTAGTGCACCATTTACACTTTCTTGGTATATTAAAATAAATAAATAAACATATATAATAAAACTGTGAAAACCGCATCCGATGTAAAGACAATGTACTCGTACAATGTACAAACATCGTCTCATTTTCAGTTTCATGAATAAGATTTATTCCCCTTCCTTTCCCGTAGGTGTCGTAAGAGGGGAATAAGGGAACTTAATGATCGAGGGATGGACAGCAACGTCTCTCATAAATCATCATCAAAGCCTAACTGCGATTGCCAATCCGCTTGCCAAGCATGGCAATTACTGGCAAAACCCCCCTTATGGAGGATGTCTATGTTCAACAATGGACATAACATTCTTCCTGGTATAGAATGGACCACACCTTCCTTTACTGTTTTTTTTATAGATGATAATGGAATGGTATCTCCACCTGCGCTAACGGTATAGACTTGTGAGGCACAAGTGAGGGATGATAAACGAGAATGGAAAAAAGGCATGTCATAAGGTAGCCCATGTATAACTTAATTCCAGGTGTATTCATCACGATGCGTTCCAGAGGGCTACGTAAAGGTCGACCTAACATGGAATATTGCTAGCAATGGGACCCGTAATTCATATTATTAACAATCCCTTTCCCCTGTTCCTTTCCCATGGGTATCATAAGAAGCGAAATATGACGAAATGATGATAATGGTAAAAATAAATGTAAAACTAAATGGACTGTCCCGCACTCTACGTATCTTGGATCAGTGTTAATTATACTTTACTTATTGGATTTTAGTGACTCTAATCGATCTTTTTTGTATCTCATATTACATATCAAATTCACAGTTTTTCCACAGGTATTTTCCTGTACCATAATAGTTGTATAACATCTCTCTGTTGAGTACGGATATTGTCCTCATAAAATAAAGTAGATGGTTCAGTCTGGAAACCATCGTGATCGTGTAGTTCTTATTGAATTCTTCACGATGGGCTAAATGGCCTGCGGGAACTACCATGAAATGAAATTCCGAAATTTCGGACTCTATTTCGTGTTTTTGTTTATACCAAAATCGGATCGATAAATGGAGTGTATAACATTTCGTTGGTCATACATCCTATCATAAAAGTCCAAAAGAACAATATTTTAGCATTTTTAATATTTCCAAACGGCATGTATTATGTAATTTTAACATCAAATTTGTGTTTCGTTTGGCTCCAAAATTTCGGAAAACATTTAATAGTAGGCCTTCTGCTTTTATCCTTCATTCACCTATCGTTTCTCACTGGTGCCCCGCTAGCATATACTGATATAGCATAAACGGGATTACCATTCCATTATCATCCCATAAAAAATAACTCTAATAGGATAGTCAGAGACAAGGAGAGAGAGAGAGAGAGTTATCAGTGTTTTGCGTCACCAGAGGAGTTGGAAATTTAAATTTTCATACCTATTTCCTTCTTCTACCAAAGTAGATATACACAGTTATTGGGATATTATATATGCAATATATACATATATTTATTAACAATATCTACATACAATAGAGCCTAATTAGTTCCGGTTTGTAATAAGGAGTTTAATTTTGCAAATGGTATGTTTAGTTTGCATATAAATTATGGCGTCCTTGTATGTAAATACTGTAGTTAAAGCTTGGAAGGCTTAATTGATTTTTAATTTTCTATTAATTTTTATTTTTTTATTATTATTAGTGTGTTGATACGTCTTAGACAATTATGGTACTCCTAATAAAGTTACGAAATATAATAAAAAAAACCTGTGGAAAAACGGCGAATTAAGAAACTTTATGTTCGAAGGATGAACAACGGCGTCCTTTTTAAAACGTTACCAAAGCTTAACTGCGGTTGCCAACCTACCTGCCAAGCATGGCAACTACTGGTAAAGCCCTATTATGAGTGAGACCTTTATTCAGCAGTAATATAAATGAATGAGTGAAGTTATAATATATGTGACTGGCGGTTATGACACTGATATTGGCCGTTAAAGCTTGGGGAAATTAATCAGTTTATTAATAGAAGATTTTTTGCTTGAGTTTTTTTTTGTGTCTTTTTACATCCACGTGTTAAGAATATATACATAATTATTATCTTTATATTAGTATCGTTTTAATTTGAATAATTCAACTCTAAGTTATGACGTCAATCGATTTGAATGGTTATTAGCCGTTTTTTATACCTATATGTATATTTCATAAATTTCAAAAGTCAAAAGTTAATATAAATATAAATATCTAGTTTAAATAGATACTTAAATAAAGTACTAAAATGTGGTCAAAAATACGAATGAGATAATTGGTTTCAAGTTAGATGGATCATAGTTTCATATAATATTAAGTAATTAACACAGTATTTCTTATGAATTAATTAACATTTAAATTAGTTATAAGTAATAGTATTTATATATCTTCTGCATTCACACTTGAATTTATATTTTGAATTTAATTGAAAATAGTAACATAATAGGATTTACTAAGTATGGATTTTCTTAAAATAGCGCAACCTATTGGGTACCTAATTCTTATTGAAGATGTTTGAAAACTTACTATCTACAGAATTTATACTCATATAAATTCCGTAGGTATTCCGCATCTATTACGTTAGAAAAATGTCATACTTTGTTTGGGTTCCACTTGGTTGTAATGGGAAAGAACGGAGGAGGGGGAAGTGTTTTTTTCTATATTAATGCCTCCAATATATCGTTTTCTAATACTCTAGTTATTATTATATTATAAAAATGCAGCAGAAAATAATCAGTTTCAACTGATATCTGCCACCTTTGTAAATAAAACCTCTCTTATGCTATTAGATCATATAAAACTTAATTTATGCTCTACATATGTCTAGTTCTTTAGCTCTACATAACTCTACTTAGCTAAATACAAAATCTCACAACTTTTATGGCGACAGTGTTGACATGAATTTTTGATGGAATTTTTCACTATACTATACTACAAGTAGAGAGTCATGCTTATCATCTCATCATCACATCTCAATAATTATCACTGCCTCTTTACCCATTAATTAGGTAGATAGAAGTTATTTTATTTAGTTGTTGAGAATAGTATAATAGATAATTATATCTGTTCACCTAGTGCCCTAAAATTATCATTTTCTTGTCATAAATTACCGACCTGTGACCGTCCAAGTACCTATGGAAACAAATCTTGTATTGTCACAGCGATGGAAAGCTAGAACAGGGTTACTGCATCGGTGCACACCAACACGCTATAGATACTTATCTTCTGCATACTCATATCTCTTACTACACATGCAAGTATACATAATTAAACTTCTTTGAAATTTCCTAATTATATTCTGTACTTTTAATTCTAACTAGCCTAACAGACGTCCTGTCCAAATATTTTCTTTTGATTTTCCAGGAAATATCAATAGAAGTAGGTATTACGAACATTTAAAAGAATAGTCAAATAGGTCCAGACATTTACAAGTTGCGATTAACATTGAACAACATTTAATTTTTACTTATTTCAGAAGTCTACGTATTTATTTATTTATTTTACACTTTATTGCACCAAGTAAAATGAGAAATAACAAATACAGTAAATATTAATGAGAAGTGATACAAAAGGCGGCCTTATCGCTAAGCAATCTCTTCCAGACAACAATACGTACCTATTTCTTTTTCAATAAATAAGACAGCTTTACTTTATTGCTTAATTTATTTCTAGTGGTGGAAATATTCGTGATTACTTTGTATCTACAGAAAGACTATTATTTTTTGCTACTACATAATTAACATTTATTGTTAAGTAAGTACATAGATAGTCAGAAAATTTAGTAATAATAAACGGAACATATTTTGAATTGCTTTATAGACTACAGTTTCATAATACAGAAATATGGGAACCTACATAATATGCATAAAATAAGCAGTGCGTATCTTTATAATACTAATTATATGCACAGTATTTTAAGCACGCGATGTAAATAAATTATGTAAGTACACCTATAACTAACTACATTTACCTAAATATACCCAAATAGACTTTATATTTCCTATCCTTACGTAGTATCACAGATAATATAGTAGAATATAATGGAATAAAATTAAACTAATAATAAAATTAAATAACTTTGAAATACTTTTTCAAGCACATATATCAAAGATACTGTTTTTCTTACAAAACAAGGTAAACAATCTTTTTGTAGGTATTTCAGACCCAGACTTCGCTTTCGCATATGGATTACAAAGTTTCACAGAAAAGTAAAAATATAGCTATTAATACCTAAAACATAAGAAATATTGTATACTTAACCTTTTTCAATATACTGTAACCACTTTGAACATAGATAAAGTAAAACTTGAACGACGCTGGAGAAAAGCAACGGTAGGTGTCGTAAAAAACTGCACGTTATATCGCTGCGTTTATTTAGTGCACTATCAAAACAATCCTTGGACAAGCGAGGCTTATGGTAGCTAAACACGGACTGGGATGCGAAGTCTATTTCGCATGTAAACACCAGACTTTCGGTTCACAGTTCGATGCACATCAGGTAACTTTATCTTTCACCATTGTGGCGCGTGCCGGAGGCGTACGTAACCGACTTAATCTTGTAGATGGGCAAGTTGGTATTTTTAAGCAATTCATAATAATAAAACTACGTAAAAAATTAATTAGTTTTGTTTAATGACCTAAAGATAATGTATGTAAAAAATAAAAAACTTAGCACCTACTGCTTATACAGAGTATAAATACAAATTTAAGGCAGAGGGCAATATAGTTTCTTCTTTTACTTCATAAAGTTTTATCCTTGATTTAATAATCCATTAATATCCCACTACTACACATAGGTCTTTTTGCATCTAAGAACTATTTTTAAGTAATGCAGAAACTTCAAAATGTTGATAGATACATATGTTTAAAATATCTCTCACTCAACCTAAAACGACCTTTAAATTTGAATAAAATCTCGTACACAGGCCTAGAATACAGGCAAAACCACTGTCACGTTATAATTACCTACTTCGTTAAATTATAAGTAAACCTAATAGGTACGAATCTAGAAATGATAAACTGTCGCTTCTGTTAATAAATACAGAATAGTCTTTGGCATAGCAATTGCAAAATAAAGAATGCTAAAACACATTACCGTGATTAATCTTAGATGGAGTAACAAGGAAGGGTGTTCGGTATGGACAATAAAATTGACATGTATTGTTTAATTGCTCAATTTGTCTGCAATAGACTGCACATTCTTGTACAAGTAAATTGTTTTCATTTATTATTTCTTTACTAACTACGAGCAATTTTTTACTTGTATTTTTTTAGCGTGTTCTTTTGTAAAACTTATCAACTGTCATAGGTATATTTGTTTTTTTTTTTGTCCACGCGGCGAGTGGTCCTAACATAAAATAGGCCACCTCCTTTCCTGTGGGTGTCGTAAGAGGCGACTAAGGGAGGATGAGAGATGGGCAGCAGCGTCCCTCTTAAAACACCTCTAAAGCTTAACTGCGGTTGCTAATCCGCCTCCCAAGCATGGCAACTTATTGGCAAAACTGCCCTCAAGGGGGTGGCTTTTGTCCAGCAGTGGACAGTTAAAGGCTAACATGATATGATGGTTTCTGTCCACAGAACTTAAATTTATTGTGTACTCATAAAATGTTTAACTTTATACGTTTGATTTAGTTAATAGGTTAGCTAGTTTTATACATATTTAGTTTAGTATCCTGATTACCTTGACTATTATGGACAGACTTAAACAGCAGCTGACGTCCAAAAACCTTAGCCGTAGTCCGCTCTACTGATAGATTGACTATTACGGTCTTGCTACAATATATATATATATATATATATATATATACATTCGCTTTTAATATGGATATAAAGTTATAGTGTAAATAACAAGGTACACAGACCTACTTTTCGGACTTTAAACACTATTTATTTAAACAATGTTTAACAAATGTCTGTTTATATTTTAATAACTACCGGTTTAACTTACGTGTAATAAGGTCGGGAAAGCTCGGCTAGTTTCGGGGCCATTCGAAACTCTTAATCGTGAGCAGATGTGACGCGAGCGCAAGCCCGAAAGCACGCCTCGGCCCGCTGACAATTAAGGGTCCTGAATGATCTCGGAACCAGTCGAGGTTTCTCGACCTAATTACACCGTAAGTTAAACAGGTAGGTTATTAAACTAAAGTATAGTGTGTATTCACAAAACTTTTAACAATAAAATCTCTGTTTAAATTATTAAATATTGATCTATTAGTCAGTATAATAGTGTTTATTTGTAATGTAATAGTGTTTTATGTACCAAAATTCATAGATAATTATAATAAAGTTTATTACTTAAAACATCTTTTATGTTTAATAATATAGACTTTTGTTTAGACATAAATAGATGTTAGAAACGCTTTTGTAGTAAATCGTCTAATACATATCTATCGCATATATAACTTTTTTGTAGTAAGAGTAGATTGTTATATATCTTAATCGCAAACCAGGCCACATACCAGAGGGAGAGTTTGTACAAAAGTCGATTGCTTGGGTACCTCTGTCCCATTTGTGTTTCAACCATAAAGCAGTTGTGTTTGCATGGCTGTGTTTCGGTTTGAAGGGTGGGATATGGCGTGAATTTACTGGGTACAGAGGATTAACACCTGAGTCCTCAGTAACGGCAACGCATAGGGGGTATCATGGGCGAAACAGTATACTCTGTTATATCCATGGTACTGCTCATGTCTATAGGCGACGATTACCATTTCCATTAGGTGAGCCGTCAGTTTGTTTGCCATTCTAAGTTGTATAAAAAAATCGTTTTACACAAACGTCGATATTACACAAATAGGTATGTACCCACTACCAGTGATCGATTCGATAAGCTTGATAAATTATAAATTGCATAGTATAGCTAATGTGGACCAAATTATAGGTAAGTGTAAAAATATTTACAGACGTAGTTGTAGGCATAGCATGTCCACGAACAAACTGTTCTGCCTACGAGTTCCGCTTTGTTAAGAAATAGTTTTAAATGTCCTAAAGTTTAGGTACACCAAATTTTTAGAAAATCCCGGCTGCTGTTTACTCGTGAGTAATATGTACCATATACAGGCAGAGTCACTACTCTACATGTGTAGAAACATAAACCATGTAGTGTAATGCTAGAAGATATTCAAATCATATAAACATATAACTAAATTGAATATTATATAATAGATGTAACATTTCAACGTTTGAAAAATCGCGATTAACAGAGTCACGGATGGTATTATAATTACCGGAATATCATATTCTGCACGTGGTTGCCATCCGCGTAAATCATCCAATGCCATGAACACAAAAGTCAACATTCGTAAAGACAGACCTACCGGCATCAATACAATCCGTGCTAAGGTACATTATGTCAGCAGCCTATCGAGCAGGCTTCATTCTACTTACGTCTGCTCATACGATTTAATATTTACGTAGAGCTTGCCGCACAACCAGTTTTTGCGCCTATCGAAACAGGCCCCATTTCTGTACTAACATTTTCTGTTACAAGCCAATATATCGTGCTAACTTGTCTACAATTTAAATTAAAACAATTAACATGATGTTGGTTAGAAATTTTTGCAAGAACTCAGTGATACAAATTAGACGGTATTCTGTAGATGCTTTAAAAAAGAAGTCACCGAAAATACTAATTACTGGTAAGTTCTTATTGTATCTTGTTCTAGTTGTAAATTACTTTTGAACGTGCTCAATAGAAGGACAAGTTTACAGATAGAAATGAAAAGTAAAATATATTCTTTAAGAGATTGCGCTGAGTATAAATTTAAAAAACTGTTTGCAGTGAATTTCAGAACTGTAATGCTTCGATATAATTATGGTAAGATTAATATAATATAAATTTGCTATACATTATATACTTGTATACATAAAAAAGTATTAAACATTTTATTTAATCACTAGAAATAAAATCATAAAACCTATATAATATAGAATTTGATTTATAACTCGCTCTCGAGCAAGTGAGTAAGCAATTTTTTACAGTAGTGACTAATAGGCATTGGTAGATAGGTTTACTTACCTACCTACCTAAACATATCAATTTCTAGCTTACATATTTGACAACATTTGAATATTTTTTTAAATTATTGTTTTGTGTTATGAATGCCAATATCGAGGATATATGGATCTAGGTAGGTAGGTTTTGTGTAACTATTATTTACACAGCTGTGACTCTTACTCTCAAGTGTAACACTTTAACAAAATCAGCAGTAAAGTCATACACGCCCTAGGGGAATTTAACTTAGCGTTTAGCTGAGTTTTATAGAAAAATATCATAACAAATTTAATAACTAATAAATGAGAATAAAAACAAGTGAATAACACCGTACCTTCTAAATGAAGTAAATAACACTATTATAGTAATATAATACATACGACTTTATTACTTATTCTTTTATTTTCGAATTTGGGATATCTCTTCAAACAAACTTCATTAAGTGACAATGAAATTCAAAATTATGAAATATCTATTAGTTACACTATTAAAGAGTATTAATTTTTTTTTTATCTAATATAATAATGCGGGAAAATTTTATTTGTTTGGACGCACTATTGTCTGGAATTACCATTTTGCTTATTTCTCGAAAAGTGAGCTATTCAACATCACGATACGACCACGGGCGAAGCCGCGCAATACAACTAGTTTAATATAATAATAAGATCAAAGATGGAGCACGTTTGCCTAGAAAATTACTACAAACGTAATGATTGTACTTCTTCGAGAATACGGAATCAGGAAAGGCATCCACTTTTACTTTCTTTTTGTTTAGTGGATGATAATGCAATGTTGAGAGATTAATGATAATGATTACATGGGGAAACCGCAAGAAGGTTGACTTGATATTGCTAGCTAATCCTCATTATTAACAACCTTACTTCCCTTTCCATTCTTACTAATTCGCATTAGAAAAGTTATAAAAAATTTTTAGGAAATTTATGTAGTATGGAATGTCAACAATATATAAATATACGTGATCAAGACATATATTTCCAGTACGTACTCTCCTTTAAAATATTGCATGGCACTCTGTCGATGTTTTAGCATATCATTCCCATAATACCTCATAGGAGCAGCAAGCTATTATTCCACATTCTATAGGGAAGATATCGTGTCAAACAATTGCATATATTATGCTCTTCAGCTTCACTATAATAATGGGGGCGAGTGCGACTCCGTATGTCCTTAAAGCTATTAACTTATTATTAAAAAAGATACTCTGTTATGTCTATGGTAATGTTCATGTCTGTAAGCGACGATTACCACTGTCCATCAGGTGAGCCGTCAGCTTGTTTGCCATTCTAAGTTTAAAAAAAAAGGTTGCAATGTTGGTTCACATTCGAACATTATAAATTGACCTGCCACTGCCAACAGTATTGTCACATATAAAATTACATATTGTAAATATTTATGTTATTTCTATATTTCCGTTACGAAAGTACTAAATGAGATAAAAACACTGGTTCCTCGTAAATACAAATAACTCAATAGTGGATAGTCCGGTTCTCTCACGTAAACAAACTTAAGCATTGTCGTTGTGTCATTACAATAATAAACATAAACAAGATCGAGACAACATGTGTATAGTACAGGGGTCGGCAACCTTTTCAGTTGGAAGAGTCAAAAATTACAATTTACAAAATTTCAAAGTTTTTAAAGAGCCGCAAAAAATCTTCTTGTCAACAATAAATAGTACTTGCATAAATATATAAAATAAATCGTATTTGTGTATGGAACAAAAGAGCCGCAGCTTCATATCCAAAGAGCCGCATATGGCTCGCGAGCCGCAGGTTGCCGACACCTGGTATAGTGCTATTTATATTTCCACAAGTAAATTTTGCTCTGCAAAAAACACCGACGTCAATTGTGACAAAACCAGTTATTTTGATTTAAAAACCATGTTACTGAACTGATTTTAATGAAATATCTATAGGACCCATAGAACGTACTACGTGGGATCAATCTAAAATAGGTATATTCATTCAAGTAAAAAAAGAATTTTCCATCAGCTACGTTAGCTTGGTTTTTCTAAAACAACATATGTAATAATATGTTTGTAGATGTATATAAAAAGTAATAACATCATAAATACAATAATATTGAATCAGCACTTTCTCGTGATTGCATAGGTATCTTATTACGTTGATGGACGTAATTACCCATTATTATTGCATTTTAGTAAACATGGAATTATAACAACACGGTGCGTTTATAATGTAAGTAAATACCTTATATAAACTTGCACAATAATACTACGTCTTAATTATATAATAACAAACAAACAACAGTGAGAAATAAGAACTAGGTTTTACTTATTTTATCATGGACACCATATATAATCCATTCAAGGCCTAGTTCGGTGGTTAGTAGATCTAACTAAATATATGTAATTTATTATTCAATAAAGACTGTTATTATTATTATTATTCATAGTCTACTTTTTTATGGGTGAAAATAGAATATAAACCCTGCCTGCGCTATTGGTATACGCTGGCGGAGCATAAGTGAAAAATGGCGGGTGAGGACGAAATCGGGTCAGTTAGCCCATCGTGACGAATTCCACAAAAATCAACCATGATGGTTTCCGGGGGGAACCGTATGGAGGTTGACCTAATAGGGCATATTGCTAACAGTGTTTAACCCTATTGCTAACAATCCCTTCTCTCGCAGTTTTTCCTCATAAACCGCCACAAGGAATAGTCCTGTGCCACTCGCACCCATTGTATCCTTGCAATTAATTTAAATTCGTTTCTTCTACTTACAAGTAACTTTACACAACGTTTGCCTGTCATTTTATTTAATAGTAGAGAATTGTTCACAGATAAAATTACACAGCCACAAATAAAGTTGTAACAAATAATAATTGTTTTGAACCTAAGGCCATCCAAGGCCTAGAAATTATTCACAGAAACTTTAGGTTGATAAAATTGAAAGTGCAATTCGAATTATATTTACTTTCATTTAATTTAAAAAAAAGTAAATCTATGCAAAGTTTGAGAATTTAAATTTTGTCATTGCTACATATGAGTACGTACTACATATACCTGCTTTATACCTATATATGCCACATTCTAATTCTCTTTGAAATAATTTATACAAGAAATATATATAATTAGAATGTGGCATAAATAGGTATAAAGCATATATATATCATATACTATATTATACTATATCTATACTATATATATATATATATACGCCTGCATAAATACATGACAATATATAAATATAAAAACAACTAAAAATTACATTTAAAAAATCCTTAACTTTTGATTTAAATCTCGGTAGACATTGTATGAAGTGATAGTGAACACGCTTTGAATATCAGCGTACATAATATTCTACAATAACTTAATAAGATCATTTCAAATTTATGTTTCTACACACATAAGTACAAATTATTTTATATATGTAAGTATTATAATTATAGCCCACAAATTCAAACATGGTTTACAATGACTTCAAAACAATTGTTTAACAAAAATCTTTTCAATTTTATTCAGTACTGCCAAATTGAATTTGAGCAAATTGGTTTATCTGTTTGGTATTTATATAATACAAACTTGAAGTCACAGTCATATCTGACGAAAATCGGTTCAGCTGTTTTATGCTCCTATTGTTTAAATTCAACAATTGAACAATTGTACGTTACACGTGCTTGCTGATGTACGAGTCTAACATACTGAAGATACTGAGTTCTATCTAAGAATAATATAAATGTTTGTATCAATCCTTTTATAACTCTGATTTGGCCGTGTGGTCCCAACATAGAATAAGCCACCCCTTTCTTTCCCGTGGTGTGAGCGTCGTAAGAGATGACTAAGGGAGGACTAGGGATGGGCAGCAGCATTCCTCTTCAAATATTTCTAAAGTCTAAATGCGGTTGCCAATCCGCCTGCCGAGTGTTCAGCAGTGGACATTTAAAGGCTGATATGATGATGATGATTATAACTCTAGGCGTTTTACTAGTGTTTACAAAAAAAAAAGTACCTAAGTATGTGTGTCAAAAGTCAAATATCCATAGTATTTTTTAATATGTAATGATAGAATGTTAACCCCATTTACCCTATCGGTATACACTAGCGGGATACCAGTGAGAAATGAGATAGAAAAGAATGAATTCATAAAGAATCAATCAAGATGGTTTCCAGGGGAAACCGCGTGGAGGTCGACCTGATAGGGTATAGTGCTAGCAATAGAATTGTCAGATTTCCATTACTGACAATACCTTTTCCCCCAATACCCATATTACAAGCACTGTGGGTATTACACTTCTATCGGAACACTAAGCCTAACTTTTAATATAAACATGGAATATGGCAAACAAGCTGACGGCCCAAATGCACAAGATTACTTATATTTTATTTTTTTACATTACAGGTGGCCTAGGTCAATTAGGTGTGGAATGTGCCAAGTATCTTCGCGGAAAATATGGCAGGGACAACGTCATTCTCTCCGATATAATCAAACCAACAAGCGAAATTGTTAACGACGGGCCATATCTTTTTGTAGACATCTTAGATTTTAAAGGTTTACAGAAAATTGTAGTGGACCACAGAGTCGATTGGCTCATACATTTTTCAGCTTTACTTAGTGCAATTGGGGAGCAAAATGTTCCTTTAGCAGTAAGAGTGAATATAGAAGGAATGCATAACGTCATAGAATTAGCGAAACAGTATAAACTTAGAATATTTGTACCAAGTACAATAGGTGCGTTCGGCCCTGATTCTCCTAGAAATCCTACTCCAAATATAACTGTGCAAAGACCTAGAACAATATATGGAGTTTCCAAAGTACACGCGGAGTTGTTGGGTGAATACTATTTCTATAAATTCGGTTTGGACTTCAGATGTTTAAGATTTCCTGGAGTTATATCAAGTGACCCACCCGGCGGCGGTACAACAGGTAAGCATGTTACAGTAATTAACTTCTTTAATCAAGAACAATCCATTAACTTTCATATTAGTTCGTAACACAATGAAATCGTTCTCGTATGTTGTTTTGTAAAAATGATGGTATCTTGAATTCTACTTAGGTAAAAAAAAAAAAAAAAAAAAAAAAAATCTTTTTGACCAGCAAATAAAAATATCCTCCCATGTCTTAAAGACAAGACCTGAGGGAACAGTAAAAAAAAACATAAAAAAAAAATTATAATATTAAATAGTAATATATATTATATAACAAAATAAAAAATAATTATTTTATTTTATAAATTGCTTTAGTACAAAGTTCGCTCGCTAATCCCTTTAAGGTGATACAAAACATGTCAAAATCAAGATTAACAGTTAAATATTGTACACTTTTCGGGTATGACTGTTTGCATAAATCAAAGAGCTGTGCTCAACAGCGGGGGTTAGGCTAACTCCTATCGATCTTATCTACTAATTTCTTTAGGTAACAATTGTTATTATTATTGCTATGTATGTAAATGTAAGACAATTGTGTATAGATCCATGTATTGTATATTTGCGTTCACTATACACAATACTTATGAAAACATCTGTTATTTAATAAATAAAATACATTTATATTACGTATATAGTTATAAGGTCACACCAAGTCGAACCTATAAAATGTGAATACATATACATATAAAGTAATATATAATGTATACTTAACATTGTAACATAAATTTTAGATGTGTGATCTTTTATGAGCTTTGAACTTTTCGGATCTTGAACTCTATTGCCAAAATAATATTTTTCTTAAGTACTTAAACTCCAGTTACTAGTAATATTTAGATCCCTATCTCTACACTTTTAATAACTTGAAATATGTTATAACTGACTGCATACAGATATAATAGTTTTTAGATTTTCCGATCGTTTTTTGTGGTAAATTTAACACTTGACATGAAAAAAGAAATGAAATAAGATATCATTTCATTTCTTTTTTCATGGGTATCGTAAATATCGACTAAGAGAACAGAATGATTGAGGGATAGTAATAATTGCGGTTGCCAACCCATTCGCCGAATGTAGCAACTACTGGGAAATCATCCTTAGGGGGAAGCCTATGTTCAGCAGTGGACAATTAACGGCTGATATGATGATGATGATAATACCGTCATTTCCCTGAGAATATTAGAATAACTTTGCAAGAGAAATCAATGATTAATATTTGGTTTCTTAACGGTATTTCCTACAACTGAAAAGATAGGAAGTTCTATTAGGTCATTTATAACATGTGCAACCCCTGTCCAATTTCGATGGACTTATCAAGAGTTCTTTCAATTTCGAATCCCAAGGAAAGCTTAAAAATCTATTATAGAATACTTTCTAAAGACATCGGCTTTTCTGAAGACTCGAAACTAAACAAAAAATCGCACTTGCTAAAAATCACCTTAGGTATATAAAGTTTTCGACTCGAATTCACGATCTTTAGACAGTTCTTTGGTATTTCCTCGTAAACCGTTGAATACCACGAATAGAACTGTTTTCATTACGGATTTTAAATCCCTTTTTCTGTGTTGTATTGTTCCATTAAGTGAATATAGTCATCTCTATTTGTATTTTTTCAGACTATGCCATAGCAATTTTCCATGATATCCTACGCAAAGGGCAATACGAATGCTACTTGAAACCAGACACCAGGCTTCCCATGATGCACGTGAAGGATGCTCTTAGAGCATTATCAGAGTTCCTCGAAGTGCCTAATTCGAAACTAGTCAGGAGAGTGTACAATGTAACCTCCATGAGTTTCACACCTGAAGAACTAGTGGCAGCCATGTCACGTCACGTATCAGATTTGAAGATTACATATAGACCTGATAGTAGGCAAGATATTGGTAAGTAATTCAATATGTTATCCATTGTGACGACCATAGAAAAAACCCTCATAATACTAGTTTCATTCACGCCATAGACGTAGCATAATGTAAGTACTCATTAACATTCACACTAATCTCCGAAATCACTCAACCGATTTTAATGAAATTTTTAAATGTGTATTCTTTGCTCAGACTTGAAATATAGGATATTTTTTATTCCGATAAAAAAAAATGAGCCCAGTTGGTGGTAAAACAATATTTGTCAGGTCAGCTAGTTTATTTTCAACCGACTTTAAAAAGGAGGTTCTCTATTCAGTATTAATTAATTTGTCAGTTATAAACCAATTTGGATATTTTTATCCGAAAAATATACCTACAGATTGATCCCATAGAAATTTTATTAAAATCGATTCAGCAATTTAGTTGTTAAATGAAAATAACTGGTTTTGCCACAATTAACGACGGCTTTTTGTGGAACACAAACTTATATTTGTATTTTGTTTCATTTAATATTTTAGCTGATTCGTGGCCTCAGGTATTTGATGACAGCGAAGCACGTCGCGACTGGAACTGGAAGCCTGAAGTGGATCTGGAGAATTTGGTCAAACTAATGATGAAAGAAGTCAAAGAGAAGATAGTATTAAATGGTCTAGATTAAATTGTAGACAATGAAAATAGTATAATAATTGGACGTGTTAATAATAAAATAGGATAATGCAAATTAGTTACTAATTGTACATTATATACGACCTAAGCAATTCATGAGAATTCATGGGCATATAATGTCCCTGTTTAGGCAAGACCATAATAATATCTCCTGTTAAGCAAAAATGCTTGTTAGGAGACACCACTTTTTCATAATAATTAATTACATTCCATGGTCTTTACCTTTCACCTTTTGTTATTAGTCAAGATGATATTAGTTATTTTCTAAAAAAATAATATTAAAATAAAAAACTAATCTATAATTTTAAGCATCGAAAATATCTTCATACATGAAGGGGCTATCTGTGGTAAAAATTTTCTAGCATTTCTAGGAATATCTGCAGCTATTCTGTAAATAAGTTCAGAAAAGCTGTCAAGACCAACGAATTAATACAAGTCAGTATCATAGGACAAAAAAAAAAATTAACGGTACAGTTTAACAACGAGTATGCAAAGTAGTTTATTATATAATAAATGTAAATTTTACTGGTTGTGAATAATAAAATACCTCAAATTAAAATTCTAGGAATGATTAATAAATTATAAGATCTAGTAAATTATATATTGCTATTAATTAAATTAAAAATATAAATTCCATAGATAATAATGAATTTTAATATGTAGATTGGTATAATACATATATAAAATAAAAAAACGAACTGCGTTCAATTCCTTTATTATATTAGTAATGCAATATAAACTTTAAAAATAAATACATAAATTATAGTACATTAAACGAGACGTTTTCTGAGGTATCGATGAGGAAGGACTGCGAGCTATAAACACATGCTAGACATTTAAAATACTCATACATCGTCATAGTCGTAGAATACTGACGGATCTGACAAAGATTACATATAAAGATCCGTCAGTATTCTACGACTATGACGACATGTAGTGTAAGGAGTATGAAAATCATAGAATAATTTAGTACTTTGTAGTATGTATATGTTAAATGTAACCCACGACGTATCGCAATTTTTTGTGTGTACATAATCTCAAGACATGTATCATTCTTACTTTCATACTAATATTAAAAATTTAAAAGCGTGTTTATCTGTTACCTGTTAATGCCTTAACGGCTTAACCACTATGAAATTTTGTATACACATACTATATGGCATGGAGTTATAGGCTACATTTTATCCCGGTCAATACATATATTCCGGTCACTGGTTCAATAAACCTTACACCATAGAGTGATAAAGATCGCACGGGTACCTTAAATTTATACGAAAAGTGTTGACTTTTTATATTATATAATTATATATAATTTAGTATTGACCCGTTGGGGTCAATACTAAATTATTTGCCTTTAAACTTTTTTGTATATCTATGTAAATTTCTTTTTAAATGGTGTCAAGGCTTTATTAAGTAACCAAAAATTAATGAATAAAATTGTGTTCTATATTTTGTAGTTAGGTTTACTATTATGTTAGATACTCTCTCCTACCGCAAGAAACGTCTCACTGCCAATTAATCTACAGATAACGTAGGTAATAATTATACGAGGTTCGCACATCAACATACACATACGTATGATATTGTAACTTTGAATGGCCTCCATTCAATATACATTTTTGATTAACCTCCGCATACTTTTCAATAAATTGAGTCCATGTTTGATCCCGAATACCAATAAATAGATCTAAAATTAGACACAAAATGTAAATTTATTTAGTATTTGCCGAGATTTCGAGCCTCCGAAGTAATAAATAAATATGCCAATTTCTTTAGTTTTTTTTTTTTTTTTAACTACATTTAGTCAAGCTTAAGTATTTTTTTAAAATTTCTCTAAATCATTAACTTTCTTTCCACAATTTTAGTAAATTTGTCAAGTATTCGATCGAGTTGATATACCCAATAAGGAAAAACAATAAAAAAAAAAAAACTTTTTCATTAATCGTCGGCATTTAATAAACTGGCTTTTCTTGGCCAGTATTATATTAATTTGCGAATAGTGGCAAAATTTTCAAAAGTGGTCTTCTTTTCCGGAATTCGATAAATATCACAGATAGATAAATATTATGTAGATGTTCACAGGCGCCGTTTATTAGCAATTGAAATTATATTAAATTTAATAATTTATTGGGATCTAATAACCTAGTTGGACATGAGTCTACTGATACATTCATAGTCATTGATAGGTAAATTTAAATACCAAGATTTTTGCCGAATTTTCCTTTTCCAAAGCTCAAAAAAAGAATCCATTGACATTTATCGATGATAAAAATTAACCATAGACTCTTGTATTTTTTCAATAATCATACGTATTAGTCTTCAATCTGCGAGCCTATTTAAACAAAATAAGATTATGCTATTGCTATATCTTTTGTTATGTATACACAAATTATACTTAAAGAAAACAAAATATGCCAACAAACAATAAAAGGTTTTGAGATTAGCTGGCCATCAGCATCAGATAAAACTTCCATTGAAAGCCCACTTGAAAGCATTGTGTACCAGCACAATGGAGTCGATTCTGAAGCATTATTCTCTATCATTAAAATAAAAAAAATAGCAAATTGATTAATAACTAATTTTTTTGTAATATTGCGTCGAACTCCTTTATATTTAATTCTAGATGAGCTATACCACAATAACTTTGTTAAACTATCAAATTAAAATTGTAAGTTAATAAATATGTTTAAGTAATGTAACCTCAGAATCGACGTCACTATTTTCTTTTTTTATTAATAATTAATCTTAATATAGTTTCTGTGATAAATGTATCCATATATTATTTGATTAGTAAGATAGTTAAATAAGAAAGAAATACGTGCTGTGGTCCAATAAATGTCTTATAATGTTGCGTTAATGTTGGCAGACTTCTACAATGGTTCACAGAATACAAATTACATACATAGTATTTAAGTAACTAGGCAAATATTAAACTTAAATTAATGACTCCCAGTAACCACATAATCACACTACGACTCAGTCTTCCATTTGTTACTCAAAAGCAACGCGTTCTCTTAAATATATATTAATTGATAACAATATTCTTAAGCGATGGACGTCAATATATGGTAGTAATTTATTACCATTGTTTAGGCACGTCCTTTTATTTATGAATTAAAAAAAAAACTAAAATTATTTCTAATACATAATATTAAAAATTATCAAATTACGAAACATATATATTTTACAACAATTACAATCATAATTAATAAATTTAAAAAGCAAAATAGCGTTTATTTTTCTGGGAAAAAGATTAACTAGCGTCGTCATTTATTAAATTCTACTAAAGCTTTTATAACTTAAGAGTGAGTATTCACTAAAAGCATTCGCGTGTAACGTAACAGATCGCAATCGAACATTACATGAAATCTGAATACGTTAAGATGTGATTATAGTGAAAAAAAAAAAATGCTCATGTAAAATTATTTGTTGTATTACATTTGCACGGTTGCAGTAAATACTCACCCTAAGAATTGGTCTTTACTAAGACCATAATGTCGCGATTGTTTATCAATTTTTTACATTCATCACGTATTATCATTTTACTTAGAATAAAAATTTAAAATAATATTCAATAATTTTATTAGAACTGTGTTTATAAACTCTATTTGGAACGTTTACATTTAAAGTGTTACCATATGGCAACTACAAATAGGATATTTTTTGTTATTGTTCGAATCACTCATTTAAAATGATAATAATAAATGAATAACTACAAAAATTAACAATCGACGACGGTGATGAGATTTTTAGAAAGTATGCCCTCTTAAATAAACTCACAGCATCGCAGAAATTGATTATCAAGCATAAACGAAAAACATAGGGTCACACTTGTGTACTATAAAAGTAAAATAAAATTTATTAAATTAATACACATTTCGAGACTAAATAGATAAAGATATAATAACACTACAGCGTATTATTAAACTATGGCACTAATTTATATGATAACTGTTGTCTATTATATTACTAATATTGTCCACGCCGTCGGGCAAAAGGCCGTATAAGTTGAGGCAATTGAAAGTGTGTTCGAATTAGGTTATATTGTAACAATTATCAGAGTAATCGAGCAAGTGTACATAATTAATATAATTGCAATACCTATGAACTATGACTATTAAATACTATTATATTATTATAATTATAAATTGACGTCAAATCTGTGTGGATTTTAATTAGCCCATTGATCCATTTGGAGATGGATTCATATGGATCGCAGTTAATGCTCACCCATATATGTGAACGAATAGATTCATGTAACATGATGATATTATATAACATTACTGATATAATGTTCGTTTTTGAACTGTTATATTACACGCGAATGACCTTTGTGAATATTCGCCCATTCACACTATACATATGTGCAGCGGACGCATACCATAATCGCCTCACGTGATATGTTAATATTTATTAAAAAACGCAAACGAGTGTGAAAATGAAAAATCCATTATGTCAACGTAATTACATTTTATACTTTCAACCGGTTTCTAGGTTAATTTATGTAACAATTGCACCAACCATATATCACATATTCATCATTTATAAAAAGAGGTCACAGAATGACAATGCTATTTCATGTAATTACTTCATTACAACTTAAATAAAAACGGCTATAATTATAGACCATCAATTAAGGTGCAGATACTATGTTATGTATGGGAATAAGATATATTATCTACAGATATATAGTATTTTCAGATACTTTATCTTCACGTGTATATCCATTGAATTTATATGGAGAGCGTTTTTACAAGCTATGTTTCGTTATTGATTTTATAAAAAAAAAATTTACCGCTCTAATTATAAGAGGGACATTTCAAAAATTCCTTTTATACCTACTCTCAAATAATCTATCTAACATATACTGTATGCATTTTAAGTTTTACTAAGGCGTGATTCTTTCTAACCTTGTAATAGATAAAAAAACATTTTATCTGGTTGTGTTGTAAGTGTATCGACCTGTTAGGCGCAAACAATATGAATATATATTAGATAAACTATCAAATAGTGTTTTAGCAACCTTTACAATGTACCATCAGATATATGACCTATAAAACATGATTTATTTATACGAAAGCAGATTTATTTACAGTCGTGTACCTAATCTATATTTATCGCATGTGATTATTTGATAAGCGTCACTGATATCTGATTAGACACGAGATAGAATGATGAGACCATTTTCAATAGCCAATACCAAGCGTTCGTAATAAGAACATGAAATTGGACAATCAAAATTAGTGATAGGACTAGTAGTTGAAATTTAAAAACGAACCCTAATAATATTGCAATAGGACATTACGCTTATTATTCGTGTGTGTACGTACCTACATGTCCTCTATTTAGGATTTGACATATTTAAACTAATAATTAATAATCAACAATAAAAAACGAACACAAAGACAAGTATATAAAACAATCTGAGTCAAATTTCTTAAATTTGTTAACTAGAGAATAGGACCAAAACATACATAATAGTATAAATGAACTTAAGCATGGATAATATGTATACCAATCCGATATCTATATATCAGGTTACTCTGGATCTATAATGGCGGAAAAAAGTTCGTCACCCATTGTAATATCGCCCATATAGAGCGGATATCGGTTTTCGAATATGTTAAAAGTCTGTTATCCAAAAAATAATATTAGATAACAGACTTTTAGTATATTCCTTATGGGACCAATACATAGATATTGTAAGTAATAAGTATAGATATTGCTATATTATATTATATTACCCACCCCTAACGAACATTAAAATATGTCAAACGAAATAAAAATATAAATAAAAAAAACTAAAATGTTTTCTATATTCTAAATCGGATTAAGTATGTAATACTTACTATTAAAAATTACAAAACACACGAATCATGAAAATAGAAAAACAAACAGTACAGCCTACTCAATTTCGGTCAAACAATTTGTTTTTTTTTTTTTTTCATTGGCGTTACGGTACATAAACAAAAATGGCAAACAGCATGTCATAATAATGATTATCGGATCAGTTGTCATTATAAATTATATTTGATTCCTAAAAGAAGCCTAAGCTACCTTAAGTTTTAAAACTTAGTTTGTTGTTACGATATTGACCGCAAATAGACGAATGTATTGATGGTTAGTTGATTACAATTATTTTGTTTAGTTTTTATCTAATGAAGAAACCAATTATATGAACTTCTGCAAACACCTAATTCAGTAAAACATGTGTTGATATTATTATAAAATATTTATTCAAAATTTTTTCCAAATACGATGAAACCAAAATGTAAATAGTTGATTTTAAAATAATTTCTGAATTTACTGAAGCAAAATTATTTCGCTAGGTAACATAAAAAAAAGTTATAACTTCGGCTTAACCAATCATTATAAAATATACGTGTATACTTAACACGTACTATAAGAGATGGAGAAGGATATAGGTGATTTTTTATTCCGGTTAATAAACATATCGTGGTCACGCAGACACAGTCGCGGTTTAAAGATAGTATTTTATAAATGCCAGTTACGAGTGGTTAAACGACGATAAACGTGTTAGCATAGTAATGTTCGTTGATTTAGTACTGATTTTTGGATATTATATGCGAATACTTTACGTGAACATTAATCCTTAGGCCTCTTCCATGTTTAATTGCCCAATTTTTGTATGAAGGTTGTAATTAATTTCATTAGCTAGACACTTAGCTGGAAAGTTATATATTTATTTATTCAGAGTATCTACAGTGTGTTTATTGTTACAATATTAACGTACTTTTATATTGGGTAAGTTATGTTGAATTTTGAAAATATACATTTAGTAAAATTAACCATAATTACGTTATACTTTTTTTTATATAACTTAGAATGGCAAACAAGCTGACGGCCCACCTGATAGATAGTGGTAACCGACGCCTATAGACATGAGCTGTACCATGGACATAACAGAGTATACTCTTTCGCCCATGATAACCCCCATGCGTTGCCATTCTTGAGGACTCAGTTGTTATTCCTCTGTACCCAGTAAATTCACGCCATATCCCACCCTTCAAACCGAAACACAGCCATGCAAACACAGCTGCTTCACGGTTGAAACACGAATGGAACAGAGGTACCCAAGCAATCGACTTTTGTACAGTCTCCCTTTTTGCATTTTTTATCTATGAATATATAGTAAACTGCACTTCTAATAATCGTAAGTAGTTTTAGTCGTAAATATTAACCTTTTAAATCCAAATGCATGTATAATTACTAACAAACTTAAAAATAATTAAAATGAGACTATTTAAGGGCGAAAACACATCAACGTTGCCTCGAACTGTAGACAGATATATAAACACGACACGTTATCTTATGTTTACTATTTATAGTGCCGGATACGGCTCTTGTATCAAGTTATATAAATTTTCAATAAAGTAAAATAATTTTAATAAAATTGGCAACACCAAATCTAATTCAATTTACTCTTTATAATTTAATTCTAGGTACATCTATAGACCAAACGTCTCCACAACTCTATAGATATACAAGAATATACGTCTATAGTGATTCCTAAGGTATAAGGCCCTGGTAATTTCACTGCAATATTTCATAATACAAACTGAAACATAGTCGTGTCAATACAGCTGCATATCGGCTGAAAGTAGAACAGAGGTACAAAAAATCTGTACAAAGACGTCATCTGGTGCATATTGATAAACGCTGCTATAGCGAAAATATTATAGTATATAAGAAAGTATATACAAGCATACGGCCCACTTGATGGTAAGCGGTTATCGTAGCCTATGAACGTCTGCAATACCAGGGGCAATATGTGTGCATTAATCTTTAGAATTTTGGAAAACTATTCAACATCACGACGCGACCATGAGCGAAGTTGCGGGACACAACTTCTTTTATATACACTTAATGACACCATATTTATATCGTATCGTAGCAAGATGATGTGTTTTAACCCTTTAGCTTATTTTTAAGTCCCCTTTCTTTGTCACACGATTCATAATTCGAATTCAAATACAACGAACACTTTTAGCCATTAAATAATTTTAGATTAAGTAATAAATATATAAAATGCAAAAAATTACAGTGGAATAATATTAGAGTTTATTGCACATGTTAAAAGTAGTTGTCTATATGACAAATTAATAAAATAAAACATTTTCATTTGTCTAACCTAATAAAAGAACATACACTGAACCGAGCATACCGTTACTGCTTTTTCCTACTACCCACTATTAGTATTGAAGAAATATTGAAATTATAGATTAATAAATATTTCTGCTTCGAATAGATAGATAATCGATCATATTGTGATCACATAACTTTATATTATAGCTGATCATATTATTGCCGCATTAACATTATTCAACATTAATTAAAAAAAAAAAAAACACAAAAATTAAGTTGCGTTTACTCATGTTAATTTTAATGTGAAATGTCAAGAATATTTTGTTGACCTTTGAAAAAAACATTAATGTAGTCGTCATTAAGTTGCAAGTCCTTCAACATGATAAAGTCAAAATAGATTGAACGACTTACATATATACGTATATATTACACTCCCGTATTACTTTAAAAATTAACTTTTAAAAAATCAACGTCCATAATAAATTTCTAACACTCACTAAACAAATCGTCTGGTTCACAAACTAAGTTACCCTGTTCTCGAAACATCTGGAAATGCCATCTAGAACGCCAAGACCGGTGTCTGTAGACAAGTAACTAGATAAGCGTTTCTATCAGTACAAACGCTAACGTTATAGTCTTAGCTCCTATAACAATATTCCCTTGTAAGTTTTTACCCAACTGTAAAGTAAGCAGATATTTATGAGAATTATCGACAGCATCCGGCATCGGCCCTGCAGCCTAAACGAAAAGACGTTTTAACACCGGCTCCCGAAATCCGAAACGTATGAAATAGAGTCATATAGAGTAGAAAAAATAAATAAGAAAAATGAGATTTCAAGAAACAATTTGCGAGCAAGTAAACAATGTTGCATTGCAGCCTATTTTTAAATGAATCTGTCATTTTTTCATCTACTTCTAATTATATTTTATGGATCATTAATAAAGACGTGCAATTTATATTCCTAAATGGGCGTTATCTAGTTGTCTATCACAAATTGCAAGTACGACACTGAATGTGTTGATTAGTGGAAGTAAGGACACAAAATATTATGAAGAAAAACGGAGAAAAGTGAAATTTTCACTGAAACCTACAAGGATTTTGATCACGTCACAAATTGTATAGTACCTACACAAATAAAACTGCACACAAAGATTAGTATGACATACAAAGCAATACACTGTGATTAATAAATTGATAATATGATAAAGTATAGCATGAAATAGGAGTGAAACCTTTTACTGCAACAGAAAATGTATTAAACATGTAATAAACTGGCCTATGTCCAGTAGTGGACAATGAATGGTTTGAATGATGATAAAATACAATTGATTCTTTCATAACAATGTTCTAGCTATAATTATGTCTATTTATATAATTAAAAGGATTATTATAATTAATTAAAAAAAATACGATTTTGTTATGCGTAGGCACCCTATTGAAGAGTTAAATATTAGAATCCTAGTCGTGTTTATATAATGCGATGCGTAATATTTACCTCGATGTCGAATTTGCATAAAATATAGGAATAATATTCGGCAAGAATGACGAACTAAGACACTACACGTGCGCCCGTCCCCTATGACTGTCCATTCAATAATTACACACATATATCAGTAACACAGGTTTTATCACTGAATTTGGTAACATTAGACTAAAACGTTCGCCACACCGCATCCCATAGCAAAAATATTTCCGTGTCACAATCTTTATCTATAATATTAATTGACTCTTACATCACTGTTCACTGGGACTTCAAATGCTGGAGTTGTTCTCTATTCATGTTCATCTCTTTCAAACGCTGTCTTAGCTGGGCTTTCTTCAAATTTGTCATTATCTGTGTTGATTGGTAGAGCCACGATCCCTGTAATCGATTATAAGTACAATATTTTTTAAATATCATTGTATTTGTCGTAACAATTGCATAGTTCACTATTCATTATCTGTTAGTCTCAAAATACTGTTCTCCCATTGGTTTTTTCAGTTTCCAGTCACAGGTACTAGGGACTATTCTGAGGCATCATTTTTCTAAACGTATCTCTAAAACTAAAATTTTCATTTAATATCATACCCAAAAATTAATGTTTAAGATCAATAAGAACAAAGTTTCTAATAGATTTAAATAAAAATTAACATAAATTTAGTTTGTAAAATGGTCCATAAAACAATAATTTCGGAAAACTATCAAATTAAAATATTAGGCTAAAAGGTAGGTAAAGAAATAACGCCTCAGTACCGAAGCCTACTGAATTCAGTTAGATTTCAGTCATGTTATTTTTTTTTATTGGATGAAAATGTAGTGGTAACCCCGCCTGCGCTAATGGGATACGCTGGCGGGGCACCAGTGAAGGATGATCGACGAAGATGAAAACAGGCCAGTCAGCCCACCATGATGAATTCATTATATATCAATTAATCATGATAGTTTCCAGGGGGAACCGTAAGGAGGTCGACCTGGTTGGATATATTGCTAGCAATGGGATTCTTAGTCTCCATTAATAACAATCCATTTTCCCCCCCTCAGTCATGTTATTAAAGGAAGACCGTTACCCACCCATCGACCATTAAGCTCCGTTAGTCGCCTCCTACGACACCCACGGGTAAGAAAAGGGTGGCCCATTCTATGCTGGAACCACACGGGATTATTATTGAATACTGACTTTAATTAACATTGTAAAAAATACTATAGAAAATTAAAATGAAAAGTTATTTTCACAAACGCAAATGAAGCTACATCTAGCTCTAAATAATATATTTCGCGTTATACATATTATTTACAAAACTGTAATGGAAAGAGTTAATTTATTCAAAAGATTTGCATGCTTATTAAATTAGCAAATTTGCTCATAATTTATGTCAGTCGTATTGTAATAGAATCGTAGCATATTGCCATGAACAATTATTCGGATGTACAAGCAGTCAATGGTCGTTTCAAACTCTATATAACCTTCACAACTCTAAGTACACTTACGGGTAATAATATGTAATCATTCTAATACCTTGACGTATTAGCAGCTAATACATACATTGGGGGGGGGGGGGGGGGTTGTTATTAATGCGGACTATCAGCCCTATTGCTAGCTATATGCCCCATAAGGTCGACCTCCACGTGGTTTTCCCTGGAAAACATCGTGCTGAATTCCTCGTGTATTCATCACGATGGGTTAACTGATCTGCTTTTTCATGCTTACCTATCACCCCTCACTGGTGCCCCGCCAGTGTATACCGGTAGCGCAGGTGAGGTAACCATTCCATAATCATCAATTAAAAAATATATATACATTAGGGTAAAATTAGAATAACATCAACCTTTACAGAGTCTGTTCTAAGTGGTAGAAAGAAACGAAAGAGTCACATGATTGTGAACATTTTTCAAAAAAATAATAAATGAAAATAAAGTTGAAGCACCATTATACAGCACGTCCGTTAAGATAATACCTACACATCACAAGGTATATAACAGATTCAAAATGGGTATCAAATTTTTACACAAAATGTTCAACACCTTTCTGTACTGTAATGTACTCAACATTTTGTGAAAATTTAAAACCTTCTTTCTTGGTTAGTACAACTAAACAGCGGCAGTATATATCGTGATTTTTTTATATTATTAGAAAGACAAAGAGGCCGACAGTCCACCCCCCCCCCCCTCTACCATCTCATAAAAACCTACTTTTTTTTATGCAACTTAGAATGGCAAACAAACTCACGGCCCACCTGATGGACAGTGGTAACCGTCGCCTATAGACATGAGAGGTACCATGGACTAGTAATACGAGAACAGTACGCTGCACGCCTTTTAAAAATTTATAAGCATATTCTTTGAACAGTTCCATCTTGTGCAAAAAACTAATAATCTATTATACAGTCACTAAAAACAGAGAGAAAAGCTATCTCTCTTCAAGCTCAGTCTTTTAGCAGCGCTTATTCTCAAATGAACAATTTATATTATAAGGTGTTATTACATATTACATCTTTTAAAAGTACAAGTAATATATACAATATAATATTAATCGAAATACTACGATAACCTAGGTCAGGTGTCTAAAAATAACGGCTAGCCGGTATACTTATACGCTCATAGGCCGCATGAACTCTTTGTGCATAGCGTCAGAATAAAAGTTGAATGATAAATGAAAATGTCAGAAGAAGGTAACAAAGATTACCTTACTAAATAAGAAATACCAATATAGAAAAAATGCTTCTTATGTATTATCTATTTTATTTTTTTATGTTTGCCATTTGATTATTAATCAGAGTCTGAAGACAAGTATTGTTTTTATACGTTATGTGATATCTTCCGCAATTCCAAAGCAATTTTTGATAATACTTTTTATAATCGGTAAAGTTTGCCCCCATGTTATTCCTTTAGGTATAGATTTTATCATGTTAGGCTATTTTTTAAGGTCTTATTTTTCTAAAAGATGTTTATGCATCAAATAAATAGGTATAATAAAACAAGAAAATAATTGTTATTTTGTACAAGGCCATATACGAGTCTAAAAAATTATTGCATAATTACTTAGCAACGTCAAGGTTACAGTATCATACATAAGATGTTTTGTTACCTTGATATTAAGTATTAAAATCATTACAAAATCTTTCGATTCATTGGTTGATAAAAAACTGACGATATTTCACGTAAATTGATTAATTTAAGACATATCTATAGATATATTATCGTTACTAATCACGATTTCTGATAATTGTACCGAATAAAAATAAAACAAAAATAAATAATAAAAGATAAATAAACTTACCACCATTATCATGCAGTTTAACAGTATAGGAATGGAGAACACGACTGATATGAATAGTCCTTTACTATCAAAATACTGTTGTCTGGAAAATAGTGCCCAATTCCTGGCTGCCACTTCGTTTATGCTTTCCGAAAAATATACCAGGAGTACTGAAACGTGATGATGTTAAATACAAATTTATATTTAAAACCTTCATTTAATTTTAATCTGTATTCATTATAGCACTCAAAAATAGAGTAATATCAATTACACACAACACTACTAGATATATACAAAAAATAATTATAGTTACATAAATAATATTTATATAAACAAACCTAAATATATATAAAGAATACATAAATAATGTATGTAATGTTATTTTAATCTTTTTTTTTTAAAAACCTATACAGGGACTACCTTGAATGTAAACAATTGAAATCGGAAACGAAGATAGGTAGAGGAATTAGGTTTATTCAAAATTTTATAAAGAACAGATCCATATACATAACCTGATGTATCTTATGACAAAGTCAGATTGGGATCCACTTTAAACGATCGTGAAATTTAAAGATATGGTCGTTCTAAAAATAAATTTAATCACTAAACTTTGTAAGCTTTCCGTCACATCTAAGACGTCGCCATAATCTAAAATGAATCTAAATATAATCCCTAGTAACATTATAAACGTAAAAGTTTCTTTAAGTTTTAACTTCTTAACGAAGCCTTAGGAAATTTGGCCTGATCGCAATATTTGGGATACAGAAAGATAGATTAAATTTATCCCGTACACAAACAAAATCACGTACCTAAGTACGAGGTAGAGTTACTTCGACGATTATGTTGTACTCGCTCTAATAGTAGCTTCCGATTGAAGCTTATACAATTGATGGAAATTGGCAAATGCAATAAAAACTATCTGTCTAGGTGGTTTTTGACCATCGCTCAATAGCTATACCGATTTTGATACTCAAAAATTAGTACAGTCAATAAACCATAATTTACGTTTAGCTAATAATCTTTGATGTAATATTATACATACACAATTATTTCAACAAGGACATAAAACGGTTCCACATGTATTTAATGTCAAAATGTCAAATAGGTAGAGAAATAAAATTACAGGGGAAGATAACACCAAAGGTCTCAGCCTGCCTTACGCATTACCATACATAATGCGTCATAAGCATAACAGTATATAATTGTGTGCATGTGCGTCCATGGTGCAATTCATGTTTATACGTGACGGTTACTACGTTCCATTAGATGAGTATAATGGAAAAACTAATTTTTATAAATACATAATACTAAAATTAAACATTTTGGTAAAAAAAGATAATTAATTATTTTGGTACGTTAATTTAGTACCATTTATTTTTCTCATATCATATCGTATTCGAGTAAAAAGTGAAATAATATTGTAACTGATAAGTGACATACATTTACACCTAAAGATAAACATAAATTTAAATGCTATAAAAATATATAATATATTATTATAGCATTTAATATTATATGAAATATGTATTTTGAATAGAATGAAATACCTAATAATATTAAATACCTAAGTTTTTTTTATGATTTATTTTTTAATTCATCATTACGTTTAGGCTGTTGGAATTTCTTTGTTTTTATTTAGATCTTCGGTCGTTATAAGCTAATTTTGATAATTATTTTTGTAATCAACATGGTTTACTTTCGTGTTAGTCTCATATTGATTTGGTTGTAGTTGAAATTTTTGAGTATTTAAATATAAGAGTGAACTTATCAAATAACAGCAAAGAAATCACAATAGCAATACAAGCATACAAGAACACTAGCCGAAAATTAAAAAAAAAAACTTACATAGTATGATGAAGAGAATCACTTGAAAGTTGCCATAATTTCTGGTTGAAAAACACGTGACAGTAATTAGAACATGGAATGACAACAAAGCAATTAGCCACGGATCACGCCACTCAATCTGAAACAATGACGACGCAACCAAATATTATTCTTGTAATAAAAAAATATATACTAGTTTTTAAAAATTTTTAACTTTCACCGAGATAAAAAAAAGTAGCCTATATCCTATTCCATCATTTTTTATGCAGCTTAGAATGGCAAACTAGCTCACTTATACTACTGACTTATATATACTATAAGGGATTATTCGTAATGGAGTCTAACTAACCCATTGCTAGCAATACACCCCTATCAGGTCGACCTCCACGTGGTTCCCCCTGAAAACCATCGTGGACAATTCTAGTGGAATTCGTCACAATGAGCTAACTGACCTGCTTTTATCGTCACCTATCATCCCTCATTGGTGCTTCGCCAGCGTATACCGATAGCGCAGGCGGGATTACTATTCCAATATCACCCATTAAATAAAACCATCCTCTATAGACATGAGCAGTACCATGGACATAATAGAGTGTACTGTTTCGCTCATGATATCCCCATGTGTTGCCATTCTTGGGGACTTAGGTGTTATTCCTCTGTACCCTGTAAATTCACTGCCATATCCCATCCTTCAAACTGAAACACAGCCATGCAAACACAACTGATTCACGGTAGAGACATGAATGGGACAAAGGTGCCTAAGGAAACGACTTTTGTACAAAGTCTCCCTCTGGTCATACCAAAGACGCTAAGAAGTAAACAAACAAACTCACATAGATATTCGACAATTTAATGAATGTAAATTGTTATACCACAAATACAAATTTCATATAGACTTTATGAAGAGCTGTAAGATATGATACAGCAAATGACAATTCATAGATATGATACAAAATATCAAATACACAAAATAAGTTTAAAGGAAGATAATATTACTTAAGAGGAATATTATGATTATTTGGTAGTTCTTTATAGTCACAGGACTTTTTTAGACTGATTAAATAACTACCAACATAAGGCACAGTACTACTGTTGATTTTTAATTGAATTTGTAGAGAGTACACTAATAATTTAAGATTTTATTTCACAAAAATAACATCAACTTTAATCATATCAAAGTCAATACAAAACAGGCAATGATATAAAAAGAAATATGTTCACAATTGCAGGTAACCTTTATATACATAATTAATGTTAGTTTAAAAAAATAGTAATAAGTTATTGAAAAAAGAAGCAATACAGGACATGTTGAGAGAAGATAAGCTACGCATTGGATGTACTTTACTATACAACATATCTGAGGGAGACTATATAAAAATTGTCTGCTTCAGTACTTCCGTCCCACTCATGTTTTTGCTGTAAACCAACTGTGCTTGCATGGCTGTTTCGGTTTGAAAGGTAGGCTGTGATATTGAAATTATAGGAAATATAGGTATAACTTTGTAGTAAAATAGGAAAGGCAGGATACGAGGGGTACCATGTGTGTCACAGTATATTCAGTAATGTCTATGGTTTATATCTATTCATGTCAGCCATTGTAAGTTGCATAAAAAATACAAAATAAGAGTGATGAGATTTAACAGAGGTTGACTTTATATAAAACTTGTCTACATGGATTTCTCAGTCCCACACATTTCTGATGTGAAGTAGCTGTGTTTATATGGTTGTTTTGGTTTAAGAGTGGAATATGGCAGTGAATTTACAGGGTATGAAAATATAACACCTTCCTAAGAATGGAAATACATGACAAATATCTGGCTATGAATATATATATATATATATTTTCCTACCCTGTAAATTCACTGTGAGTGTAAGTGACAATTACCACTATCAGGTGGGCTGTCAACTTTTTTCCTATTCTTACTAGGTCTTATAAAAATAAATATAAAGGAAATATTATATGATAATAATAATTTATCACTTCTAATTATTAAAGAATATGAATCTTGATTACATAATTAGCTTTTAGACAATACTCTGAAAGAAATCTGCTTATTCTTCCATTATTGGAAAAAAAGTGGATATGTTTATGTTTCTTTACTTACTTTTTGTTTTGTATTGTTATACATTTAGGAGCAAATAACTTGTGGCTATCTTCAATAAAACCAACACAAATTTATTACACATAGATAACAATACTATGTTTCATTATAGAATTTACTATTGACACAAAATTTAAATATGCATGATTTGAAATTGTATGGACTTTAGACTTACTTGATATACAATATCATATATATGTATACCACAAAAACAATAGACTATATTATGAGTCTGTAAGAATAGTCACATGTGCCTACAATACATAAAATATATAAATATGTTTATGAATGAATATTATAATAATTTAGTTGCTTGAGCCTTAAACTTGCTTAAAACACCACCTAAGCCTCAATGACAAATGTTCAAATAAATCACAATTTTAGATAAAAAATGCTGATTCATATTTGTTTGCTAACAGTACTTAATAATATTATTGTATGTATTTATTTACCTCCACACAGTGAAAGTACAAAAAAATGTATTTGTAAGTATTTATATAAAGCAATTATTGAGTGCATTCTTTTAAAAACAGTAACTGAACATTTTTAATTCATTTAATTTAAAATGTTTAATATTTGATTTAATAAAAGGTAATAAATATAAACACTAATGAATTCCATTATAGACCTAGTCAATATGAACTACTCAGCGTAATATAATACACTGGATACGAATGTCAGGGTCGTAATATGCGCGTTGCGGCAGTCCATCAATTAGGTACCTTCTTATCCATTAAAGATGAAACCTAGTCGCTTAAAATCGATCTGTTACATTTTAAGACCACACTATAAATTTACTAATTATAAAATAACATTATTCTGTGCATTTGTTTTAAAACTAATATGTCAATAATATGAATCAAAACATCTCAAAGTACAAAAATAACAGTAAATACAGAAATATAAAATATTAACTAAAAGTAAACACTTACGCTACGGATGTAGGAAATAAAATCAGATATTTCATTTACTTCAATAAATCCTTCCATATTCTATAAAACTTGATACTTATCAAATTATTATACAATAATGTAGTGTAATTATAAGTTTATTGTTTAGGCCAAAATTTTTATAAGACTACAAAATGAATGAAATAAGAATGAATAGCTAAGACAGCCGCTTTGAAAAAACACATAAATAAATACCTATATAGCACATTAGTACGTATCTAACGTAAATGACAATGACAAATACGTCTACCATAGATTAAGGATATAAAGATATGTAGATACGTAATCATGCCTAGCTTTTCTACAAAAAGAATAAATAAAAGGGGAAAAAATAGAAGATAACTGTAGAAAGATAATTACTTCAATCTTTAATGTTTGTTAACAACCAGCAGGCCGATTACGTAACTACGTTGCCAACACAGGCCGATTATATAATTTAGTTGCCAGTTTACGATTGGAAAAATTGAAAATAACATAAACTAACGACTACGATTATGTCTTAGGATTATGTATCTACCATAGACTTAATATAAGGTATCATACCTACTATAAAGTAATTAGCGAGCGGATGGCAACAGAGGGTATCGTAACAGCCATAGACTTATAGGGTATTATATACTAACAGATTGGCAATGGGGGAAAGGGATTGTAATGGAGACTGAGAATCTCATTGCTAACAATATATCCAACCAGGTCGACCTCCTCGCGGTTCCCCCTGACTAAACTATCATGGGTAATTCCTGACGAATTCATCATGATGGGCTAACTGGCCTATTTTCATTCTCATCTATCACCTTTTACTGGTACTCCGCCAGCGTATCCCGTTAGCGCAGGCAGGGTTACCATTCCATTTTCACCCATTAAAAAAAACAGAGTGGCAATGCAATCACAAAAACGAGACGTAAATGTGAACACTTACGATGACGCGTCTTCTTCCCCTTGTAACACACAAGGCTCAACTCCGAAGGCAAGAACCTCCGGGTCACTGGGTATAGGCCGACATTGAGTGTTATTGTCGGCATGGCATCATTGTAATGTTGGTGATGGTAGTAATGACGTCCTCGTCTTTTTTCCGGTAATATAATATATATGTGCGATGTCGCTGCCCCCGAGAGTCGGGAGGCGCGTCGGCTGGCACCGGGGCATTGGTACGCCCGGACGTCGACCTATCCTACTCGAGAAAAGAGAGTACTTTATACACTGTGGGCGTACAAACCACTCTCCCCCGAAGGGCCTCAGTCTTCATCGCAGGCGCGTTGCAAGTAAAAGACCAGGTGCTACAAAGCATTACTATATATCGTCCTCAAAAGGACGATAACGATGAATACGATGTGAGGATGAAGTCGATGAACGATGAGGTGACTCGATAGACAGGATGACGAAATAAAACAAGATGGATCTTCTATACAATGATGAAGGTTGAGGCGTGGATACTAGGTCTCTTCTATTGCTATTGTTCGCTCCCTTCAAAGGTCAACTGCGCTATGATTAGTAGCCCGTTTGAGCCCTATTTTTATAGATATCTGTCGCCGCTGGCCATCGAACCGGCGGCAATCTAGTCTCCTCACGCCCTCGGACTATTTATTTTACTTCCCTTAAACTATAACAATACTGACATAGGACTTAACTATTTTAGGTAGGCATGCTCACGAATAACCGTTTTTTATATTTTTTCTATTTTTTTTTTAAATATAGCGGCAAAATTGTAGATATAGTAGCTTAGTCTTCAGGAATGACAACACATTAAGTATATCACGGACGACATAGTATACTCTGTTATGTCCACGGTATTATTCATATCTACAGACAGTTGTTATCATTTTCAATCAGGTGGGCCGCCAGCTACATTTGAAAAAAATGTCAATGTAATGTTCCATCCCTAAAACCGAAACACAAATACAGAAGTATACCCTTTTTGATTAATAAAAGCCTTAAGAAAATCGGTTCATAATTAGCAAAACATTGTATGTAAATATTGAAATCTGTTCGGTGGATTAAAGTCTTGTATTACAATTCAATAACGACGATAATATTTATTGTGGTCATTAAAAAAAATATTTAATTACTTCTTTTAATTTATATAATAAAATTATATATATAATATTATAGCTGTATACGTAACGGCCTGTTGCTTTTGTTAATTTGTTAAATCAATTTAATTGATTAGATGTCATTGACACTTATTGGCAATCTCGAAGGGATTGAAGTTAAAATTAGTAGATATTCACATATTCATTATTAATTTGAATACTTGAGACTTTAGAATATTAATTAGTTTAAATGTCATAATTTTTTTTTGTCGATTCAATTACAAAATAATTGTTATGATTTTAAATAATGTAATTGAAAAAGTGAAAATGCTTACAATTTCATGTAAAACATGAAATTGTAAGCATTTTCTCTGTTTATTTCTTCTATTTATTCAGGTACAATACACTTAATAATTTGTTTAATAATGTAACTAACTTAAAAGTAATTCTACTTCCATACGTACAAATAATTAGAAATTATTTTGTTCACATTCTCACCAAAACAGCTTTGAGCTTATGTTGTGCAATTACTCAATTATCTTTCTCGCTCTAACATACAGGTTATTGTATTTTTTTGTCTCATTCCTTGCCAATCTATATACTTTATAATCTATAACACCACAAGTACAAGTTTCAAAAATGACATTGACGGCAAAGGAAGTTAAAATGACTTCTGAATAAATTTGAAGTTTCTATGATCTGTGTCCTGTGGTTATTTTATTTTATTATGGTTAGTACATACTGTAAATTCTACCTTTATTTTGATATCGAAAAGTTACTAATCATATGCGAATATTTGTGATTTTTTGAAGATTAAACACGATTTTAAATCTCTGTAGTGAATTTATAATTTTATTAAAAATGAGAGTCGTATAAGATTATATCTGTTTTGCAAATAAAGTGAAAATAACTGTAATTAAAATACTTGTCTCATAAAGAATAACAAGCCGGTGGCGCGATGTTGACAAATATTTTATTATCTCTACCATACTTATTTGTTATAAGCTCCGTAGATAATGTGAAGGGTGCACAAGGGTTGGGAAATTTAGTAAAATCTCCAAATGGATTGGATTTATTGAGTGGTTGTGCTTTATTAGAAAAGCAATGTTCGCATTTGTCTGACGATCTCGCCATATTATCTTGTACGCTCAATGCAACCCGCAACAACAAAACACAAGTGCCATTTCCATGTCAACACAAAATTTGGATGCGCCAAGTGGAGTTACTTGATAATACATTCCTTGAGGACAAATTAAAAGAGCCATGTCAAGATGATCCAGTGATATCTGATTGCCTCAACCCTAATGAGTATGGAATAGATTGCATTTTAAAAAAGAAACCAAGTATAAGAAATAAAAATTGCTGGAGAATGATTAATAAGATTGAGTCTTTAATTTTCAATGATTGGCAAATTACAGTTAATTTTCTGAAGAATTGTTATGATGATATCCAAATTCAGACATGTGGCAGAATCCCACCTGATCCAAAAAGTTTATCACAGACACAGACATTGAAATGTCTCCAGAATAAAGAGCAGATTTTGAAACCTGATTGTCAATCAGAAATGTCAGTATTAAACGAAATGAAATATAGTACTTTGCAGCTAGACAAACTTGTGTTTGCTGCTTGTAACTTGGACCAGAAAAGCATTTGCTCAGATGAAGTGCCCGGATCATGGTTGATGTATAAATGTCTCGTTAGCCATAAAAATGAAATAGGTAATTTTTTTTTTTTCAGTAAAATCATCCATGGAACTTAGTAGTAGCATAGATAGATAGCCTTTAGTAATGAATTTTCTCTATCTAGTTCTCTATTGAACTATTATCATATAAAAATGTGATAATAAAATTTTTTATACTATGAGCGTGTATATTGATTGTCACATTCAATTTTATATCTATATTTTTCATGTTGTCATGTATGTTGAAGCAAGTCATGCTCACTATAATGCTCAGACTGAAGGCAGTATGGGGGGCTAGATTATTCAGTTTGCTACAATATGGTTGAGCACAACTATGGCTACTTCATCCATTATATTCATGAATAGGTGCTTGTTATTCAGGAACTGCTCAATTCAAGAATACTGCAGATAAGTAATAAAAATATTATGTATTTTCAGGCATGACAAGGAGGTGTCAGGATCAATTATTTTATGACCAAAGAAATATGGTAATGAATTATAGAATGAGCAAAGGTTTGGTAAAGGCTTGCAAAGAAGATATTAGAAAATACCGTTGCAGAAAAGGAGTAGTAGAAGACAAAGATGTTAGACTCGCACAAATTTTATTTTGCTTAGAAAATGTAACTCGAAATGACAATACCACTAAACTTTCCAATGAATGTGTAGCTGAAATGAATGATCACAGAAAAATGCTTATGGATGATTATAGACTCTCACCAGAATTGATGCAGAACTGTGCAAACGATATAACAAATCTGTGTAGAGGAGTTGAAACTGGTGGCAAGACAATACATTGCCTTATGGATCACGCTCGACCTAGGAGAAGAAAAGAAAAAAGAATAAGTATTGCTTGTCAGAAATCTTTAGAGATTTTGGTTCAAGAGGCTGATCCAGGGGAGGATTGGAGGGTAGATCCAATCTTACGTAAGGCTTGTAAAGCTGTGGTTGACAGAGCTTGTAGGGAAGTAAATGGTGGTAATGGAAGAGTCATGTCTTGTCTAATGGAAAAACTTGGTACTGAGCTTATGTCCAGTGAGTGTGAAACAGCATTGCTTCAAATACAATACTTTATCTCTAGGGATTTTAAACTTGATCCTCAACTGTATAAAGCTTGTAAGTATGATGCAGTTACTCAGTGTAAAGCAAAGCTTCAGTGGGCTGATACAAATGAACATAGATCTGAAAAAGATCCTTTGATACTTCCTTGTTTATATAACTATGCTTATAATTCAGAACTAAGGGGTATTTTAAAACCAGCATGTGAACAACAAGTTAGAAGAGTAATGAGACAAAGAGCTGTTAGTGTAGATTTATTACCTGAAGTAGAAGACTCTTGTATTGATGACTTAGCAAATTTGTGTTTTGAAGATACTGGTAAAGGGGAAGAAATACTTTGTTTACAGAAAAAGATTAAAGAATTATCACCTAAATGTAAAGAAGTTGTTACAAATTTTACTGAAACTCAAAGTGGACATATAGAATTGAATGCAGTTGTTAACATAAACTGTAGAGTTCCTATTGAGAGATTATGTTCCTCTGAGTTAAAAAGTAAAAAAGATGAGGATGATGTTATGGAATGTTTAATCTCTCACAAAAATGATGCAGAGATTAAAGCTAATGTAAAATGTCGTGCAGCCATTGAACATGAGCAATTGATTGCGCTTAAAAATTATAAATTTACTAGAAAGTTTAAAAATGCTTGTAAATCATATGTTATTCGGTTTTGTCCCAAAGCACAAACTAAAAGCCAAGTTGTAACTTGTTTGAGTGAAATTGTAAGAAATGATACTATAACCAGAAGGAAACATAGTATTTATAGAGATTGTCGTCAGCAATTAAGAAGTCAACTTTTTCAACAAAAGGAAAATATAGACTTGGACCCAGAGTTAAAAGAGGCTTGTAAAAAAGATTTACAAATGTACTGTGCAACTGTCGAACATGGTGAATCTGCTGCATTAGAATGTCTTCAAACAGCTAAAGAAAATTGACCGATGGATGTAGAAAAGCTATATTCTTAGTTAGAAAACAGGAATTTACTGACAATGCTGTTGACTATCATTTGGTAACGAGTTGTAATGATATGATCGATTTGTATTGTCACAATACTCACCCAGCCAAAATTCTTGACTGTTTAAAGGTACTCAAAATTTTCTAGCAACAAAAAATCATGATTTAAATATTTATGCTAATATATTAACAAATATTATTAATTTTTTTAGATACATAGACAGAAGCCAGATTTTGATGAAAATTGCAAAATGGTTATTGTAAATAGGATGATAGAACAAAATTTGGACTATAGGTTTAACAACAATTTACAAAATGCCTGCAAAGATGATGTAAAAAGGTTTTGCTCTGAAGTAATTGGTATGAAATATCATTATATTTTATTTCTGTCTCTTTTATACATTTTATAGGGTCCTCTTCTATAAAACCTTTTTTTAATTTTATTAACAGACTGCTGTTATTTATATTTAGTTTTAAGAACACATTATAATATTTAATTTTAATTGTTATACTTTACAGCATCAGAACCCCAAGATGTTGAACTTGAAGGAAAAGTTTTATATTGCTTAAAAGAAAAATTCAGAAAATCACAACTTACAACATCATGTAAGAATGAGTTAGCCAATGTATTAAAAGAACAGGCTTTGAACTATCGTCTTGATCCTTTACTGGGGCAATTGTGTAAAGCAGAGATTCAAACTATTTGTGCTGTACCAAATGATGCACTTACAAATTCTGATGGCCAGGTATGGTATTTATTTTTGTAATTTTTTTTTTTTATAATAATAATCATTATTAAATGCTGTTATAATGTAGTTCTTCCTGTAAATTAAGAAATAAGTTTGATATTGACCTCTGTAATGTTAATCAATAAAAATATATAAATATGTCTTTTTAATTAGGTGGAAGAATGTCTTAAAAATGCTCTCTTAAATCATAAAATAGTATCAGCAGAATGTGCACGGGAAGTTGTACAGATCATAGAAGAAACTGAAGTGGACATTGAAGCAGATCCTCTCTTAGAGCGAGCTTGTACATTAGATCTATTGAAATATTGCAAAGACCTCGAACATGGTGCTGGCAGGCGTAAGATATACATTTCTTATTATATATTTTAACTGTATTGTGCGGTTTTACCCATATTATTAGCATATAATTAAACATAATGAATATTTGTTATTTTTTTCTATTTGTCTATTTTTGTTCTACTCCACTGAATATCTACATACTTTTTGGTCATATACACAAGTAAATTATTTTGTTATAATCAGTTTTAACAATTATTAAATGAAAATATTGATTTATTTTATTTATAACTAGTTTTTATCCGCGACTTCGCGTGACCGGGATATGTTCACTGACCGAGATTAAGAGTAGCTATATCCTTTGCCATTCCATATAGTATGAATATACCTAATTTCAACATCATTAAATCGTTATGGCACTAAGAGGTAATAAACAAATGAACTTACTTTCACATTTATAACCTTAGTAAGGATTTTCTTATATTCTTTAATCCTTAGATAAGTCTTCATGCTTAAAGGCCTTTTAAAAAAACTACAATATTAAATAAATGTCCACTCATTTGAGTTATTGTAATTAAAAAAACTTGTAGTAAATTATGGTACAGAAAACTTATTTTTAGACATTTAACGCGCGTACAAATTGCTTTTCGCTCTTATTCAAATAAATATATTATTTTTTCGACAAAAACCAATTATGTCGATACAACTTTTCTTGCTACGCACAAACTGTATACTTTTGCCCATAGATTTGGTATAATGTAATATAATATGCCCGTTCTCCCAAAATAGCTTATGGAATATTTGGTATTCAACTATGGTCATGATTTAACATACTTTTTGTAGGGAGTCTAGATTTTAATATCTATTAAATGTATTGGTTTTGGATAATCTATTTGTATACCAAATTTTACTTAAATTCATTTGCTGTATGAACCTGATTGAATAATAAATATTCAAGCATCTAAAGTCTAAATATCTGTATAAACTTATGATTCTTTTCAGGTTTAAAATGTTTAAAAATAATACTCAATGATAGTAATAGAAAATTAGAATCCGAGTGCCAGAAAGAACTTTCAAGTAGATTAGAAATGTACAAATACGTTGCTTCTGTAAGTACCTACTTAATTTCTTGAACATTAAGGTAGATTCTAAGGCATCATTTGTCCAAAGCCATCTCTAAAATAAAAAAAATCAATTCAATGTTACAACAGAAGGTTGTTCTAAGGATCAACTACCACAAATAAACAAAATTTCTAAACACTTGAAGTCAAAATTATTATAAATTTACTTTATGATTACCCATAAAATAGTAAATTTGTGAATTTATAAAATTATTATGTTTAGAAAAATGGCACTCTAGAATCAACCCCATTGCCATGAGCCTGCCCAAATAAGAGAATAAAATCTGATTTCTGACTTTGTAAAAAAATCAGTTTCTTAAATATTTAAGAAACTGGTATTTTTATGAAAAATTATGATGATTATAATTGTGATCTTTGATAATTTTTTTTTTCAGGTAAATGTGATAGAAAACTTTGGGGATGTATTAAATGAGTTATCATATTCACCATCTAAGAAATACTTTATAGTGGTATTTATTTCTATTTTAGGATTAATTTTTATATTTGGCTTATATTGTGGACGCATGACTAAGAAAGCTATGTATGTTAAAAGAAAATAGATAATTGTTAATGTCAGTAATAAATGAATAAACATAGATTTTTTTACAATACATATTATTTATTTAATTATTACTTACAAAATTAAACCTGAAATTATCCTTCTACAATTTCATCTAAATCCATTTCATGTATATCAGTGATAGACTCTTTTGGTATAGAATTGTTTTCTTTTTTGGGCTCAATCTTGATTTCACCTTTAAGATATTTTTGACTTTCTTCAAAATATTGATTTGGGTGATTAATACCGAGACCCAAATCAATATTGTGGACTGCATCAAAATACTTGCTGCAAGCCACCTGGAAGTGACCTTTTTTTGTTATGTCAACTATATCATGAACAGCTAAAACAAAAAATGGTAAAATTAGCTTAGGTATATACATGAGAACAAATTTTTGATAATAAGATATAATAAGATCACATAATTACTTTGAGGATCAAATCCATATCCTTGTAACTTATTCTTCAAGTTACTAACATCACAATGTCTATATGGACATCCACTGCAATCCTGAGCTCCAACAGGTGAATTTATAATTTTTAAACAACTATATGGAGAATAATTCTTCTTGTTGCCTTCTTTTCCATAATTATAACGTATATTATAAGCATACTGTTTCTCAAATTTATCCAATTCCATTATCTTTGTAAACTCTTCCCTCCAGAATCTGAGAGAATCTTCAAGAGTAACACCAATGCCTTTTAAAAATAAGCCATATTGGAGTCTTCCTAAATGTTTTAAATGATGGGCCATACGCAACTGTTCATGTAATTGCCTCATACATAATGGGAAAGATTTAACAGACAGAGAATCCAAACTTTCAATTGGTATGATCGCTTTTGTATTGGTATAGTCATTTCCAGTATATGTTTGATGCAAGCTTTTTAATAAGCTTACCAGTCGTTCATCTTGTTCAATCTCACCAAGGTGATGGCAAGCAACAGCTAAACTTTGCTTTAAATGTACTCTAAACTGTGCTGAGAGCACTGATACAAAATCTTTATGTGGAATATAAGCATAACCACCATGGAGATAAACTTTCCTCAGTTTTACTAAATCTAAAACTTCATAAAACTTAACTTTGTAAAATTTCATATTATCCACATTCTGATAAGCTGTAGATTCTCTTAAATAATGTATTATATTGTTCTTCTCCTCATCAGGAATATTTAGGTAACATAAGTTATTCAACTTAAAGAATGTGTCCACAGACTCTGTATTCATTGTCATAAATCTCATTCTGAAGAGCTCCAGCTCTCTTGCAATGAACCATCGTCGAAGTTCTTCTGTTCTACAATAAGCCAGTCTGAGTATAAAATGAGCAATGTGATCTTTGCGCCTTGCTTGTAGGTCCATTTCAGTATTGCCGCAAGCCGATTTGTCACATAATTTTGCGTAGTATTTTAAGCCTTTATTTCGTAACTCTGTTATAATATATTCTCTCCATTCGTTTGAGTATGGCCGTAAATTTTTAAGAGTAGTTGCTGTGGCTAAACATCTTAGTAAATTAAGTCGCTCTAGAGCTAACGATTCAAATTCTTGCAAAGAAATATTATCAATAGGTGGAATTTTATATAGTTGTAAGTCATGTGGATATGTTTCTATTAAACTACCTGTAGTGAGACTTTTTGTTGAACGCCTTTTAATATTTAAATTCATTTTATTTAAAATGATGCAAATTAGATAAATTCATAACACTGTTTAGGTCAAGTTATTAAGTTTATATTCAAAAACTTACAGAATGGCTAAGCAAAGTATAATTCAAACGGTATATGTAGTAAATAATTAGTAATTACAAATTAATAAAATTAACTAAATGAGAAAATGCAACATTTAGACCAAAAGTGTTGTTTTGGCGCCACTTTTTGACATTAACACTGACAGTTATAACATGTCACACGTAGAATTTCTATGTCTTTACGTGTAAGAGACATAAATGGGGTGGACAAGAACAATTTTAGAATTAATTAAAATTTTTACATATTAAGCAAAAAGGGCCAATAGAAAAATTTATCAGATATGACATTTTTACAAAATAAATGTAAATTAAGGCGAATTAGTTCATAATACATAGCTAAATCTTAAAGATCTTAAATCGTATACTAAATTATTAAATGTTACTATACATATAAATTAACTTGAAAAACTTGAAACGAAGTTTCAAATTGTTCTTATTTGCCGGCTTTTGGCATATACGAATATGCCAACATTTTTTCATTTTATTAGCGTTTTTATTTATCCCTTAGACCTTTCTATTCACATCTTGGCGTTTTAATTATCCCCTTCTTTCATTTCTATCAACCCTTATCACGATTCGAATCACATCATTTTTTTTACAAAATTTCATATGGTACCGATTATAAATTTATTTACTTAATTTCAACAATAATTATAATTTACCTTTTATATAATGAAAAGTATAAATATATACACTGCGGAAAACAAACTATGACTGAAATACAAAAAAATGTTAACTTTTTATTTTAACATTTTGTATTTTAATTTAAAATATGAACTGTAATTTAAAAATTATTTCAACATAGGTCGAAGTAGAAATGTTAGAAATTGGATAATTACTGTCTTAAAATATAATAATGTTTATTTTACTAAAATATTATTTAAACCATACAAGAAGATTGGTAAACACACAGAGCAAGTAATTACTACGTTATGAGTTAACATAGAAAAAAGGCTTTAAAGTTTTGCCCCATTTTTTCCTATTCACTCCGCGATTTCTATTTACCCCGTTTCAGTGCTGTGTCCAAACTATGCTCTTCCTCCTCATGTCACGATTTCCTGTCCTTTTTGAGTTGTCAGTCTGTCAAGTTTTATAAACTTGTGTTATACAAAATACAAATTCAATTTAATTTCATTTATAATCAATAATCAATTTGATATGTGAAAATGTGTTCTGTCTAGAACATATTTGTTTTATGTTCTACAAATATCGGTATCCTGAATAGTCGGGCTTGTTTTAACTATATCATGGTATCCACTAGGATGCAGTCGTCACTTGACGATTTAGTTCAATATACACAGCTTTTTAAGCCGGTTGCCACTATCCTGCAAGGCACTGTGCTTCCTTTTTTATTAATTTACCCAGTCATATTCTACTCATGGATCGTAGTGTATGGTTTCGAAGAAAATTTCGAAGCTGGTTTCGTTACGGTTGCAGTGGTGGCAATTGTACAAATTTTGATCTGCCTTTGCTGCTACTGGAGTGTTCATATTCAATGTTTTCTGTCCTGTTCGGCGGTAAGATGTTCTATTAATTTATTTAATTTTGGGTATAATTATTTAAATATGAATATTAAGTAGGAAAAATAACTTTCAGTTTGGTTTATTGGTGTAAAAAATAGTATTGCAGGCCACAATATAATTTTATTGTTTTCTATACTTCTTTTATAATTTTAGGTAAAAGACCCAAACCAGGCTCAAATTGTAAAAGTTGTTCCAACATCTAACAATGGATTCTCAGAAATTGTTAAACTTCATCATACAAAGGTAATGTATATATTTACTGAAGATTTATTTAAATAATACAAACTTCAATATTATTGATTTTTTCAAAATATATGGATCTATTTATTTATTAACAGAATTAAAATTCAGCCCATGTTAATTTAGCTTTCTACAGGTTTTTCTATATAATTATTTTCTATTTTCTATATAAACATGTTATAGATTGTTTAATCTTGTTTTACCTTTTTGTTGAAATATTGATAAACAGTGTTTATATCTACATAAAATGTATGATAATACCATAAGAATAAATATTCCTTATTCTTGTGATTGTTATGCTTTAATTTTTACTTTTTCTATGTAAAACAGTAAAAAAAAACCATTGGAGCAAATCCTAGTTATTGTAAAAATAATTATTGAAATTGGTTCAGAATTAGAGAAAAATTTGTCATACTTATTTTATTCAAAATTTTTTTATCTTTACTGATTTTCTCTCCCTATAAATGTTTTTATCACATTTAAACATTATAAGTATATATATAAATATTTGATTATTTTTTAGTCCACTAAAAAAGGAAACACAAATCCAGATTTATGGTTTATATTTCAAAAAAGCAAATACATTTATGATTGGGATAAAAAAACCTTTCATACAGTTGAGTTTCCTATTAACAAATCATATGAAGAATATATGGAGTCTAAAGGTTATTTGGATGATGAAAGTGTTGAGATTGCTGAAAAGGAGTTTGGAAAAAATGAAATGACCATGGTATGTATTTTAAAAATTTTAAATCACATTTTATATGCAACTTAAAATGGCAAACAAGCTGATGGCCCACCTGATGAAAAGTGGTAAGTAGTGTTGTCTATAGACATAAGCAGCACCATGGAAACAACAGAATACACTGTTTCACCCATGATACCCTCCATGCATTGCCATTCCTGAGAACTCAGGTGTTATTCCTCTGTACCCTGTAAATTAACTACTATATCCCACCCATCAAACAACAGCTTCACAGTACAAACATGAATGGGACAGAGATATCTAAGCAAACAACTTATTTCCTCTTCTTTTTTTCATTGAAGAGTTTCACTTGTCGGTGTTTGTACTGTGTTTATATGTATTTGTTTTAGTAGTGATGCCACTATTATTGAATAAAATGTACTTTTACATATGTTTTTTTTCTGGCATTTGATTATGATAATGGTGGAGATCATAGTACTTGAATTTGGGAATGCCCATATTTAATTGTATTTCATAATATTTCAAACCATTTTAGTTTATAGAACCTGACAGATTTTTAGTTATAAATTTAAATTAACATTAACTAGACAATTTTAATTATTCCTCTCCATCCTAAGGTTGCCTGGAAGAGATCACTATTTAACTATAAGGCTGCCGATTGTCTCTTTATCTTCCTATTACATTATTAATTATTCATTTTGTTTGTATATATATTGTTACATTTTTATAATCTGTATCATTATTTGAAGGGAACAATAAAGAGTTTTCATTCATTCATCATTAACAGGTTTTTGGTGTTTGGAGTATTGGCCATAAATATATACATTGTTTGTCTAAAACTGACATCATTGGTGTTTATTGTTTTATATTAGGATTTTTAAATATCACCTTTGTAACCTTTTAGTTCAATATTAATCCTTAGTATTATAATGTAATATACTTTAACTTGTTTTAATATACATATAAAAACACTAAAAATTATTATTTGATTACAGGTAGTTCCAGAATTTATGGAATTATTCAAAGAAAGAGCAACTGCGCCATTTTTTGTATTCCAAGTGTTTTGTGTTGCCCTATGGTGCCTTGACAAATATTGGTATTACTCAATATTTACATTGGTGATGCTCGTCATGTTTGAATGCACCTTAGTTCAGCAGCAACTTAGAAATATGGCTGAGATTCGCAAAATGGGAAATAAGCCATACTGTATTAATGTATACAGAAATAGGAGATGGCGTCAGATAATGAGTGATCAGCTTGTACCTGGCGACATTGTGTCCTTAACAAGATCTTTAAATGAAAATCTTGTTCCTTGTGATATTGTACTTTTGAGAGGGTCTTGTATTGTCGACGAGTCTGTGTTAACTGGTGAGAGTGTGCCACAAATGAAGGAACCCTTAGAAAATGTAAAGAATTTAAAACAAAACTTAAATCCCGAAGGTGATGGGAAATTGCATATGCTCTTTGGTGGCACAAAAATTGTTCAACACTCATCTCCAAGTAAGATTACATCTAGCCTAAAAGCCCCTGATAATGGCTGTATAGGTTATGTCATTCGTAATGGATTTAATACATCTCAGGGTAAATTACTAAGGACAATTTTATTTGGTGTTAAAAGAGTTACTGCTAATAATCTTGAAACATTTGGTTTCATTCTATTTTTATTGATCTTTGCAATTGCAGCAGCTGCATATGTATGGATTAAGGGTTGTGAGGATCCAGAGAGAAATAGGTATAAATTATTTTTGGAATGCACATTAATTTTGACATCAGTTGTGCCTCCGGAACTTCCTATTGAGTTGTCATTAGCAGTGAACACATCATTGGTATCATTAACAAAGTTGGCGGTGTTCTGCACAGAACCTTTTCGAATACCATTTGCTGGTAAAGTAGAAATATGTTGCTTTGATAAAACTGGAACGTTAACAAGCGACAATTTAGTAGTAGAAGGTGTAGCTGGTATTGGTGATCATAAAGATGCTACTGTTATCCCATTATCTAAAGCTCCTATAGAAACAATACAAGTACTTGCATCTTGTCACTCCCTTGTGCAGCTTGATGATGGTGTAGTTGGTGATCCATTAGAGAAAGCTACATTAAAAGCAGCTGAATGGAACCTAACTAAAGGAGATGCTGTAGTGCCAAAAAAAGGAAAGTCACCTGGTTTAAAAATTGTACATAGAAATCATTTCTCAAGCGCCCTTAAAAGAATGTCCATAATAGCAGGTTACCAAATTAATGAGAGGGGTTTTATGGAGACACATTATATTAGTAGTGTTAAGGGTGCCCCTGAAATGATTAAAACAATGCTAAAAGAAGTTCCTAGTCATTATGATCATGTTTATTTGACTCTGTCGAGACGTGGCGCCAGAGTTTTAGCGTTGGGTTATAGAAATTTAGGTAAATTGAGTTCTCAAGAACTTAGAGAATTGTCTAGAGAGGATGTCGAGTCGGACTTGACATTCGTTGGTTTCGTAATTATATCATGTCCTTTGAAGAATGATTCTAAAAAGGCAATAAGTGAAATAGTTCATGCATCACATTCCGTTGTAATGATAACTGGTGATAATCCTTTGACGGCGTGTCACGTCGCCAAAGAGTTGAAGTTCACTCAAAAGTCTGAAATTCTTATATTAACAGAAGAAAATAGCAAATGGAGTTGGAAGTCTATAGATGAGGAAATGAGTCTCTCAGTGGAGCCATTTAAGACGGCCAAACAGTTGACTTCTAAGTTTGATCTCTGCATAACGGGTGAAGGCCTTACATTCCTTAATGAGCATCATCACAAATTTTTGATAGAGTTGATGCCGCACATAAAAGTGTTCGCCAGATTTGCACCGAAACAGAAAGAATTTGTAATAGTAACGTTGAAGTCGCTTGGATATGTAACATTAATGTGTGGTGATGGTACCAACGATGTTGGTGCACTAAAGCATGCAGATGTAAGTTTATACATATATATTTTGTTTTGTTGTCATTTTTAGCGTCGATTTATGAAAATATGCCGTATAAAATTGAATCGTAGAATACAACTATATTCAAAGGTATATCATTGACTACTGCCATATTAGTTCTGTTGAGTCTAATATTTGATATGTTCATGTTTTACTGAGCATATTTGAAATAGATTGCAGTTTCATTATATTTTTCGAATTGTTTAGTTCTTTTTAATAGTGCATTAAATAGAAGTTTTTAAAATTTAGAGATTTTTTTTAGCGAGAGATTTCCGAAAAAATAAAGTCAGTTTCTAAAAATATTTCATAATTAATTATTTTTTGTTTTTTATTAACAAACAAAAGATGCCAAACATTGCACAGGTTTGACTGCGATGCATACATTCTTTGATGATACAGATTGCATTGATGAATTAAATCTGCAATTTTTAAATGAACGGATAAAAGTCCAAATAAAAAAGGTGTGGACGTGCATTTTTATAGGTTGGTGTGGCTATTTTGGCTAACGCACCAGAGCGACTTCGCGAGAAAACTAAAGAGGAACACGTCCCGGAAATCGAGGCGCCTCGCCGTCCTCCAGGACCACGGGACCCTCGCGCGGAGGCCCGTGCTGAAGCTACAGCTAGAATTCGCCGCGCTATGAAGAAACTTGAGGAGGAAGACCAGCCTCAATTAGTTAGGCTAGGAGACGCTAGTGTCGCCGCGCCCTTCACTAGCCGACTGTCCAGTATTTTATGCAGTGAGTTTTTCTATATCCTTATTCCCCTTAATATCATAGTCCATTTCAATAGAACTCGATGAAAATGTTAAATATACAAGTAATTGACTCAACCATAGATAAGTTTACTGATGTCCAGATAAAAAACGGATTAATCCATTGAATATTTTCTTTTATTACTATTTTTATGTTTCTATGATAATTTCAATGAAACTTTGATAATAATAATAATAAACTCTTTATTGCGCACAGTAGAGATGTATACAAGGAGTATTTATACAGAATGTGCATATACAAAAGGCGGCCTTTGATTACAGACAACCTGATTTGATCACCTTTCTATTAAGTTCTTTTGAAACAACATATAAAGGTGAAAGCAAGTTTTTTATCTTTTAATGTCTTACTAGCTCGAACAATCTTCATGAAATTTGGTATTCACATACTATTTGAAGTTGAGAATGACATCTATGTCGGAAGAAAAGTAGTTACTACTTTTTTTCTGATAAATCAATATATTTCAGTTACATGGATGAAATCGCGGGTAAAACTAATCAAATGGAGGCTATACAATACTTATCTGTTTGTAGAAACACGAGTTTTTTGTCTATAGGCGATTATTATCTTTTTCCATCAGAAAAACCAACAGCTTATTCGTCATACAAGATTGTAGATATAATTATGTACACGATTTTTTGAAAAGGTATCAGTTTTATATTGGAGCATATCTATATATTTTTTTCAGTTTGCCACATAATCAAACAAGGTCGTTGCACTCTCGTGACGACGCTCAAGATGTTCAAGATTCTGGCTCTGAACGCACTCATCTTAGCGTACAGTCAATCTGTTTTGTATCTCGACGGAATCAAGTTCAGTGATACGCAAGCCACGCTGCAAAGTTTATTACTTGCATCGTGTTTCTTGTTTATATCTAGATCAAAGGTAAATAATTTGTGAATCTTGCTTTTCGTTAAGTCTGACTCATCAGTTTATTTTGTGTATGTACGTACGTACGTACATTCAAACTTTCAAAGTGATTTTATACAGATTATTCTATATCTATGCTGGTATAAATTAAAAAAATATACAGTAAAATAATCAGACTAATACACTGGTGAAACTGTTAAGAGATATAACATTTTGTTTAGAGATTTTTTTATTTAAAGAAAGTGAATATTATAGATTTTTCAGAATTCCTATATGGCACACATAATTGAAGTTCAGGACTTATAATAAAATAATTTCTATAAATGGTTTTATTTCAACTCCAGAACTCTTTAATTGGCAATCATGAAATTAGTTCTTTTTATCATCATCTTATTAGCTGTTAATGTTAACTATTGAACATAGACCTCCCCTCCCCCTATGGGGAGTTTTTCTAGTAGTTAGGCAGGGTTGGCGACCACAGTTAGGCTTTGGTGATATTTTAAGAGGGATGCTGCTGTCCGTCCCTCGAACATTAAATTTCATTAGTCGCCTATTATGATACGCATGGGAAAGGAAGAGGCAAATTTTATTATACATGTATTATTTAATGTAATTTTCACACAAAAATTATTATATTATTTTTGAATGGAAATTCATCTACATCACAGAATACACTGTAGGTAAAATTTGACTCCCATGATACCTCTCAAGCGTTGTCCTTTGTATGAAATAAAGTATTATGCGTCCATATCAAATCGTACTCTACAACTGTTTGTTAACCTGTATTGACACATTTATAATTTTAAAATCTAATGTTGAAAAACAACAATAGTTGAGTTACTTGCCTATTTTTCTCAGCTGAAATTACATTCCGAATGTGCAATAAAATAAAAAAAATATAAAAAAAAATTGTAATTAAGTTTATTTGAATACAAAATATTTTTATTTTAATTTAATAATAAATTATACTTTTCCAGCCTCTGAAGCAGCTGTCGAAACAAAGGCCGTTACCAAATATATTTAATGTGTACACCATCATGACTGTGCTTACACAGTTTGCAGTGCACTTCCTCTGTCTAATTTATTTGGTGCATGAAGCTACGATACGGTCGCCTGGCAGGTGAGCATAGTTTAGAACAGATCCTAAACTTTTAAGATATTCGAACACCCACCAACATCACCTTTTATTTTATGGAACCCCATAGCAAATGATTACAAATCAAATACACTGTAATTTAAATAAGAACAAAAGCTTTTATTAGTAATATTTTAAAAGAGTAACACTATAGTTTTCTTTAATATTTAATGTAATGTAAAGAATAAAATTGTATCACTGTATAAATATGTTCGCGGAACCCTGATGACTTTTTTACGGAACCCACTTTAGTTATCGCCGGTTTAGAATATAAATTTATGTTTTAAAGTTTATATTTAAATGGAAATCAACGCAGTAGCGATGCACTGCAACGGATTCATTCCTTAGGCAAATTCTAAATAAATTTATTATTTTTTATTGCTATTTTATACATGAGTCATAGCATTTTGTATGTGACAGATACAATTCATTAAAACAGTAGAAAACATATAATTAAACGTAACTTACTAAAGTTCAGTAGAATCGACGAAGCTTTTGATTGTGAGAAAGTATTTGTTTGCATTATTGGACTATTGACTCGAAATTTCATTCAATACGGTGTGCTGTTATCCCCTTAAAATGAAAAAACGTTATGCTATGTATAAGTAGATAGTAATCTTAATATTAAATTGTAATAGTGTAATAATTGCTGGGAGACCAATTATAGATAAAATAGATAAATAAAATATATTTATTTTCTATTAAAAATTTCCAAATTGTCATTCGTCACTTGCACTATCACTTTGTGCTAACATTATAAAGCGGAATAAAGGTAGTATCTATAAAAGTTACAAACTAGGTGGGAAATAAGCTTTTCAAAGAGAAACTTTAAATTATATTATATTTGTCCATCAATTTCAGAGATACAAAGCCGAAACTGGAAATGGATCTAGCAGAGGATGAGGAACGAGAGTTTGAACCGAACCTGGTGAACAGCACTGTTTACATTATTTCTATGGCGTTACAAATATCTACGTTTGCAATAAATTACAGGGTACGTATACCAAGACTGACTGACTGACTTTTTGATCGGAAATTGAATGAATTGGAAGTGTTTTATCCTTAGCAGGCATTGCAATTCTTGTATTGTCGTGATCTTCTATCATATTGTTTTTTTTTTTATTTTTTTATAGCACTGCGATGTCAAACAAGCATACGGCCCACCTGATAGTAAACGGTTACCGTATCCTATGAACATCTGCAATATAAAGGCCATTACGTGGTCGTATTTTCATTAACATAAAAATCTTATTTAACTTCTATTCAGTAATGATACTTTATTTTATAGAAATTCCTAAGATGGTGCCTTTCGAGTTTTATATTTCAGAAAGTAAAACATAACCTTTATGAGTTTATAGGATGAAAAGAGACAGCAAATAACCAAGTCAGTGACACTTGGTTATCTGTTCATGAAACGCTTTTTTTTTTAATAAAATGGTTAAAACAAGACTACAATAAAAAGTACGAAGATCTGTACTTTTATAGTTTTGTGATAGTGACTAAAACAACTGATTTCTTCGTTACGAAGCAGCTATATTGCGTTTTATGTTGCGCCATGTAGCCTAAATATGAAAATACTATGATACATTATTCATTAAAATTTGTTTCGAGTCATTTGCTAATGGCTAAATGAATTTACATATCTGCGTATTAAATGAGTGTTAAGAATACATTCTTGTTTTGCGCAATCGTATGATATAATAATAGTAAGTGCCACTCAATCATGCAGAGTGCCTGCTATTCTAACTATAATTGTTGTATTTCTAATATATTACAGGGGGGGGGGGGGAAGGGATTGTTAGTAATGGGGACTGAGAATCCCATTGCTAGCAATATACCCAACCAGGTCGACCTCCACGCGGTTCCCCCTGGAAACTATCATGGTTAATTCCTGATGAATTCATCGTGATGGGCTAACTGGCCTGTTTTCATTCTCACCTATAACCCTTCACTGGTGCTTCGCCAACGTATCCTGTTGGCGCAGGCGGGGTTACCATACCATTTTCACCCATCAAAAAAAATATATATATTACAGGGCGAGCCATTTATGGAGGGACTACGGGACAACAAGCCTCTATTATACAGTATCGTCTTATCCGGTGGCACGGTATTGGCTTTGGCTGCTGGACTTCTGCCTGAACTCTCTAACATGTTCGAGATTGTATACTTCACACCAGATGTTAGTATACCTTTATTTAAGAGATAAAAATGGAATGACAATCTCGTCTGCACTATTGGATGAGAAATGAGGATACAGTCATATTGTCAGCCAATCGTAACGAATTTACCAGGACATGTAGCAATATCCGTGATGATTTTACAATAGAGACCGTGTGTCTTTCTTGGTACGATCCATTCATTTTTAAATCATCATGGTTAATTGAGCATCCTGGCGATCGACCTGACAGGGTATATTGCTAGCAGTATGGCTTGTCTGCTAATCCCTATTTTTAGTGATCTCCTCCCTTTAGAAAACTATGTTATCTTATTTTCACAGTTCAGTCACACTGCTCGCATGACAAGGTCAAGTGTATGAATATTTAAGGGTTGTTATGGTTGATTACTGTTAATCGAAATAGTTGTTTTGATTTTTAATTATATTTAGTTAAAAATCTGAGAAATAGATAAGATTTATTTTGTTCACAAATTTTGCAGAAAAGAGAAATGAAAAATATAACTATATATGTATAAATGCATATATCACACTGTAAAACATGTGGGAGATTGAACCCGGAACTAGGTCAGAGATCTGAATTTCAGGAATCCAAGCCCCCAACTCTGACACACTATATAATATATAGGACATATATAGATGATCAGAGAAATAGATATGTATAGATGGAGTTTTGTTAAGGATGAATTTTTCAATAAACGTTGTAACTTTCAAAAAACTAATTTTCAGTCGTTAATAATTGTTTAATTTGTTTCAGTTCCGGCTGATATTAGTGCAAGTTTTGATAGCTGATATGGTGTTCGCTTATTTGGTGGATCGCATATGCCTCTGGTTATTCGGAGAAGGTTCCCTCAGCAAGATCACGTAACATGCACGAAACGTTCCAAACTCTTTGTTCGCCTGTTATTTTAGATGATATAATATATTTTATGTACATATTGGTAATTATACAGTATCGGTGTGGGTGCCCGTGCATGGGACTGGGATTCCATACTGCTCAATATAACGTGCATTTAAGTATAGTATGAATGTGTTAACTATATTTATGAAATAAATGTGTAGAAAATTTATTGTATCTGGACTTTTATTGACTAAATTTTTCAACTACTTGGCCTGTCTAATTATTTGGATATTTAAAAATTTTAATTAGAATTCAAACATTCAGAACTTCAATATGGGAATAATTTTTCTCTATGCTAAAATATAATTAACGAATGACAACAAAGTTTTTATAAGTGTCTCTGTCATCTTAACTGAATTAAATATATATATTTATTTTTAGGAATAATTATAAATATATATATAATTAAAATAAAATAAAAATACGATAATAGCGAATTTTCTCGGCAAAAATAGCATAGTTATAACCTTAGATTATATAGAGTGTTTCCATAGAAATGCTTTAAAAAAAACGGGTCAACTTTTTCATACAATTTTGCGTGATAAATAATTACGAATGATTCCTTTATAACTTCTATATTTATTTTGTCTTATAAATTCTGCATCTTTTTAATGCGTAAACACTTATTTTATTTATTAAATAATACGTCAAGATACATTTTATACGTACGTATAGAATACTGAAAAAAAAAATCAAGTCGGCAAATTTGACAATTAGCTGACAAAAAGTTAATCTGTTTTTAAGATTCGATGCTCTATCTTTATAATCTAAGAGTATAGCATATATTTTTTTAATGTATGAGAATAGAATGGTGTCCCCGCTTGGGCTATCAGGATACTTTAGAGGAGCACCAATCAGGGATGATAGGTGAGGATGAATCAGGTCAGTTAGCCCATCGTGACGAATTTGATAATAATTAATCATAGTAGTTTCCGTTTGTGTGATGCCCGCTATATTATCATATCTATTACATCGTAAAAACATATAAATATTTTTTTTCTTAAGTTAGGCTTTCAAATGATGGTATAGACAAACAAAATAAAAAAAAAGATGTTTTGGCTTCTATTTCTCAATTTTTCTTAAATATCTTCTATGTCATCGTCTAATTTATAATTTTATTAGTAAGAATGTTAAACTAGTAAAAAATATAATGTATATGTAAAAAAAGGTTTAACTAATGTGGGCGATAACATAAGTAATAATCAAATATTTCGGAATAGGAATACTACAACTTGTGTTGCCCTTTGATGCAATTTCAATGCTAAAACAGTATGCGTGCTATATATACTATTTTAGTATTGAAATTTAAATATACCTGGTTCTTGCCTCTTTTTACGACTGCAATGCCCTTGTCAGGTAGTCGGTCATCCTTTGTCAGTTTATCTTTTACAGAGACACAATTTCTAGAAATTATTGCATCTAATGCCCTAATAATATTTTTTCTTATATATTTCCCATATAGATTGTCTAGTTACAATTTTATTATATTAGTAAGATCTCTTACTATCTTCAATGCAAATTACGTTGTGATTTTTTGTTGTAATCTTACGTTGAGTACAGAACTCTTGGTAAACTTTGGCAAGACATAAAATATAACAACAATAAATAAAAATTACTTTTGTCGAGTAAAATTTTAGGAAATTAATTATTGGAAACATTAAAAAAAAGAGTTACTATTCGTATAATATATTTATTTACACAAATTCCCACGTTAATTGGCCTGCACTGCGTTATATACACTATTCGAATTTTCATTTAGGAACCAAAAAGGTACAAACGTGAAAAAAAGAATAGCATCATAACGTCCATAAGAATGCGCAATAACCGTTGCAATTGCACTAGTGTTTCCACGCGCCTAGACCGAGGTCGCCAAGACCTCCTAATCCAAGGCCGCCCCAAGCGCCGAGGCCTCCGAGACCTATAGAGCTAGTAGTTAATAACGGGGATGCGATTGGAGCAGCGATGGGTGCGATAGGAGCGATGGGTGCAATAGAGGCTATAGGTGCAATAGGGGCAATGGGTGCAACGATCTGTTTAGCAACGGGCGCAAGAATGGGTTGTGGGTGTACAGCCGGCCCTAGTCGTTTCACGACCGCGTTGAACCCAGAAACTGCATCGGCTGAGTAGTCGACGACTCGAAGGGTGCCATCAGGTTCAGCGACTGAGTACGAGCCCTTAACAACGTCACCATCTCGGAGTTCGGTTTGCGCTTTATTGTCTCCAGTTAGAGGGTCGTTGACCGCGTAGTTGAAGCCATAACGGGGAATATTCTGGAACAAATGAACTATTAAGTTTCAATTATCCTTTAGTGATTTTTAGAAAGAGTGCTTCAGATATTTCTGTTAAAATATGTGGGTGGGTAAGTCGTATCAGTGATTTTTTTAAACGGTACGGAGTGGAACATTTTCGACCTATTTTTATTAAATAAAATTCTAATATAGAATTTTAGATGTAATCTGTCGTTCTTAATGTCTAAACAAAGAATAATAGTTATAGAAAATAAATAACAATAGTAATATATATGTCACATGATATCACTGGTTTGATTTATGATATTTTTTTTATATAGAATATATAATCAATGGTTCAAATCCGGATCGAAGGACTACTGAGTATTGGTACAATTTAATAAATATATCTTGTTTGTAGATATCTCGTTTTCTATTTTTTTAAGTGCAATAAAAATGGTATATTTTAAACAAACAACTGTCTGGGTTTAGGTACCTACCGTTTCATTAAAAAGTTTTGCCTTTTTTGTCTAACTTGAGTCTGATAAAATGAACTTGTATCTATTTTATTTGCGTGCTGAAAACTATTATTGGATATGATTAATCCATTCAAATGTTGACTCTATTTCAATGTTCTTGTTTATTTATTTATAAAAGACTGTAAACCATGTTTTATGTTAACGAGTCATTATAAGACTTTATTTTTGGTGTCGTAAAATGATAAAAACTCTCCCTATGAAAAAAAGTGAAATCTCATTAAAATATTATGTTTAATTATAATTATAACAGCGGCTTAGCTCTTTAGAAATAACTTGTTACGACTAAAGAATAGTAAGACTTGGTGTCAAATAATAACAATAAATATCTAATAGACAAATGATATCTTTGTTGTGTTTATCAATAAAAAAACAATAGCAGTACTGGCCTTTGGGGATGATCAGGGGGCGAGGGACCGAAGGGTGTTGTAGAGGTCTAAGAGAATCATCATAGGATTAGTAAAGGATCGCATCAAACTCGAGTTTCATGGAGTAGTCCAGATCCCCGATGTCTTTATTTTTTATTATCGGGAGATATTAGTTTGTCCAGAGATGTAAGGTATGCTATGGCGGGCTCTATAATACTGTAGATATGATATATATATGTATACGTACCAGGGAGCTGATGCCAACACCGACTTGGTACGGAGCTACCGCCACTGGCGGGACGGCGGCCGCCACTCCGAACAGGCAGGCAATCTATATAAAAGTAAATATTGAAGATGTATTGCATCTGCACGTAAATTTGAAATAGAGAGATAGACAGATACTCTTTATTGTTTCCTCCAAAAGATTACAATAGTAAACTTATTATAAATATAAATAATTACTAGAAATAATTACAATGAGAAAACAATGACTTTATCGTAAGAGCGATCTGGCATCAATTTGCACGATGAAAAATTTTGTTAGTTCTAGAGTACCGGAGTACCGGTATTTTTTGTTATATTGTTTATAGTAAACCTGAAGGGAATACTGATACTCACGTAAAACATAAAATTTAAAAAGTTATTTAAGATATATACAATTTAAAATTATGCTTTACAAAGTAACGTCATCAATTTTCATAAAATTTGCACGGTGTGAAACAGACGAATTTAAAAAAGAATCATCAAAATCAACTCTTATTTATACAATGGAACTAAAAATACAAAAATTTGCAATTACTTAAAGTAGTAAACTTTTAAGTATTACAACATAAATGCTGAAATTCGTAATCATTTATGTGTAGCTGGAAATAATAGATACTACAATATTTTCACAAAACGGGTAATATCTGTGATAGATAACATTACATATATGTATCACAAACTTATAGTATGTTAACAAAGTCTTGTTAAATACATATTTTTTAATTATGAGATTTGAAATTAGAATCGGTTATTTATACCGTACAATAGTATTTATAAATAGACACTTAAATTTATAATAACATAATTAAAACACATTAATTACAATTTTAATAAATATTTATTTGTTTTTAACATAAGAAAAATAACTCACCGCAAAATAAGTGAACATGTTGGTTTGTAAAACAAAGTACGATGTACTAGTATGATGTACATTGTTGTAAACACTGGCTTTTATACGCACACTGGTTCATTTGTCAATCCTTATTATCCTTCAATTTCACGCTTATTGATTATTCGCGCTACATTTTGCTAATGCAACTTGAATATTTTCATAACACGTCCTAAATTGGTACTTTTGAATAAAAATATTCGTATATTCAAATGTGATTATTTATTTTGAATTTGTATGCTACAATCGCCTTGTTGTTCGGGCTTTACAAGGTGGAAACTAAGTTTGATTTTGAACCACAGTAAATGTGGTGCCAATTCTTTAAAATTATTTATATTTGATATATTGTTGTATCAGCCGTCCGCTGCTGAACATAGCCTCCTTCATAAAGGGGGTTTTGCCAGTAGTTATTACGTTTGGCGGGCAGATTGGCTACCGTAGTCTGACTTTTGGTGATGTTTCAAGAGAGACGTTGCTACTTATCCTTCCATCATAAGCTCCCTTATTTGCCTCTTACGACATCCACGGAAAAGGAAGTGGTGGCCCATTCTATGCTGGGACACATACGGCATTTGGCATATTATTTTATATAAAATGACAATGTTTAAGGGTATCATGGGCGACACAATATACTTTGTTGTGTCCGTGATACTGTTCATATCGATAGGCGACGGTTATTACTTTCCATCAGGTGGCTCAGCTTGTTTGTTATTCTAAGTTGCTTGAAATTATTATGTTGTTTCCTAATGTATAATAATAAATAAATAATAAATACCACTGACATATGATACAGCTCTATCGAGGGGAGAAAGGATTGTTTGTTATTAAATGGGGATTAGTAGCCCCATTGCTAGCAATATACCCTGTCGACTTCCTCGTGATTTCCCCTGGAAACCAACATCATTGATTTATTGTTAATTCGTCACGGTGGGCTAACTGATCTGCTTCATCCTCACCTATCATCCCTCACTGGTGCTCTGCCAGTATATACCGCTAGCGCAAGCGAGTTTACCATTCCATTATCATCTATTAAAAAAAACAATAACCACTTGTCACTTTATAAAAACTTACGCCTATTACAGATAAAATTGTGGAGTTCAGGTAAAAATCCACCAGTTAAGGTGGTACAAACATGAAATGAGGCTATTCGGTTGCCATGTTGTAAGAAAATATCTTTCCTTGGCTGTAAAAAAGAGAGGACGAGGTCGGCAGTAGACTACCTGGATATCAAATATCAGGAAGGATATGAAGGAGCTTGGCTGGATAATTATACATATCAAAGGAAAGGAAAATATGTGTATAATAATTACGCGGATATCAATATATTTTCGCGCATTCCAATGTTTGGTAGTTCCATTCAATTGTTCCAATGCTTTTATAATGATGAAACTCTCACGTAATGGGAAGAGACGAGGAAAAAGAAGACTTTATGAAACTTTAGTAGGTATAATAGAGTATGTCTAATTTTGTATTTTTATGGCGTCGACTATTGATTAGTTGCATCATTCATACCTACCAGTTCGCATCTTAGGAATCGAAAAAGTCCAAATTTTAAATAGTTATATGGTACGCAATTAAACCATAAATGTAATTTATACAGTGGCGCAGTTGCAACTAATTCGGCTCCACTCGACCGCCTCATTACCCCTTTTCAGTAGAAACACTCTTTCCACTCAGAGTTACACAAATTCACATTTGCAATCAGAGCCCGGAGAAAAGTTCCTCCTCCGCCCCGCGGCCCCGCGCACTCCCCTCCCCTGCCGCCTTTAATTAACAGAAAGTGGTTCATTAGAGCTTATTCATTAAAGCAAGGAGTAATTAGCGAACTCTAATGAATGCTGTAATAATGTAAGAGCGGCCGCGTTGGACTGCGCCCCGACTTCTAGATTAATCTAGAAACTGGGAATAATTTAGTAATGGCGTTAATTTATTATGGAGTTGATTGCGGGAATTAGTGGTATTTAGTTGTAGGTAGGTCGTGTGAATATGAGCTACATGGTGTGGAACGATCGATTATATGCTATTAGTTATAGGCACGATTGTAATTACGTCGAAGCGATATTATAATTTTATTAAAACGCCACTACATTAGTGAACTACTTGCAACAGTCGATATATTGATTTGATATTTGAATATCATATTTATTCCCTTGTTACACCATCATTACGTAGGATTATATATCGTGATTCAATACAAGCAGGGGAACAGGATTTTCTTATTTTATCGACTCATTAACTTCCTATTGCTGTAAAGGATATTAACCTACTATTTACCCATCCTGTCACTGTACGATTCAAGTAGCTTGGTACAGGGTTTACTTTAGAGCATTTTTTTTTCTTTTCTTCTGATACAATATCTAGGGGGGAAAGGGATTGTTAGTAATGGAGACTGAGAATCACATTGCTAGCAATATATCTAACCAGGTCGACTTCCTCGCGGTTCTCCCTGGAAACTATCATAGTTAATTCCTGATGAATTCATGATGGGCTAACTGGCCTGTTTTCATTCACATCTATCACCCTTCACTGGTGCTCCGCCAGCGTACCCCGTTAGCGTAATCGGGGTTACCATAGCATTTTGACCCATCAAAAAATAAAAGCTACAATGTCTATGCTTATAACAGCCTTCTTTTATCTTATATAATAGATCTCTTACAATACCCTGAGAATTAATAAGATTGGCGGCATATCACCATTTTATTATCGCAATAGTGAATATTTTAACAAGTTTTTTTTTTATTCGATTTATACAAGAATCGAATCAGGAATTTTGTAGATACGCGGAGCAATGTTATTGTTACCATTAATTTTATAACAGGTTGAATCTCTCTATGTTATCATCCACAGAGGACATCATTACATCCAGATGGTTCGAAGACAGTGTAAGCTGATCAATTTTAAGTTATATTAATTAAAAACATACACAATTTTTTTTTAATGGGTGATAATGGAATGGTAACCCTACCCGTGCCATCGGTATACACCGGCGGGGCACCAATGAAGGATGATAGGTGAGGATGAAGCAGGTCAGTTGGCCCATCGTGAAGAATTCAATAAAAATTGTTTATGATAGTTTCCAGAGGTAACCACGTGGAGGTAGACCTAATAGGGCATATTGCTAGCAATGGGGCTATCAAACTCCTTTGCTAGCAATCCCTTCCCCCCACACAATTTATGTTACAACGCTGCAGGGGGAAAATGTAAATAGATTGTATTGAATTAATTACCATGTAATTGGCAATTAAACACTCCATAAGCCGACATTATTTGCAACAATGTTTGCAAATAAATCAATTAACTAAAATTCCCATGTTCAATGAAGAATCAAGTTAATCATCTTTACAGTTTCTTAAGTAGAGTAATTAAATCAATTTCAGTCCACTATATTTTCAGTAATTACAGGTCTAGCCAGGTGGTTAACGCAACGAATGCAGGTGTATTTGTTATACTTCCTGAAATATTTCAGGCAGGAGGTACTATATGTATGGTCAATTGATAAATATGATATTGAATTCTGAAATTGCCACGGCATGCAAAAAGTTTTTAAAATATTTTTTGTTTAATTTTATTCACTGTTTGTACTGCGTAATATTTTCTTGTCATTTTTGAGATTCTAACAAGAAGCTCTTTAATTGTTATTTCTAAAACGTATGTACAATAAATACCACTATATTTAATTATACAGCTAATTGGTATATGATTGTGAGATCTTTGTGGAAAATTTAAAGTTAAAATAATTAATAGATTTCGTATGTTGGTCGATCAATAATTTTCCGTTACAACAAGGGCATTACTCTTTATTTCTATTAACTTGTATATGTAATAATAGGTATGATGAAATAAAAAACGGTCCTTGTATGAATGCACTTCTAAATTATATCAGAAGTGCATTTGAATATCACAAATGCAGTTGCTGCTGGTTGCCGCAATTTATGGTATAATTCGATTGCCGTTTCTAGTTCTTAGACATTCTAACGATTTAAATATCCTTATATAATTTATTTGCGTAACTACATCTCCCAGTCTGTCTTATAGAATATGTTTGCGTATGTTTTCTAGAATGTTTGTCAATTAATACATGATCTACATAAAGAAAACACATTCCGTCGTCGCACAGAGATATGGATTCATTAGTATTCTTCAAAATAGGAGGTCGTTAGGTTGTTGCTAACAATTTTCTTATGATATCTGTTCCGCAGGCGGCATGTTAACCACGGCTCGCTGGACAACACGTATAATGATGTATGCTAACGTTATTAAAGTGTAGATACATCATAATAAGCAGTAACTGAAATAAAACAATGTACAGAGAAACAAAAAAGTTTGGACTCTGAATGCATACGTTGAAAATTAATGATAGAAATATTCATTTTTCAATTGAAAAAAATTTAATGCTTTAAGTTTTTTAAAAATATAATATACCAATTATTTTAAATCGGAATTTTTATTATACCGCTATAATTTTTTTTTGTCGAACAAAATCGCAGCGTAATATTGTTTTTATGTCATAGAAATTTTGTAAAATTTTCAGAATTGTTATGTAACGTTATTGTTTATTTTTTTCTAAATCTATTGACGTCGACTATATTTTTATATATATAATTTTTTTTTTATAAATAATATAATATGAAGGCACGTTGAAAATTTTTTTAACAAAACGCGTGAGATTGCGTTAAGAATTATTTAAAATTATGTATATAACTTGATGTAGTTGATTATAAAAGACCGTATTCGTGTTTATATTATTATTTTCATTATTTCATATTTATACAGGGTTACGTAGATATTTTCTATTTTATTCTGTGTTCTTTATTTATGTTTTAGATTTCGTCATGTGAAAAAGTTATTTTTTAATAGTTACTGTAGATTCTGAATCAATTTTGTTAATAATGAAATCAATTACCTGTTTTTGACTACTTTTTAATAGTACATATAACCATATTTTTTACAATTCATAGTTTAAATTCTTAATTATGCAAGTAACTTAGTAATATGTTGATTTTGGGGAAGAGATTTAAAAAATATACAGT